GATTTTCAACCACAATTTACGAACGTCTGAAGTAAATAGTGGCATACAATACTTAGTAACCGTTGCATGCTTTAAAAACATACCTTTAATTATTTTTCATATTTTTTTAATAACAACGTTTCCACATTTGGGCAACCGCTTCTAGTAATGTCAATGTATGTTATTGCTCTATTATCTCAGAATAACCAATTCAAGTAACCAATTACATTATGGTGCTTCTCCAGAATTGTTGGCATTTATTTTTATTACTGATAAAGTTTTAAAGATTCAGTGACTGTGCAAAAAAATTGTTAGTTGTATATTACAAGTGGGTAACGACATAACTGATACTCGCTGTCCTTAGAAAATATAATAATACTAAAAAATTATAACAATCATGTTTGCAAGTCTGCTAAAAATCTAAATCCATTATTGTGGTTGATGTTGTTATATTATTTTTTAAGATCAACAACTAAACAGGTTTTTTATGTATATTATAAACACAAATTTCAAAATATTTCATAGTTGCGTGACTATATTGAGATCTTAAGACGTCAAGTTGAAGATTCAAGTAAGTTAAGTTACAACTGACACAATCTATTTTTAACTAAAGGTATTGTCGTACAATGGACATTTTCACGATGCATCCCCTCTCTTAAAGTACGTTTCCACTACTACAAATGTGACTCGCAAGATATTGCGCGTCATTTCATGGCACAAATTGCAGCATATTTTATCACCATAATACCCATGCGGAGTGACTTAGTACATTTTTTCCCACGACAATATGTGCCATCCCATAACACGTAATTTGTTGCTGTATGCAGGCCTAAATCGAAAAAATGTCGACCATAAGGCATTAAGCATGAAATAAAAATTAAGGATCTGAATAATGTTAGTTAGTGCTTCACATATAGCTTCATCCAATTATGAAATAACTTGTGACTTGTGAACAAAAATAATATGTAAATTGCTATCCAACATATATTATTGTAAAAAATAGTTATGCGTGCAGCTTCGTATTCGTTTCTTTGAAAAAGCTGTAAAATGTAAATTTTCATCGCAGTCTGCTTTAGATGAACGTTTAGGTTAGTGAAGTTATATAGCCGTGCATTGCATTTTTTAAAAGACACAACTTTTTAAATATTTGTCAGTGTGGTGCTAAGATCTTATTATAATGCTTGTATTAATTTAACTTGGGGTTTATAAAATTTGAATGGTTAGCCAAGTGAGGTCAGTTAAGATTCAATAGTAACATATATAGGTAGCCAGTAATAAATACGCTCTATCCATTCTTAATGTCCCGTTTCTGAGCCGGCAGTTGTGCGTTGGAGTGTTGAAGTCCAAATATCTTGAAGGGTATCGATTAATAAAAACAAATTTTAACTGTTCCTACTCTAAATTGTACTTCGAAAAGGCCACCGCGGTGGCTGAAACATTCAACACTTATGTGATTTCAATGGTAACTTTGATTAATGGTGAATGCGTTACTTGCCGTAAAGAGTATAAAAATTATGCACATTCGCCGTTTTTTTAAATATGTGAATCTCGGGTAAAAAAGTATGATACTATATAAACCACAGATCAAAATTGACTGTTTTTTAAGCTTCGTTCGAGTAAATCTCACAGAGATTCTCCTTATGCTTCAAGATTCTTAGAAGCAAATATCGGCAAAGAAACATTGACACAGGATCGGACCGTCTGCTATATATTATAAGAGCCGATACAGTAATTCTTCCTTAATACAGTTAGTATAACGGTGACTTTTGCCATCCCTCTTTCATTCTCACTTAAGAATCAATCACGAAACAACTTATGATCAGGCTCGAATCAATCATGTGCCAAAAACTGACGGTTTTTATGTTTTTTACCAAACCAGTGAAGACATTTTCATTGCTGCCCAGGTGAAATGAAGAAACCTGCAAACCAACAAAAGGAAATCTTGAGAGGATACAATCAGTTAATAACTAGGAATAACGGAAAAGCTATATTTAAAAAAAACGTAAATTTGTAAGTTGTAGCTCCAGTCTTTTAAGAGATGGTAGTACCGGTATGTCCATTGCATTTTTTATACTCCAACTACCACGAAGACTTAATCACCCATGAGGTTGCGTGGGACTATAAGGGGATATGTGTGCATGCAGTTTGCACACATTCTGGCCCCGCCTACTAGATCCGGCGGGTGGTACCTCCGCGTTCGACAGTCAGAGACCGTCTACCACCTACGGGATGCTTATTTTTTTAATTTCCCGACTAGTCCGAATATATAATACTCACTATAACTCCAAAAAAACGAGCGTTACAGTTTAGAAAATGGAGCAATTTTTGTAAAAAACAGTTTCATTTGTTTTAATAGGAAGGTTCGCCATTTTTTGATTTTTACTCAAATCGAAAGATTTTATTAAAAACCAATAAAAAAAAGTTGAGCCAAAAATATTGTTATTTACGTCGACTAAATGCATTTCAAAATCAAGGATCGTCGCGTAGCTGGAAAACGTACCTGTGCGCGAGACTAGACCGTGTAACGTCAGTAGTCAGACAGACCTCGCTAGCTTGTCCTCTGCATTTACCATTGCCACAACAACGCCCTAGTAATCGGTTTATAGTAGTTAGAGCTGGTACGATAGATTATTCTGTGAACTTTGACAGTGTTCGAATGTCGAACATAAAGTGGTGTTTTGTGCCAAAATGTACAAGTACGTCAAGTACAACACCACAAAAAAAATTTGTGAGTGTTCCAAAAGCTGCCGCACAGCGTAAAAAGTGGTTTGACGCAGCTCGACGGGATGTAAAATCATTTTTCTTCCACGTCGACCATGCACTGCTGCGAAGATCATTTTGACCTGGAAAAAGATATGGAAAACTATCTACAATACAAGATGAGTAACGTTCGAGCCCGGATGAATCCTAATATTGCACCTCATAAATTTGCATGTCAACTGGCTGGACAATCAAGCTCTACGAAACGAGTGTTCAGCGAAAAAAGGGCAAGGCAGAAATACATCGCCAAATATTTGCAGCCAGCGGCGGCACGCCGGGCGGGACCCTCAACCGAAAAGTCCGAGCCTGAAGGCGTGGAAGTTATTGAGGGGGATAATGATGAACTGCCTGAACCTTTAACAGTAGAAGTTCAGTCATAGGTATGTGACAAGACATGTCAAACCAAACAGGTACAGGAAGCAAGTCACTTCAAATCTCGCAAAAACGGAAAGTAATGGATGTTGCTGTATCGCCAATAAGAATTCCTGCGCTTGCTAAACAGATTTCAGAGCGGCCTAAAAAACATTTGCTAGTGGAAAGTGAACGGGCAAATCTTGAAAGTCCCGCAATGACAGAAACATCCGAATCTGATTCGTATGAAACCAGTGGAAGCAGTACTGAAAGTAGTGACAGCGAAGCTGACCAGCTTACTGCCGAGATCGTAGTCATTCTAAGCGCAATATTAGTCAACATTTAGATCCTGGCTTCATTGCCCATCCCCCGAATGCAGCCCTAAACTTTATTATTTTAGTAGCTATAAAATTCTATCATGTGACTGCCACCACCCCTAATTTAAGTATTCCCCAATAGACCCTAAAAAAATAAGATTCTCTCTACATCCCTGGAATTTCTCTCATTGAAAACATATTATACTTTACTTCAGAATAGTGTAATAAAACCACATTATGCATGCAAAAAGAACCAATGTCGGGGCTCTTAATAGGCGTAACAAGGTAAAAAGGTATGTATGATAATTTAAATTCCATAACATTTTACCTAGGAAGAAAAAGGCAGAGATAAATAGCATTCAAAATTATTGTCACGAGCAGGCATTATTAACATTTGTCTTAATATTATTAGCTTTCAATAGACTAAAGCAAAACAGGATCAATTTTTGCGGAGAAATATAACAAAATACTACCCATTGGAGCTAAACAAAAAAAAAATAGCTTCATATAAGTACTTACCGAACTACTTTAACACAGCTGCTCTGAGGTTCATTTAAATTTGCATTATTTGCCAAAAACTCGTACACCATTTCCACATTCACATGGGGTAAATTTCGCAAATCAGCTTTCTGATAACCTTGGAGCATTGTGCTAGTACACAAACGTCGGTCCCAGTTTATATAAATTCGTATTCGTATACTCTTCACTCTGTATACAATACTGACGTCACACGGTCTAGTCTCGCGTACAGGTACGTTTTCTAGCCTCGCGTCGATCCTCGATTTTAAAATGCTTTCCGTCGACGTAAATATTAATATTTTGCGCTCAAATTTCTTTGACCGTTTTTTAATAACAAAATCCCTCGATTTTAATTAAAATGTTGAACCTTCCTATTGTTGTTATTAATAAACAGACCCGTCATTCAGAATTTTGTAGCTGCCATAGTTCTGTACGAGATTGGACAAATTGCATTTTCACACATAGTCACACTATTTAATTGTTACAAACAGGCACTTAACGATTATCCTACCCACGGTCTGTACCTACCCAAGTGGTACCCCGGAAATATTTCTGTCAGATAATAGTCCCATTAAATGGTCTAGACTGAAAGTTTGAGTCTTCCACCATAAATCAGTCTTGAAATATTTAAAAAGTTGTGTGATATCATACTTAGTGTCCAGTCGGGTGTTGTTTTGTTTTACGAACCCGTGCTGAATCCATGGTGCAGACGGCCACGGCGCATGTTTCCAAAAGGCCTACTTTTCAAGTTGGCGCGCACTTGCTCACCACTTACATATTTATATATTATAATGATAAGGCAAGTCGCTTGCTTTCTGTATAGAGCTCTATCGATATGATTAGATAATACGCTTGTTCTCTTACGTGCTTCTGACATTTTCTTTCAAAACCATCGATGTCCAACCGAAATGTCGATTTTATGTTAAGGAATGCAAGTGAGGTGGCACATTCCTGATGACAAATGACTCCCGCTCAAAATATCTGAAATTTTGCTTTCTGTACCATTGTGAGCAAGATTAATAATTAGATAAACAAAGTATAAATTGGGGCTAAATAATGAGCGGCATTCGAAAGATGGGTTGTAGTTGTGCAGCAAACCATAAGATTGTGCAAGTGTCAGTATCAAAGCCATACCTTTCTGCAAATTTATTTGTATTATACTCGTAAACCGTTGATACTTCCACCTGTTTTTAGTTTTGGCCTATGGTTTTGGTCAGATGTGTGCGATAACAACGCAACCTAGTGGATGTCGGACAAACTGGACGGATGTCAATGGAAACAACAGAGATTTTGTTGATTTGAGGTAAGGACACCACATGACACATATTTTGCCATGCCTTTATTCCACTATGAGGCCAAGTTCTTCTTTCTGTCTACCGCGTGCGTGTCGTCAGATTTGATTCCGCCTCTAGGCACTTAGCTCCTGGGCAAGACAACATACTAAAATTATACGTACAAATAAAATGTCTTGAGAACATCGGAAAATGCGACCTTAGGGAGATGCTGACGCCCTTCGTGAAATAATTTTTTTGAATTTACTACATTTGCGCACCCTGCAATTGAGCGACCGACCGTGTACTGCGACTGGCTTGTTACTTCCTTCTCTATGGCGACGATGGCGACCGGGAACCGGGAACTGTGAGATGAGAAGTGTTGTGGTCGCCAATGATGTCATCATCATCAGGCGGTATTAACCATTAACTATTGCCGACGTGTTTTTACAATGATCTATTTGAAAATATAATTTGTCAATGACGAAAATGAAAATGACGCCTCGCGTGACATAGCACTAGTCCACGCAAAATGGCTGCCGCCTAGAGAGAAGGAGTGGTGACCGCCTTAGAACCAACAAAACTTTTATATCAGATCCTTAAAAAAGGAGTATCGCCGACTGATAGGCAGCAGTTGGATTGAATTAAAAGTTCTACGATACAAAAGAAACTGTACTTAGAAAAAATGTTGCAGAGAGCCACTTGAGCGTTGCTACAGTTGTTCGTCATGTTTCTTTTTAACATTATACCATTTAATGAAATATAATTTAGTTTAATTAACATCTCCACACGCGCCATAGCCATAGATAATAATTTTTCCTGTAGACCAAAAATCGCAATGTTCCCCGCTCTCTCAAAAGAGCTAGTATACTTCTAGAAATTAGTGACGTCACGGTGTATTTTACGTTGGTACCGTTCTCAGGTCACTTAGTTACATGTAATATCTGTGACATATTGACGTACCTACGAGTATATACTAAGTATATTTGACGTGATTATTTGGGTTTTTTCACGTGACTGGTGAAGCGTTTTCTAGGTAAAAACCATGTATTCTGCTAGCTGGGGCACCTCGGAATGCTAAGACTAGAACTGTTTGCCAATAAAGAGTCTTGATCTTGAGGATAGCTTGGTAAAATTTTAGCCAATTTGATCGGGAAGCATTTGCCATGAGGATTGTGTCATTTCCTCTGCCAGTTATACATAAGTACAACATATAAAGGTTGGTCCGTTTCTTTTGCGATACATATTCAACTATCAAAATGGGTTCCCTAAACTGAATGCAGGACTAAAGGTGATGAATGAATACAGCGGACTAGTTCTTGAAACAAGCGAATATAATAACTGAGCGAAATTGGGTGTGGTTGTGTGACCTTTCGAGGAACTGACAATCGCACATCAGCTCTAAAGACGAAATTAACTTTATGTTGAAACGTTTAGCTAAATTAATAACTCAGCAACATATTTTTTTTTGAGAATAGATACATTTACAAACTTTTTTGAAAAATGTCAACAGCTTCTAGAATTTTGAATTATTATCCAGGAAGACAACCACGCCCACTTTCTCTCAATAATTTTACTCCCTCCTTTTCAAGAATAGGGTTCTTGAAAAAGGAGAAGAATCTTTTTGTAACATATCTTCAGATACCAATAATGGATATCAATAATTTCAGGCGAGTCCACTCTACCAAATTGGAAATTGCGGATGCTTTTTTCATAAAAAGCATTCCACCCGTTTCGACTCTGGCCAAGAAAATTATTACATGCCTAATTATGGTAACAAATAGGTAGTACTAAATGGTAGTAGAAATTTGTTGAGCTAACGTCTAGATACTACACCTCATTCGGACGTTCAAATATACAATGAGAACCAAATTTGTCTGAAGGCTTGAGTTCAATGTGTAAGATACGGAACTATACTGGTTGGTAGCTTACAGAAATAGGACTTAAGCTTTTGAATATGCTTTTAACATTTTATTTATGGAAATCATGAAAACAGTTTTTAGCTTTGCTAAAGCACAGCGAGGTTTGGCATTTTTCACACATGACGTACATAAACCCACCGCACTTGGGAAGTTACAACGTAAACGTTTTTCCATCCATACGGGCCAGTGTGAGCTCTCGTCGACCCGTACCTCCCTAGGAGGAATAGTACAGTTACGAGAGCGTTCTTTCTGTTGGATTTTCTTTTCCAAAACGGATTTATGTCCTCTTGAGTTTTGACGAATACCTATTTTGCAGTGTTTCTCCTAATTCAATCCTAAAATTTGCCAGCCCAAGTGTTTTAGTATTTCCCTTCTGAGCATTAACTCTCCTATATAGAAGCCAAGCATTTACTATTGTCATGTAGAAAAGTTGATAAAAAAGTCTGAAATACCACTTCCTTGATTTGAGCTTGATACGGTATCGACCAATCAAACTATCTATAAGGTCTACTCCTCCCATATGTTTATTATATCCTTTTACAATCTTAGGGCAATCGATCTCCACTCTTTTATTTTGAGATTTATCGTATCTGTCAGCTTTGGATTTGGGAAGAGTTCCACAAAATGTAGACACAAGGGACACAATTTTATTGTCCTTCCATGCAATTGAAGAAATTGGTACTCCTTCCATATCAGTAATATATTCCCTACTGGTACCTCGATTTTCTTGTCTCATTTCCTTATCTCCTGGAAGGGGGCATTTTGGTATCCGATTTCTTCTGATAGTACCCAAAGCTTGAACACCGCGTTGAGATAGCTGTGCCAGAAGTGGTAAGGTGGTATAATAATTATCAAAGTATACGTGATAATTCATATCATTTGGTAGATTACGTAGAAGTCTGGTTACGATGTTAGCACACGCCCCTAAATCATTCTCATTTAGCCCTATTGTGTTTTCTTGTCCACTGTAAATTTCAAAATTAAAGCAATATCCTGAAACTCCGGCCAACACATATACCTTGAATCCCCATTTATGCGGTTTTGCTGGCATGTATTGCTTGAGATAACTTTTTGTTTTTGTTGGGCACATCTGTTCATCAATTGATAGGCATGCTTCATAAGGAACAGACTGGTAACGTTCAAGAAGGTGATCAACCAGTGGCCGAATTTTGTGAAGTCGATCATGTAGTTCATGTCCCTTAGGTAACATTTTAGAGTTATCGTGTTTTTTTATTTTCTCGAATTGCTTTTGCGACATCGTATTTTTGATAATATCTGTACCAATGGTAGAAGACCAATAGCTTCGTATATTGGGCATATGTATAACTGACACCAGAACACATATTCCAATGTATCTTTTTATATCAGTTTCTTGTAGAGATACAGGATTTCCTGTATCTAATTGTACCGAGAATAAATTTGACTGCTCCACGATAAGCTTGATAAGATCTTGATCAAAAAAGTAGATGAAGAACTGGTAAGGAGTTTCCAAATTGCAAAACATATCTGGCAGTTTGTCACTACCTTTGAATTTAACAGATTCTTCGGGCATAATCAAGTTGCCCTCTCTCCACTTCAGCTTACACAAGACTTCTCTAATTCTTCTTTGATCCTCAGCTGACTTCTTTTTTCTTGTTTTTTCGTCATTGCGGAGTACTTGATTCTTGCGTTTCCGACTAGTATCTTTATTGGCATCGTGTTTTGGTATATTGCCGGAGAACATGTTTTGTTGGTTGCTTTCACGTAATACGTTTAGATATTCGTCTTCTTGTAAAGCTGAACATGATTCGCTATTACTTGCCAAAGATTGTTCAGAAACATCTACAGATGACTGCTTTTTATATAAATGTTCGTTAGAAACAGGACGCGAGTCTAGAGACAGATCAGGCGAAATTATCATTTTCATTATCCAGAAGACCATTAGCTGGCGAAATGTTATCAAAATCTTGTGGGAGCGCGTCGTCATCGTCATCTGAAGTTTCTAGTCCGTCTTCACTGACCTCAGACAAATGGTCTGCAAAGTACTGAAGCTCCGCCTACGTTAGCGGTCTCTTCTTTTCCCAATTTTCCTGCAGAGAAAATCAGAAAATTGGACGCCTTTTGTTAGAATTCTATTGCGCGTTGTCGCAGATATGCAACATTGCTTTAAAAATCCCGCGTAAATATTTTAGGCTGGAAAGGGAATTGTTGCATATATGCAACATTTCTTAGTAAACGTTTTGAAATTCTATTTCACATTTTTTGGGGATAAAATTACTAAATGTGGGTTAAGCTTACCATATTCCTGGCCACAACAATTTTATAGTGCAACTTCACTGAATTATTTCATCAAAAACGAGGACGAAACTTGTTCAATTTTGTGCGAACGTCAGAGTTGTGTTGTAGGACGCACCGACTTGCACTGACTTGAACAAGTCCGCATGCTGCCGTCTGTGAATTCACTTATAAATTATCGTAATGTAATAGTTTTTGTACGAAGTAATCTGCAAGAGGTTTCGGAATATATGCTATATTGGAAATATGCGTTAGTCTATTCTTTACGTCCAAATAATGGTTTTATTTTGAGCGTACACATTTTTGAATTGTGATTTGTGTCTAATCTGTTTAGAATCGATTCCGGAAGGTGTCCAAACGGTGCTCCATTTTAGGTTGAAATTAAATGTTAGATCATTATACATTGATACACACTGATCGCGCTTCTCTCTCGTACACATTGAACTCAAGCCGTCAGACAAATTTGGTTTTCCCTGTGTATGTATATAGTTACTGAATTTGTATCAGGTATGGCGAACTAGTTGATAGTTTAACTGAAAAGCTTTGTGGAAGTTTTGAATCGCCTTCAAAAACATTTATTATCGGCATATGAAGAGATGTAGTAATTTTTAAAGTACTAATGTGCATATGCATTTATTTCCAAAGCAGCTTTTTGAGAATATCTTCTGAAAGACCATATACCACTTTAACGTATTTTCAAAAATTTTACTCAAAAAAGAGCAGTCAATATTTAACTTTCTGCGCCTTTTTGGACGATTGCAATAAATTGCAGTTCCATTAGGTTTTATCAACATACAGGTTGAGTTTATACGTAATACTCAACGTATGGTCCATACAATTTGTTTGTTGAACAAGCTTATTATCAAGACATCAACAATACATATTTATGAATATCAAACTATATAAGTAATCGTATTTATCAACTGGAAATAATAAATTATTTAATATGTACATAGTTCTTATTAAGGGATAAATTAACTCAAACTCTAAATGTACAGCATAGTGAGAGGAAAGGCAGTCAACAATGTACAGATATCAAAATGGTCTTTATCGAATTTGAGAAACTTTGTAGGAATGTAGTAATTTTTTATGAAACACAATCACAATTAAAACGTTTTCCCATAAGAACGAGTTGATGTTGAAATATTAATAAAACAAGCTGTTTGTGAGGTATTGACGACACTTCTTAGTTTTAAAGTACCTCATACACCATATTATATGTAATATGTGATCGTTTAAAGAAAGATTCGATTAAATCGGTCACTTCAAAAACCACTCAAATAACATTTTCCGAACATGCTTCTTTAGCTGAAACGTTTTTTAAGATAGACGCTTACTCTAGGTATAAACCACGTATGTCGATAAATTCCTTCCTCTTCAAATAAAACTAAGGATTTTCAGCCCAAAAACGACCTTTAAGACTCGTTTATTTCCATCACATTAAATTTTTCATTGATTCAAATCACTGGTGTATTTAGGGGACGCTTTGGGCCTAAATACTCCCTCCCAGAACCCCACGGCCTAATACATAGTTTTCTTACTCACATTTAGGCTGCTTCCGCCCTTATGCCCCCTGCCCCAGAACTTTTTGCTGGATATGCAAATCATTCAAAATTGTGTGTCATAAAGTTTATGAAATGACTGATGACTTTGAGGACATTGATGGATTGTAGCTTATCTGCAACGCCAGAAAAACCAAAGTGAACGTATAAAGCGTGGTCAAACTCCACAGTCAGGAAGAATATCCATTGTGGCTTTCCTGCTGAAATCACTTGTTATAAATTCGGGCCAAATCCAATTAGCTTTCATTGGTATGCCGTGCTCGTTAATGACAATTATTGTTTCAACATTATTTCTCAAAATCCATATTAAACAGCTTTTTGTGAATGGAAGGGCTTATTCTGCAGTCAGAGATTTTTACCAAAAAACCGCAATTTTGGGATGTCCTCTAGGTTAACATGACTCAAATCATCATTTAAATTCAATGCGAAAATCATTAAAAATGTATGAAGCCGCAGTGGGCAGTTGATCATATATTCCATAGACATTTCCATAGATGGATCTCACAAATAAAAATTGTAACACCATATTTTTCGATTTCAGCACCCACTTATCCTTATTGGAAAACCATTGTCTTCTGACCCAGTGGGCATCTCTCTTTCATCTTCACTAGGTGTATGGAACCGAAGTATAAAATGTTTCGAGCAAATACTGACAGATTGAAATTTGAATGTTGTTGCAACCTTCCCAAATCTTTATTATTATGAATTTTTATATAAATTATGCTAGCTGTTGTGTGACAAATATAAAACAAATAGTGATCATAATATTCCCCCGACCTCAAAATATCTCTAACCTCAATGCAATGTAAATAAGTACAACGTAGTGTAACTAGCAATAATAAATGAAAGCAGTCTTGCTGAATGTAAATGAATATTATTATGTATAGCAAGTTTTAATTCAGGCCAAATATCAAAGCAATAATCTTCGTCAAAGATATATAGAATGTATTTTATCCGTTTTTGGTTGTTGGTGTTGTAAGTCCATTATATTCACCCATGGTATATTCACAGAAAAGGGGCTAGCAACTTCTGGAGGATCATTATTTTTAGTAATTAGTGAGAATTTTTCTTACCTTCTCATAACAATGTTGAAAATGACAAGCTGGTGAAAAAGAATGACTAATCTAAGCTTTTTAAGCTATTGGGAAATAGGTACTCTTTGACATCCATGGAATAAGTCATTTCTGGTTTACTTCTGTGTGCTATTGTTATGCTAAAAAAGCATAAGTAAGTATTTTACGAAAGTCATGTTTAGCCCTCGTTAAATATCAAATATTTCTGATATACCGCTAATTCTTAATATCTACGTGAAATAAAAGTACAAGCTTTTCAGATCAAGAGTCGGGCTTCCCAAAAATATCAGCTTTGAGCCGTTGTTATATACGCCGTTCAAATATTAGCAATATTACGTTAGAGCTACCTGACAATCTGAACAAGTTAATTGTTTTCTAAGTGCATCATCATGTGGATCCGTGCTGTCAAAAATCCGTGAATTAGAAACCAATTTCAGGTATTGACTACATATTCTGTCTAGTCTAGTCCTAATGCATTAATATAGGATAAAAGCAGTGATAGTAGTGTTAATATAGAAAAGACATGCAACCATTCTACTTTTACTCAGACACAGTGTCCTACCCGCACGACGAAAAATAGTCATTTCAAATGTTGCTATCCTAAAACTATAAAATATTTTTATTGTATCTAGTTATGACTACAGTATGCCAAGAAATATATTTTTTATCTTGTATTAACGGTAAGCTGTGGGTAGTATGTATATGCTATGTATATGCTATTTCATCAGAACCGCTCGAAGATGTAATTACAGTTTTGCTGCTCTAGGGCAACCACAACGAAGTAGCAAAACCGCACGTTTCAGTTCTTTTACCAATCAAAGGCAACAGGTAAAAGTTGAAAATTTTACTTTCGCAATGACAGGTCTCAAGACCCTACTTTTTACCATGATTATGAGGAAGTAAAAAACTTCCACTAAGTCCATCTTATATTTTAAATAACCACAGAACTATAGGTGTGCACAGGGTATAAAAAGATGCAACTTTCAATGAAATTGAGACTTGAATAAATATTGCAATTTTTGCCCTGAGTCTAAAATGTATAAAATTGCGCCTATAGTACTAAATAAATATCTAATTGTATATTTCAAGTGGGATTGTTGGATTAGCAAAGATTACACACTTTTAATCCATTTAAAAAAAAAGCAGATCGAAAATTATAAGTCGCTGATTTCTTTTTCTTTTTTACAAAGGTATTCGTTTACTGTCTGAATCAGTTAATGAAAAGATGTGCCAAATATAATTTAACACTAAATAGGTATTATTTTCATAGACAAACTTCTAAGCTGATCAGTAATAAACTTCAAAGTCCGACAATCTTACAAACCACAAATCCTGTTTATACAAGAACTTCTCACTAAAACTTAAACTGTTTAAAAAATCAATTCTGACTGTATTTATGTAGGACCTTTTGTAAGTAAATTTCCGACCTAACACTTCATACGCAAAGAAATGTAAAATAGGTTAACATTGGGGTTAGAAACGAAAATACGATCATTCATCTCTCAAATGGGGCGATAGTATTAAAAAATTTGTGATTCAATCATTTTTATCCCGATTTTTAGGAAAAGTGATAAAATGATACAATTTTTAATGTTATATTAGTGATAACATTTTTAGATTATCAAATATATATGTAGGTCCTTCAAATCTTATACCTAGAGATTTTTAAATACCTTAATGTTGATTGAATTATCCTTAGGTGCAAGAGGTCAGCTAGTTTGTTTAGAGTTTTTAAAGTATCAGCAGTCCAAACAGTGAATGTGAAAAGATATAAATTTAACATACTTAAAATAATTTATATTATAAGTCCATTTTGAGTGTGCTATTTTGTCATATCTCGGTGTAAAATCAACGTATTCAGACCAAAAAATAATAGTTAGTCCTGAGGCGGCAGCCTACATTAGCTCCGAGTAACTGCAACCAGGGACGGCTTCAGGATTTTGTGCGTCCTGAGGCAAAGGATGAAATATGTGACCTCCCCCCCTCCAATTCATTAAGAACAAGGGCGGATCTGGCCTTTGAGAAAGGGGGTTCACTTTCGGGGTGGCCGTCTTGGGGGGAACAGCTATCGGCAAATGAAAATTTGCTCGGCATCAGTACTTCTACGAGCTACTGCCTTTCTATACTCGGATATCAAGGCGGCATCTCGTTGAATATGGGGGCTACCGGTGGTCCGACTTTGTCAATTCAAAGAGATACCGCAAAGCATGAGTGCGATGTGTTTTGCTGCTCCCTTCCTTTTCGGTGATCGAGTATAATAACTGAAGAGCGGAGGAAGGCGGCTCGGTTGCAATCAGTGCTAATGCCCTTTTGATAGCTGAGAAGTGGGGGGATTGGCGTTGACTGATCGGTCCCGAGTCGCCCGGGAACGGGGGCGTCATAAGCCCCCTGGATCCGCTCTTGATTGGGAATTTTACGCCCCCCATGACAATGCACCCTGAGGCGGCTGTCTCATTTGCTTACCATCTGAGACTCGCACTGACTGCAACCCTCCCTTTATTGTGGCTGAAGTAATGCAAAAATTAAATATGATAGAACATTGTTCATAATCACTGGATTGACTGAAATGATACAATTCATAAATTCTATATTTCGAAGTGAATTTTTTTTTTGCCTCAGAACAAACAACTGAGAAGAGTGTTATCAACAAATATATATATATATATATATGTATATATATATAAGGTAGTCCAAAATTTCCATGACCTCTGTTGCTCAACACAAGTATCAGTACATCTTTGAAATTGCAATATCTTCTTTGTAAGTCAGTAATACATTAGGATAGTGACTGCAACAGCTTTTCAATTCTAAGGACTACCCTATATATTTTATTTGAAGTGTTTTACCATAGGGTATTTTCCTCTGTTTACAAAATAAATTTTCCAATATTATCCTAAAGCTATAAGTAAAGGCTGACAAAAAACAGATACAGTTATGAGAAAGAAATTGCTGCATAGTATACAGTTTTAATCTTGAAATTTGAATGAACTACTTTTTGTAGTGATCTAACACTTCTTGCATATATCTAACACCAAATCTATGTAGTAGCAACATATTTCTAGGATTTTCAAAATATATATGTGCTTTAAATTTTGAGGGTAGTAGTACTATAAAAAGTAACATTTTTATATGTTATTGAAAGAGTGAGTTTTTAGTATTACAAATTGATGTAAAATGTAAAATATTTGTTATGTATGCTCACAACAGTCTAATTTTGTATATAGTCTGCTAGTTTTATACCATAGTTTTGTAATGTATGTATAAGTATTAAATTGACAGGTGTTCACAATGTTGTGTAATAGCTTAAATTTAAAATATTTTAAAATAAAAGCTGTTCAAAAAATATTGGACATTTTTATTGAAAATATAATACCATATATTCAAACATGCTTCTTGAATGTTTGCTAGATAAAACAATTTGCTACTTCATAAAAATAAAATACAGATTATACCATGCACAACATGGATTTTTAAGCTTTGCCAACCATTATACAATTCAATTCAATGGTATATTGTCATCAATAGATTTTTCTTATCAAACTATGTAAGAAATAATGCAATTCCATGTTTGATATTCCAAATTTCTACATGCTAGGTTTTGGCTCTGGGGCCCACAGATGCTTGCAATTCACTAATGGCTAACAAAACCATTTTAATATGTACCTTAACTTCAACTGCCATGTTTCTAAGATGATCAATTTCTTTCTTTAGTATCTTAAGTCTAATATCAGCATACTTTTCAGCTTCATCACAGTCCATTTCCAGCATATAGCCTAATCCTATGCAGACGTAAGTTCTTTCATAATCTGATATTTCTCCGCAGGTCATTATACCATTTCCAACCTCTATTCGTAGTGCCATATCACGTTTCTTTTCTTTAAAATCTCTAACTGTTCTTGTAACCTGTTTCACCTCCTCCCATTCTTTATATTTAGTTACTTTATCTTGCAAAATGAATTCGATATCTTTCAAATCACGTTTAAGCCTCTCCTCTATGAAATTTTCATACTCCAAAACTTTGTGGTTTATCTCATCGATGCCCATCATTTTGTTATGGAATGATTTAATGATAAATGGTTCCACTCACCTAATAACTAATTTTTGAGAGATTATCATTTATCACACTACTAAACCAAAATATTTGGTTTTGATTAAAAGAAGTAAACAAAATCACACGTGTAACTACTTGTTTGACAGATCTGACAGCACAAATGGTTATCGGCTGTCGGCTTTTTACAAGTTGATGTTGCCAAATCAACTTTTATGTATGTTGATCAGTCAACATGGGTTCTCGTTACGGAACAGGTCAGTACATTGATAACATTTAAATGAGTAACTTCAATATTTCTGGAAGTTAGTATACCCATTTATTTTTTGTTATACAGTGTGCTAATATAGTGTACCTGTCCGAACTGCACTTTGTAAAAAACCTATCTTAAAAATAAAAACATTACTACATAACGAGTTCACAACTAGTGTCCATCAGCTAGTTCTAAGCGAACATCGTGTAGAAAAACCTACATAATGTCACATAAAAACAATATAATGTCAAAAAAAATCGACATAAATCAAATCCAAGCGGATAACCAAAATTTCCGTATTATGTACCGGTTATAATATGGTTCAAGATGACACACGGGATGATGACGTCAGTTACTCGAATCGCTTGAACGCGTTGGTTTTAACCGCGGATTGTTTATTTTAGCAAAGCGCGTATATAATTTCTGATTATTTTTATTATCACTTAATAATCGATGCTTTTTTGTCTACAACGGGGTATGGAAAGTTGAAAAAAGAAAACTTTCATAATATTAATGGGAGGAATGTTTTTTTTTTCAGAAAAAAATGTTTACCGATGGAATCATGGCTTTGTAGCTATGATAACTTTCAATTCTCTAAACTTTTTCGCATGTCAAAGAAAATATTTATTGATGTAGCAGAAATGATGAAAAAGTGATGAAAAAAAGATATTAACAAAACCGTATACAGGTGGACATCATCCAGTGAGTTTATACGGCCATATTTTAATATTCTTGTGGTATATTGCTATACAGAATATTTTGTTAAGCGTAGGAACTAGATTTGAAGTGTCCCCAACAACAGTAATGATTATAAATAATAAGGTGCTCTCTTATGCTAAAACTGAAGTCAGCCTGTATCAAGTTTCCCAAAAATGAAAGTGAAGTACAATAAAAATATCCAATACTCGGCAAAATTCTAACTTGTCACATGTCAAATAAAAAGCAGAAATATAAAACTACTCCCGAGTTGGGAAAATACCACAATTTTGCGGTGATAACTATGACATATAACAGCTGATTCATGACGTCACGGATCTTATAACCAAACTGATAACCACACTCGCTTGAACGGATCGGTAAGTACCAATCCAAAATGGTAAATACCATTCCCATTTGGTTATCCGCTTGAATTTGATTATAATGTCAATTTAAAGGTGGTTGATAATGGTGCCAAAGCGCAAAAATTCACGTGTGTACCGAATCTTCAAACTTTGGGCGAACCGTTTGACCTAGGACTCTGAAGTTTCACAAACCCTTATCCCTCCAGAGGTAGGTACTGTCCAGGTAATAAACTATCTCAGTATAACTTGCCACGCCAGAGGTTGTGGAATTTTAGTTTTGACCCAATAGAAATTCCCACTCCTCTTATTAGCATCAATAACTCTTTTTGTGCATGTGCCTACTGCTTATAAACATAAGCAACGTTTCTGTGAAGCGAATATTAATATCAGACGATCAGTCTACCTATCGGTCAGTACTTATGATGGAATTGTAAATTATATTGTGAGTCTTGGTGTAAAGATTATCTTGTTATACCCGAATTGTGACAAGGGCACCCCCAGAGGTATCCCACCCCTGCTCTTTAATAGTAGTAGAAACTGTAAAGTGAAGATGGATAAGTTTGATGAATTGCTACGAGTTATGGAAAAGACGCATTTTCTAACTTATGTTTACGATTTAATTTTCATATTAATCTGAACGTTAATTTTTCTGACATAGTCCATTCGGTGAATATTAGACTTATTGACTAGACTATAACCACTTGCTCGTTACGTAACGATTAGTGACGATAACGAAAGGCACGTCAAAAACGTTGTAAAGATTGAGGAAACAAAAGGAACGAAAGGAACTTAACCTAAAATAAAAAACATTGAAAAGTTAAAAGTATGCTAAAATCAAGTTCTGGCTTTTATACCGAATAAATATTCTGAATAAAAAAGATAGTGTAGTGTGTTTAATATTTAATTCCGTCTAATAAGACGGAATTATTAAATCTTAGGAATGTTTACCACAAAGACTTTCATTAAAAAGACGAGAATTGGACACTTTCTTAAAGTAAGTAAATATACCGGGTGTAGCACACAATTTAAACAATGTTTTTTTTCAGCACGTTAGGGAACACTACATAAGAGATGATATTTCGTGTGGATTCAAATCATGCGAAAAATGCCAACCTGTAGAATCATTTCTTTCTCCAGACCACCATAACAAATGTTCCCTATTCAATTACAACCACTACATCATTCTAGACACAAATGTTATACTGGACCAGGTTGATGAAAGTGCTCCCACATTTCGTATTCATATTAATATTGGAATATTTTAGTTGGATGTTTTAGAAGAAGCACCCATAGGCAATGTTATAATCTTACATACTGTGCTAACAGAAGTTAAACATAGGAGCTTACCAATTTATAAGAAACTGTTCACTCTAATTGAGAATCCTAGTAAACATTATTATATTTTTACTAATGATCATCATAAGTAAGTAATTAGTAGAATGTACATAGACATTTTTGGGTTCATTTCAAGAAGAAAACTCTGTATAGATCTCATACACCTCTTAACTTTTGACATACAGGGTCGTGAGGTTTTCAAAAATAAATAATTAATATGTGCCCCCAATCTAGATTATATAATGAAATTTGGTATAGTTGTAGTCACCATTCATGGTGGTTACATCATCAATGCCTTATAAAATAAGTAAACAGATTGAGTCTCCATACCATTGTTGAATCTGTCATCTGCTACTCTCTCCATACACATGAAGTGGGTAACAGGGGACTGCTGTTTTTATTCTCTTCCTGAAAGTACTCTAATAAATTTAGCACTCATATGTGTAATGACAAGGTTTTCAAGATGGAGGCACACAACTAAAAAATGCATGTCTTTGAGCTTACTGAACAAATATTCACACACAGGGTCAGATTGCATGTGTTTGAACAAGGGAGATGAAGATACATAAAGGGATACTGGTAGTCTGACCTGCCAAGTACTGTGACTACAACTATATACTAGTACATGTTTGTATAGACACATTTTTTCCACCAATCGTGTTCATACAGAAGTTCACCTGCCTATTTTTGCAGACATTGACAGTGTGTGCTCTATCAATTCTAAGCGAATTGAATCCTTAGATTTTTTCAGTTTGATGCAAAAAATAAAGTTTTCTCTGCATGATCATAACAATATTGTTAATTTGACAATACTACCATGCAGAGAAATAGCTTGTATTTTTTTAAGTGAAAAAAATTAAGAAACCCAATCTGTTCATAAATGAGTGCAGATTTCAATTTTTTGATTAGCATGACCTTGACTTTCTATATTGAAAACTTGTGTCTCAAAAATTAAAACATTTTTTACATATCTTCATATGAAGTTTTCTTCTTAAAATGGACTCATAAATCACCCCCTTAAATATTGACATTCAGTTAGGAAACACTCTGTATGTTGTTATATTGATGAGTTTCCAAACCAAACGCCAAGAGTTCCCTTCTTAGAGGGCTACTTTATGTTAAATGCTTTATTTCAAATTTGGTTGAACCATCAAAAATGTCTTTCTGAATATATTTTAGTCTTATTGCATAGAACATTCTTACTCAAACATCAAAATAGTAGTTATATATACAATTTACATTAAACATTATCTTTTTTCATGCAAGATTGTTTTCATCATTGAGGAGTTTAAGCTATTTCCGAAACTCTACATTGCATATCAGGAATTTGTAACAAAGTTGACTTACCATTCCTCTGCCTAGTATATACCCTTAATATTATCTGTATTATTCACCCATGGAAGCTCCCTGGCAACACCTCTTAGTACCTAGTAACTGTAGTATTACAACTTTAGGGATACATACATTGAACAATTAGATGGAGAACTTGTAAATGACTATAATGATAGATGTATAAGGAAAGCCTGCTCTTGGTATATGGAACACTTACCTAATGAGAAGTTTATTTTGCTTACTGAAGATGCAGACAATAGGAATATTGCTAATGAGGAAGGAATTACTGCATGTTCTAGTAAGTATAGTGAAATGAACTTGAAATTAGATATATATTTAAACAGAAGCAGATCCAGAGGAGGGGGTGCAGAAGAACAAGGAAAATGAAATGCTTGGATTTGTGTCATAGAGATAATTTTATTGCAAATGTGAATAGCAACAATTTTAAACATTCAATGTTTGCCAATTTTAGAAAATATTTTCAAAATTTCCAATGCGACCACAATGTCATAATATACACTAAGAAGAGCTAACACAGTGAGTCAATAAACTGAAGCATTCTACTTCTGACCCAGTTTTTGGTCCGACTCAAAAAAGAAAAAGACCTTTCAGTGCTAGCATTCATAGCTGGCAATGTTCAAAGTATGATCTAAGTAAAGTGTGAATGGTGCATATTTGTTACACTTTTTTTAGTGTTTCGATAGTAGTTGATATGCATATTTTTCTTTTTCCATAAATTACCACTGGCATTCTTATTCAATTTGATTTGACATTTTCAATTATGTTTTCAGTATTCCCATATGTAAAGCATATGAATGATAATGCAGTCCTAGAAGATAAGTTATCAAGGAAGGAAATTTATTTAGACAAAGATGCTAAAGATCTATTCCCTCCTCATTTGAACAATGTTGAGCTCTTAACTGGTATAAAAGAAGGAACTTTATATCAAGGAACATTTAGGGCATCTAGAGATAATTTTCTTGAAGGATATGTTAGTGTTGAAGCACTGGAAGACCAAGTGAGTATGACCTCACCTTAGTTATCTAGCATTTGCTTTTTTCCCAAATCATTTTTTCAAAATAATGTTTTTATTTTGACAGGATATTAGTTTGCCAAAAAACATATATTTTGAGTGTTTTCAGTGTTTTCTCTGACATTGACAGGTTTATATGAAATGGTCATAGTTTATTGGTATTCAGAATAAAAATACAATCTTTTGATGCTTCTTCTGGCGGGACGTGTATATAAGTACAAAATACTGGATATACGGTATAGTACTTAAAAACTGTATTCAAACAATGTATTTCAGACGAAGTTAAATACGCAATTTTGTCCAGGTCGAGAATACTTTATTCAGAATTCAATAGATAGCTGGGGTGCCTATCTTCCCGAGAGATCAAAGGATTTTCTGCTATTGTAGCATGTTGATGGTATTCTTAACATCAAAGGCAGCCATAACGCAAATCATAGCTCCTGCTATATGCTGCTTCCACCAGCTGTGCCACTACACTATGCATCTATGGTAGACTTTCTCTTTATAAATCCAGATTGCCTGAGAGGCAGTCCGTTCTTTTCCTCTGTATATTTTGTCACGCTACTTTCTATCAGTCGTTCACACAACACAGAACTCTATATTTTGCTTCCTTATCGGTGGGTTTTAGAGGCTTCGAGACAAGTACCAAACCTGCCTTCACCAGCTCTCACGATCTCATCTGGTATTTTGTCGAATCCTGGTGCCTTACCAGTTTTAAAGTGCGTTTCAGCTCTACCAGCTCACTCCTGGTGAACACTGGTGCGCACCATTAGGCAAGTGAACATTTCGGAAACAATCCCTCTGCAATTTTTATTCATTGTCCGGTGTATAGATAAGGTCTGACTGTGAATTGTGGCGTTTCCATAGCTATCTTGTATGGTTCATTCCAAACGTCCTTTTCAAGGTCGCTTGGTAGCTCTCTCAACATCCTCTGCTTAGAGTTTACTATAAGCTTTTTCAGTTCTTTCCTGGCATTCTGATGTTTTTTATATTCAAGCATCAGATAATTATCCCTTGTTCCATTTGCTCTATAGTTCGTTCTCTCGTTATTATACGACTCATAGACATTCTATTCTTTTTTGTGCTATTTCATTATTCCACTAATAATTGGCTTCTCTCACTCTACCATTTTTGTGGACCACGCTGAAGGTGTTGTCACATGCTGTCATGACTATATCCTTTGACCTCGTGATCGCCTAGTTTAGTGATCCGTAGGGCTAACTGCAGATTTCCGGGGAATGCTTTTAATTTAGATTCATTTAATTCCCAGCTGCTTGTTTATCAATAGTCGATTTCCAATTTTTTTATCCATCATGTTCTTGCTATGGAAAGTAATGTCGATATAGGATGTTTGATTTTCAATGACAAAGGTTCTCAGTCGTTTGCTATGACCAGGCTTCTTGCTGCAAAGATTTATTTTCTCTTTTGTCAGCTAGCTGGGATGCCAAGGTTGTCTTCTGTGAATTGACATCTCCTACCTAGAACTGCTTTTTACTGTGGTTCATAAGAGATTCCAATTTATTTAGTATTTTTGAGTAGGCCTTATTTGTTATATTTGGCGAAATATATACAGAACACAACTCCATTTTTAATTTTCTATCCAAACCACTCCTTTGCGAAAATGAGGTTCTACTTTTTTGGGTCTTAAATGACCTGTGCATCATGAAAAGCCATGTCTCTCATTTTCATTGGTCTGTCTGTCCGCTGATGCTTGACCCATCTACAATTTGGGAAGTACCGCTCAGATTGTGATGAAATTTTCACATAAGGTGTCTACTATGCGAAGGTCGAAAAAGCTTTGTAGTTCTTGAAAATCGGTCTAGTGACGGCTGAGCTACAGACAAAAAACGAAAAAGAAAACTGAAACTTCATTTTTTGATGTTTTAGAGGATCTTTACCATTTTAGAAAAAATTTGCAGGTATGTTGAGGTTGTAGGTGGTGCGCGAGAGGATATGTCATTTTTGTAAACACCAGCTCGTCAGGTTGTGCGGCGGCGCCGCGGTGCTAGTAACTTGATAGAGGGGAAAGGGGGAACGCTACACTGACTCTGGCAAGGGAACACGTGTGCATGCAACGTGCACACATTCTGACCCCGCCTACCAGATCCGCCGGGTGGACCTCTGCGTTCGACAGTCAGAGACCGTCTACCACCTACGGACAATCACAACATCCATAGCCAAGAGAAAAATTTATCTTGGGACGGGATTCGAACCCGCACAGCGCACGGCGACTGGTCAGGAGACCGAAGAGTCTACTACTGCGGCCACCGCTGCTGCCCTAAGCCCTATTTACATTATAGATTTCCCCGCACATTTTCCCTTAAAACAAGGTTGCTGCGAGGTCAGCACTGTCGGTGTGGCAGTAGGCTAGATCACAATGTCGTCAAATCTGTAAGGGACTGGGAACTAATTGTATATGCCTGTTTGGCCAATTCTTTTGTTTTACATTCGTAGCCAACTTTTGAGGGGGACTAACTTGTGCGGAATATAATTTTTCATGAATTGCCTAGCTTTCTGATCCGAGGTTTTCCACGCGGGACGTGTGGATGGCGCCACTCATAAAGTAACGAAATTTCCATGCATACAAAACTCGATTGGAAGTTCATAGCATTACTTAATGACAATGTGTCGGGTAACAGCTGGTGAAATTAAAACTTCTGTATCGGTTGAAGGTCACAGGTTAAATGGGGCGATGACTGGACGCGCTGTGGCCGGCTTGACGCTGCCGATGGAGATTTTGGCACTTGCAAAGACAGTTGATTGCAAAATCGATGATAAATTCTCGGATATATCCATGCCTACAACCTTCCGTTGGTATCAGTAATTGTACAAATTTTTATGTCTATCCATATTGTGGTCACACGTAATGCTGACAGACTGGATAGATAATCACATTTATATACCTATAGAGAAGAAGGCATCGGACCATACAGCAAAGTTTGCTAGATAACAGATTAATGTACTTTAACCGCGCTCAGCAACCTTAAACATTTTATTTTATTCGGTACCAGAATAACTTCTATTAAATTTTTCTTTGCGAATTGATCAAGCAAATCGTGTACCGCTCTGTACATTTTTAAATTTGCTTGTTTCTTCTCTCCATTCTCCTATCCTTTCTGTCTTTGACCACGTGGAATCCCTCATTCTCATCATTGTCGAGCTGAGTTTGGAATGAACAACACTCATCAGTTTTTCTCGTTATTACAAGTGTTACCTCTTTTATCACAGCTGCGCTAGCTGTCGTAGAATAATAGAACGAAATTGTTTCATTACTTCCCTATATTTTGTGCACACCATACTGTCTGTGCGATGATCCTTCTCGCCACACACGTATCACTTAATTTCATTGATGCACTTTTTACCTTCGTGCTTGTCGTCCCCACATTTGAGGTATTTCTTCCTCTAGTTATAGTAGTATATATAAATTCTATTTGACTGTATGAATATCGAATACATTGGTTTCCAACAAATGAACCTAACAATACAAAATACATGGAACACTGCGTAGTACTTGAAAAGTGTATGTGAACAATGTATTTCAGCTGTTGAAGATGCAATTTTGTCTATAGTCCATTTATCGAATAAAGAAACTAAACCCAAACATATTCAAGCATACTTTCCGTGACCGGACTACAGAACACCGGCGGCCAACGAAGTTGTATGCATCACTGTATCGTCTCCCACTCCACCTTCGTGGTTTGCTATTGGTCCTGTATATGGGCTTGACCGATTCTGCCCAATAATAGTTATGTTCCCCGTTCCTTGAAATATATCATCGTGCTGTTCACGCACTGAACACGCGCTTGTTATGTTTTGGTTAAATATCTTTGTTGGCTAAGCAGACATATAGGTAGAGAATATCTTATTCAGAGCTTCATTTTATATGATCTATAGTATCTAAAATGTGTTTGAATATGATTCTTTAAGGTGCTTGTACAAGGTAGAGCTGGTCTTAATAGAGCAGTTGATGGTGATGTTGTGGTTGTTGAGCTGTTTGATAAAAGTGACTGGATTTCACCAAGTGAAATCATATTGGAGGATGAAGGAGGTGTGGAAGATGTTAAAGATATAGAACAGAAAGAAAAGGAGCTCAAGGAGACTGCTACTAAGAAAAAAGGAGAAATTAAACCAACAGGTAACGTCATGCAAATAGGAGTTGCTCTGAGGACTGCCTTATGCCTTTGCTCGTGATATTTGAACATAGATTATCACAGATTTGGTTATTTTCCAACGAAGACTTAAATAATCTCAATATAAAATAAATCGGGAAATATGTCAACATTCACGATTATTTCACATGACCTCGCATCACTGCATTTTTGGGTGTTGCATTTTTTCAAAACTAAGCTCCAAATATGGATCAGCGGTGAAGATTTCGGTTTCGTCGTCTGACTTTTTTATAAATGGTTGTATTTTCTCAACATCTTTGTTGATTTAGTTTTTTATGCTCCCATTTTTCTAACCCGACCTTTAATGGAATTACAGTGTCAATCTACTTGACAATTCTCATTTTCCCAAGACCACTCCAGGAAACCAACTGTACAAAAAATACGATATGAAACATTACAGGGTCGATATTGGACAACAATCCAAAGCGACTCGTGGGACCTTGATTCCATGTCCATGTCTTGTATACTATAACTATCTAAAACTGTAATGACTCATCGATGTTCACGTGAACATCACTTAACTACCAGTAGTCGGCTGTTCATAGGCGGGGTATGAATTTTTAACATGGGTGAACTAGATTTGTCACATGCTTAATAAAGAGTGGTTTGAAACATATTGTAAGTCAAAAATTAGGGAATTACCTTTATTCATCGTCGCTTCCACTTACATCTGACAGTAATAAACTGTCGCTATCGCTTTCCTCGTTGAAATTGACTATAACTGGCTCTATGATGGTGTCGATGTGGTGGTCAAGCTGCCACATTTTTGTTTCTTCCTTCACAACATGACGGATAGCATTCTGCCAAGCTTCGGGCGTTACTAGCTGTATGGAAGTCTCAAGTAAAACCTTAACGTCTGGTAATTTGAAGGTTGGGTTATGGCGCGCAATATACCCCTTCACTTGAGCCCAGATGAGCTCTATTGGGTTCAGTTCACAGTGGTAGGGCGGTAACCGCAGCACAGTGACACCACATTGACGGGCCATCTCATCAGTCACGTAACTAATGTTCGCAGGTTTATGCTGTTTAATTTTTTCATACAATTCCGCTTTCACACATGAATCGTCAAACGGGATTCCTTTTTCGCGCAACCATTGCTGCATGTCACTTTTTCGAGATCCCATAGTCGGTACACGTTCGGCTCGACGACTATGGTAAGAAGCATTATCCATGACGATCACAGAGTTGGGCTCAACTCGCTGAAGCACCCCTTGAAACCAGCTCTCGAAGCAGCTGGCATTCATTTCGTCATGGTAATCACCTCCGTACGCTATACGGCTGTACTGGAAGGAAGCCGGGATCGAGCTCTGATCACGTGTTGATCACGCGTATGAGTCATTACAGTTTTAAATAGTTGTAGTATAGTTTAAATACGAACATTATGCACAATTTGGCAATGCACTTGAAAAATGACCATTCAAAAATAGCAGTGTTGGCAAATAGTTATCGTTTTCTAATATCGGTGAAAAGATACACTAGTCACCAAAGTTGTTTGACATTCAAGCATTGCTCGTACAAAAATTGCAGTTCTTTTTTCTTAATGTTTTTGTGAATCAGATTGTTGATACATATGCAAATCTTCGTAATAATTGCTTTTACGTAAACTCTTTGACAAAGAAGCTGAATAGTTAGGACAAATGTTACACCCGTTACAAGTTTTGGAATGCATTAGCCAAGTATTATGGAAGTAGTAGGTGAAAAGCAGATGTCACACGATCAGTATTTACTGTGATCCGTCAGTATTTATCAGGGAATATAATATTTATTGACCATGTTGCCAGGACGTCAGTAATTATTGATGTATGATATGACAGAATGATCACTAGAAACTGATTGTACGAACTGCACTAAATACTGATCGCGTGTCATTCCCCTAGGATGGACATCATACATAAAAAAATAAAGATGTTGTGAGTTAGCCCATGCTCTCGTGATTCTAACAGTTGGGAATTGGTTTTAGGCAAAGTTGTTGGAATCATAAGAAGAAAGTGGAGACAATATTGTGGCATCTTACAAGGAGGTTTGGAAGGAGTATATCAATTGTTTGTACCAGCTGATCGAAGTATACCTAAAATCAGGATAGAAACTAGACAGGCAGAATTTTTGAAAACTCAGAAATTAATTGTTACTATCGATTCCTGGCCCAGATACTCTAGGTATCCACATGTAAGTAGCTAGTTCAAACTGTGTAATAGTGATATGAAAGCAGTACCAGCAGTTACCAGACATTGAAAAATTATTAGAGTCCATAGTGCATGACCAAATAATGCAGTTTATAGAAGAAAACAAAATTTCACAGAAACGGCTTTCCAATTGGTAACTGAGAATTGGAGAAGAGCCATAGACTCAGAAGAAGTTGTCATAGCAGTATTTTTGGATTTGAAGAGGGGATTTGAAACGATTGATAGAGATATTTTGTTAGGTAAATTGAAGGCATATGGTATAACAGGAAGTGTTTTAGATTGGTTTAGAAATTATTTGTCTAAAAGGATGCAAGTTAATCACACTATTTCATCAAAAATTGAAAATACGTTGGGTGTTCCACAGGGCAGTATCCTGGGACCACTTCTTTTTATTTTATACATAAATGATTTACCTGCCATAGTCAAAAAATGCAAAATTCAGATTTTCGCCGATGACACTATGATTTATATAAGTACTAAAAATATTCAGACTGGTATCTCTTATATAAATGAAGACTTGAAACTTGTCTCAAAATGGTTAGCATCTAACAGACTAAAATTAAATACAAGTAAAACGAAAGCCTTGTTAATCGGAAAAAAACAATGTACAAATGTTCAACTGAATATTGATGGTGAAGATATTGAATTCGAAGAAAATTTTAAATACCTGGGGGTTTTTGTTGACTCTCGATTAATTTTTGATATTCATTATGAAAAGGTTATAAATAAGATTAGTAGTAAAGTGGGATATTTATCGAGAGTTTCTGGATGTCTGAGTTCCTATAGCAGAAAAATTATCTATAATACCATCATTCTTCCAAATTTCTTGGACTGTTCGACTATTCTGTATTTAGCAAATAAGTGCATGAGAATAATACTGAATAAAGATAAATATACTCCAATTAGGCAAATGCTTAGCAAATTAAAATGGCTCAATGTAAAAAAAATATCAAATATCTTGTAATGATATTCATTTATAAAGTAAAAAATAATATATTTCCATCAAGTCTAACTAATTCAACATCATCAAATTTCGACCATCATTTACATAATATGTACCAGAAATAAAGATGACTTCCATTTAATGACCAAAAAGTATAACATATGCTACAAATCTGTATTCCATCAAGTGTTGATTGAATATAATAAATTATACTCGGAGATGAAAGACCAGAAAACTTTGAACAAAATTTAAAGTAAAATTGAGAAATCACTTGTTAAATCTACAATTATAGTTTGCCCAGCATTTACATCATACATCATATGGCTTGAATTTACTAGTTCTAAGTTGTTTACAATTATTCTGTTTATGTAGCCAAATGTGCTAAATAAATCTTTCTACTACTACTAATATTAATATTGTATGGATATTTTTTTTCAAGGGACATTTTGTTAGAGCACTTGGAAAAATTGGCGATCAGACAACAGAGAATGAGGTGATATTGCTTGAACATGATGTACCCCACAGTCAGTTTTCAGAAGAGGTACTTAGTTGTCTACCCAAACTTCCTTGGATAATCACAGACGATGTATGTATAATTAAATAGTAACAGTGTCATTTATCCTTTAATTTTCTTAACAAGAAACAGTTATACACTTTATGTGTGACAGGTGCTCTAGCTTTGACGCATTACCTGACTGAAGCAAATCTGTCAACACTGTAACATTGCAGGACGTACAAAAAAGAGTTGATCTTCGCGACTTGGACATTTGCTCTGTGGATCCACCTGGATGTACGGATATAGATGATGCTTTGCACTGCAGAGAGGTCGGAGATCATCTAGAGGTCGGCGTACACATAGCGGACGTATCTCATTTCATCAGGCCTGGTACAGCATTAGATCTTGAAGCGCAGTCTAGGGGCACCACTGTGTATTTGGTGAACAACCGAATTGACATGGTAAGAAACTGGATCAATCAATGAATAAAAATGTATTCAATGTATTTATATATACTTCAATGTACCCATTATAAATTTTCTAAGGTCCGACCGAAGCCATATTTGGAAAAAAATACACCTTCAGCGATCTTTCGGTTTTCTGGCAGATAAAAAGCCGAAAGTTTTGTATCTGTACTCACAAGAAGTGTTATCGCTTATTAGGGAAGTAATCCTGGTCAACGAATATAAAAACAATATTGAAATACTGTTCAAAAGTTTACTATGTGGTGTTAGTGTGCTGATAAATCCACTACGTAAAGTTAACAATTCATAATTATCGTTGAAATCAATTTTATCTATTTAGCTTATCCCATTTTATGATATGGTATGATTTTAAAAATATCTTACGAAATCAGGTGTTTCATAAGTATTTGTGACTGTTTAACTTTGTACTACTATTTCAAATAGTGTTTCATTGTATATTAATTTTTTTAACAAATCCAATAATAATCGGATTAACAATGTTCCTTTAAGCTCCTCATAGCAGCCGCGGTGCCATGTTATTCAGGCTTCTGCCTGAGCGGCTGCTTCGGTGTAAAAAAGTATTGCAATATTTTTATTACCAGAACCGTGCCCGAGTCAGAAAGGGATGACGATTTCGGAAATTATCGGTTTATTTTCGAAAATAGTTTGAATTATAAATTTTTCTAGATGCCGCTTTCTGATATATAGTAATGTAAAACAATCCTCTAATTTAATTAACTCCGCATCTCGTCCAATTTCCAGGATTATAATGCATATTATTAGGAAATTGACAGTATTTTTATTCTTATCAAATTATAAGTTTTTTCTTATTTTTACGCAACACAAAGGACACAAATTACAAAAAACAGAACCAAGAGCACAAGTTTGGTATTCTACCACTTTTTATTACGAAACCCACATTTTTGATTGACTAAACATTCAGGAGGTTGTGTTAACAGCCGAATATTGGCTGCTGCCAAAAAATTATCCTTCGGTCGGACCCTAAAATTGACCACCCCTTAACTTTTTTATGTCCATTCAGAAAGCAAGTTTTATACAAAAGGTTTGGCTTCTAAGGTTTTTATGCAGCATCTTTTTTTGTATACCAGAGCTATCAAATTAATACATTCTTAGTTTTACTATAGTGCTCAAGTGATGTTCATTGGGTATTTGAGAATATGTTACTGTAAGTATTTAAAATAAAATTTTAATGAAAGAAGAAATGACCGTGTATGGAGTGTTGTTTCATGCAAAGCCCTTCGGAAGAGTTCATTAAACTTGAGTTGAATAAATAATGAGTAACTCTGCAATATGGAGCAATATCTTATAAGCGACATAACTAAGTGTTATTTGATAATTTATTTATTTCATCTGTCCAATAAATCATGAAATAATGTTTATTTGCTAGTGAGGCTTTCCATGGTCCACAATTTGATAATTTATTTATTTCATCTGTCCAATAAATCATGAAATAATGTTTATTTGCTAGTGAGGCTTTCCATGGTCCACATACCTTACTTATTGTTCTTATTTTTATCACTTTAGCCAAGTACTTAAATTATGCGTCATTTATTTGCACATACCTGTATACACATACAGGTATATCCGATTTTATTTCAGCTTGCAAATAGGTCGCCTATGCTACTTGGTATGAGGCCGGATACATATGATCAAATGGCAGATAGAATTGAAAGAACAGTGAATAAAAATAAGTATAAATTTTCACCAGAAATATACAGGGTGTTGAATTTGAAAAATACAGTTTCATTTGATATGATATCATACAAAAAAGGCGTTGTAAAATCTTTTTATATTTAATTTGCAACAATTACAATACGTGAAGCTTTCTGTATGCTGCTCGACCATTCTTCGGCTTTTGGAAGATTTTTTCAACGACCCTGTTTTTAATGTCTGTGTTCGTGTCAGGTGTCCGATATACATATTTATGTGAGCATCTGATGGAAAATCTTGTGGGTGCTGAAGAATAAATGATTCGTTCGTTTGTAGTTGTTTTGCGTTTCCAAAGTTAGTTTGATGAAACCATTTTATTGCACAGTTATAGACTTTTTTTGAAGATTTAAGCTTATACTTTTACTGCATATTTTGTCGTAGTTTTGTTTAACCTTATTCATTCATGCCTTTGCAGGTTCCAGACTTGCTAAGTTCAAATCTTTGTTCCTTGAGAGGGGGAGAGGAGAGATTTGCGTTTTCGTGTATTTGGGAAATAGATAAAAATGCAAATATTTTGAATACCAGATTCCATAAAAGCATAATAAAATCAAAAGTAGCTATGACTTATGAAGAAGCGCAGATGACAATAGATGACAAAAGTAAAAACGATAATATTGCAAAATCGCTACGTTATTTAAACATGCTTGCGAAGATTTTGAAAAAGAGACGACTGGAAAATGGGTAGGTTATTACATGATCTATTTTTTATCAAATATGCGCTAATCATTACGATTTTTGTACTCGAAAGTAACAAGTTGAAAAGTTATGAAGGAAGACCACTCTATATATTGGCGTGAATAAAAAACCAGATTATAGAGAGAATGTGGTTCTTGATAATGGATTGCGGTCTGATTGGCAACTGGAGTCACACCACAGAATGACTCAGAGTTGGGGTAATGAAACATCATTTTGATTTTCCTTCTACAAGTCAAATTGTGGCGACAATTAAGAATTCATATCTACACATTAATGTCAATGAGTGTACCTACCGCCTGCCGGAAAAATCAGTGTAATCGAGGTAAACGTAAAAAAGTTAAGACGTCCGGAATTTATCCGTCCGTCCGTCCGGGACCTCGGTTGGCCGCGTGGGTCAGAGTGTCGTGCTACTGATCAGCCGGCCGGCCGGGCCGCGAGTTCGAATCTCGCCTTCGCCATGGATGTTGTGTGTTTGTTTTAGGCAGCAGCGGTGGCCGCAGTAGTAGACCCTTCGGTCTCCTGATCAGCCGCCGTGCGCTGTGCGGGTTCGAGTCCCGTCCCAGGAGAAATGTTTCTCTTGGCCATGGATGTTGTGATTGTCCGTAGGTGGTAGATGGTCTCTGACTGTCGAACGCGGAGGTACCACCCGGCGGTTCTCGTAGGCGGAGCCAGAATGTGTGCATGTTGCATGCACACGTGTTCCCTCGCCAGAGTCCGTGTGGCGTCCCCCCTTTCCCATGTATCCCCCATAGCCCCACGGTACCCAATGGGTGCTTAGGCCTTAGGCCTTCGTGGTAGTTGGAGTATAAAAAAAAAAAAAAAAATTTGAGCAAAATTTTGCCTTCGTTTATCTTGAATATGAGTGTATTTGCAACCTCACCCCTGGCACGTATAAGGCCTTACAGGGTGGTCACTCATGACAACCTACTTACTTGAATCAGGGTACTGACTCTTAGACTTCATGGGGGGTAATCTGGAAAGCTAGAAGTAGAGTGCGCCAACTAAGTCGGAGTCATGTCTAAGGTTAAAACCAGAGATGTCAATTTTTGAAGGGCTGTTCACGTTAAAAGACGCCAAAACGTGATAAAAAATAGTTTACCTTTGTATCAAATTTGTCTTGTTCGTCTCTACTTTCCTCAGTTTGACCCCCGCTACCCAAGCGCCGCCTAGCGGCAGCAGATTCTCTATACACATGCTGCAGTTCTATGACGTTACACACAATATATCTTTTTGAAACTAAGTGTTTTATGGAATAGAAACATGGGCTCAGAACTGTGGAAGTCTCTTTGGTGTTTTTTTAAATATGTGCTTATTTTTTGCTGTAACTATTGTTCATGTTGTTATTATTTTCTTTTCAATAGTGCTCTAGTACTGGCATCGCCAGAAGTGAAAATTATGATGGACTCCGAAACCATGGAACCACTAGATATAGAAGTGAAGAAAATGTTCCAGACGATGTCCATGGTAGAAGAATTCATGTTGTTGGCTAATATCAGCGTAGCCGAGAAGATTTTACAGGATTTTCCTGAATGTGCCTGTCTTCGAAGGCATCCAGTGCCGCCATCATCGAATTTTGATCCACTGATCAAAGCAGGCAGACATCTTGTAAGTCTCGGAAAGAATATAATGTAAATGATATAAAGTGCCATCGACTACCAGAGTGGGCTTCTGTGAAATAAATACCAACTGTTGGTTGGAACTATAAAAGTATCTCGTTTCGCTGTAACAGCCGAGTGATCCCTATGACCGCTAGATGCTGTCGATTCCGATAAGATAGTACACGTGATATACTCGCTATAGAAAACTGATAATACTACTTTCATCAGTTCAACCAACCCGGTCTTACGCTTGAATATTTAGGCCACCTCGATGGCCTTTCTCAAAGCACAGTGCAAAATAACACTACAGGGTGTCCGCAAAGTTGGGATTTTCCTTTTCAGAAACAACTACCCTTGAAATAACAAAGGTAATGTGTAGTGAAACGAGGGCGACCAAATAAAAAAAAATAAAGGAAAAAGTACTCACTCTCCAGTTGACGAGAAGGGCTAAGTACGTCTCTGCCCGAAATCATACCGCTGCAACAGAAAATGAAATCAGCTGATGCGCTACCGAGCAGACGCACCATGCCAGCCCAAACATTCACCGAAAATGTTTGTTGAAAATGTGCCCGACGGACAGCGTGCGGATTTTCTACTGACCAAACATGAGTGTTGCGAAAGTTATTCACCCCGTTACGCGTGAATGTAGATTCGTCTGTCACCAACATGCACTTCAAAAAGTCCGGATTATTGTCATGTTGATGCAACAACCACTCACAAAACCGCACTCTTGCTGGAAAATCGTCAGGTTGAAGGGCTTGTACACGTTGGACGTGAAACGGATACAGCCCCTCTTCACGCAGCGTTTGCCACAATTTAGTTTTTGATACTTGCACTTCTCTAGCCACGTCTCTAGTGCTTGTTGAGGGATTCTCGTCTACGCGATTACCTCTACAGGCGTGACCGTAACCGTCGGTTGAAGCTTGCATACTGACCTGACACACTGACCCCGACCCAGTTCTGTCGTTGAGCCAGTGACATTGTACCACTCCGTGATGTCGCGGCTACAGGACGGTATTCAGATATTTTTGATGTTGCAGAGCCCTTTATCTCGGTTCCCTTAAGACATTGGTGTATATGGTACTAAGAAAAATTGCTTATGTTTTCAAGATCTACACGTCGTGTAAAGGAAAACCCCAACTTTGCGGACACCCTGTATATTTTCTTCATTTGAAATAATGGCGTCAAGTAGGTTGACTCCACACTTCCCACGCAACGACGTCATCATTTCATAAAGTATTATGTTTAGCGCAAGTCAGACCCTCTTAGAAAAAAGTTGAATGAATCATGAAATTAGAGGCATACCGGCCACCATAAGGAGCCGGCGCATAGGCCACTTAAACGGGCCGTTGAGCACCTCAACTTCACTTAGACCTGTAGTAGAGCTTATAGCCTCACAGCAACACAGAACGTGTGCCGAGGTCTCTTCCTCTACCCCGCGGCACTCACACAAGGGATTCTCAACCACCCTCATCTCATGTTATGGCCAGACAACAGTACCCACCAGCAGGCTTAGGCTGGTTCTATCCAAAGATAAGCATAAACTTCCACCCCTTCAATGAGTGTCATGTCCTCTAACTCCTTGGACCAGAAGGTTGCTTTGCCCTTACCTTGAGCTTTTCGTAACGGGCAGTTTTCCTCATACGAGGCTGTCAAGTCCCTGCTCAGCAACTCTTCGGCTGCTTCTAAAGCAATGCTCCTACCAAGGCTGTATGGGACCCCTCCTTACTGTCAAGATCTGCCCTGAAGGACGCCCAATTAGTATGCCTAGGATTCCGAGCATATTTATCTGGAATATCTCCATCAGTCCTAAACAGTATATAACTGTGTTGCAATAGAGAGGGTGTTAGAGAAACTTTGCAGTCCCTAATCTCCTGAGCTAAATTGAGCGTATCCAGTGTTTCGTCGATAACCTCTTCTCGGACAGTGTTGCTGAAAGTAGGCGTGTTGCCGTCATTCAGAACCTCAAAGTTCAATGTCACTAGAAACTCCGTGAGGTCTTCGCCCCATCTGATGGTGTTCGAGCTGCCCCACATCACGTGGTGAGCATTACTGTCGCACCCAACCACGAGGTCATGTCCAGAATCTCTACAATATACGACAAGGTTCCCCGGTTCCTTAGAAGGAGGTTCCCTTGAATCGTAAGGAAAATATGCCGAACATACGACCAGGTCTCTGCCAGCGCCTTCCCTCTTATTTCTAATTTTAACTGAATGTAAAGTCTTTAAGTTACCATGTATTAATGCTAGTCATTACGCAAACTCTGGGCTTAGTGAGCGAAGTATCGCTAAAAAGCTTATATATAAAAAAAGTTAGTTACGAATACGAATAACAGAGAAACTAATCAATTCAGTCAAACAGGCTCACACAATTAGTTCATAGATATTTTTCCCTGTCCCACCGGTAGTCCATTTGACAACGTCGCCTCTTCCCGATACCCCACCGCATAACGCGGCAGTAAGACCACAACATTTAACAAGACGAAAGCATTTCTCTATTATTTTAAATTTTAATAGCAATTGTATGGGAACATTTATGATGTGTGAAATATTTCCAAAAGGTGCGTAGAATTACCGAGGTTGAGAGCGTATAAGTATATTGATATCAAAAATTTGAGATATACCCTCCCCCGCTCCCTACAACCACCCATCCCGAATTTTTCAAAAATCATCTCTCAAAAAATTAAGTTTGAGCAATTTTTTTCGTTTTTGGCCTTTTTCTTCGCCGGTTTTCAAAAACTTCAAAGCTTTTTCGTCCTCGGCATAGTAGTAGTCTTATGAGAATAATTTCATCAAATACCGAGCGGTACTTTCCAAGTTGTAGAGTGGTCAAGGAGTAGTGGACAGACAGACCGACGGAAACGAGTAACATGATCTACGTCATGTAACATCCAGAAAACGTAATATGTTGAAATTGAAGTTTTTCGCGACTACAATACTTCCTCGTCAGTTGTCGTGTGAAGTAAAAGGATACCAAGGGGGCTGAAACATTAGTAAGCTTTCACTTCAACACCTGTGGTTTTATTTGGCAGCCAGCTAAATGTGGAGATCGATCAGCGAAGCAATCACTGTATAAATTTCAGCTGTTACATTAATGATATTATTAAGTTTTGATATTTTTTTTCGCACCTTCAGAGCTTTACGATTTAGATGATCCATGTTTTTTTTTTCAGGGCCTGGAGATAAAAATTGATTCAGGAAAGGATTTAGCAAAGTCACTAGATGATGCTGTGAAGCCTGATAATCCATATTTAAACACGATGCTCAGAATTTTGGCAACGAGGTGCATGCTGCAAGCTGTTTATTTTGCCAGTGGTACTTTGCAGAAAGAAGACTACTTTCATTATGGTTTAGCCGTACCTTTATATACTCACTTCACTTCGCCAATAAGGTACAGCATATGAACCTTGGACATAACAGGGGAAAATAATACAGCACAACAAAAATGAGTTGATACTCAACTGTGATAGAAAACTAAACATTTTATGTAACAGTCGATTTATGATTTTCGATTTTTTTTTTTCAGACGGTATGCTGACATCATAGTTCACCGACTACTCGCAGTTTCATGTGGAGCAGATGCAACCTATGCAGTCTTGCTGGATAAATCTAAAACCAACGAAATATGTCAAAATTTGAACTACAGAAATCGAATGGCGCAGTATGCTGGAAGAGCTTCTATAGCATTCAACACTCATGTAAGTCTTTTCTGTTTTCTGCAAAAATTATCCAGTTACATTTTGTTAAAAATTGTAGAGGAATTCTACAACCTAACACCAATTCTGGTTTTCAGGACGCACAAAATATATGAAAGAACATTTCCATTTCCAACAAATATCATATTCTCTTTTTTATGTTTTAGTTATTTTTCAAAGGTAAGCTGCAAGATGAACAAGGCTACATTTTATATGTTCGGAAAAATGCGTTGCAAGTATTGATTCCAAGGTATGGACTGGAGAGCACTCTATATTTGGCGAGGAAAGGCGAAAGCTCAAATATATTTGAGTATAATGAAGAGGTAAATTTTGTTTTTGAAAAATTATTTCAAATATACGTATTTATTAACAAGCCTGGATCCTAATTCAAGAAATCCGAGACGATTTTTTATTTCCAAACGCGTTTTGAAAAGCAAACCAGTTTGCCCCCATTTGTAACCTGAGGAATAGTACTACATACAAGACCAAACTCGTCATCCTACATTATTCGTATTCAGGTAGCTTGGCAGATGCCTTGATATCCATAGTTGCAGGTAGTGTATTCCAGCAACTTCCATACATACATTGCCTATGTTCAGTAGCACCTACAAATTCAAGTTATAGAAAAAATTTCACGAACCTTTAACCACTTCACAAATATGTAACCACTGCTGAAATAGCCACTATGTAGTGCTAATTACCATATGAATCCGTACTCGCATCTGACTATATGGGCATTGATGAACGTATTCTACCTAAAGATAGTCTACATTCGCGAGTCTGAAAAATTATCCGAGATAAAATAAGACGCCGTACCATCAATCTATGGTCAACGCCAAACAAAGTGGGGTGCACGTCATCAAGGTGGGTGTGTTGAAAAATTTACATTGTTGCCAAACTTTTTGTAAAATAATAAAATTTATTATTTACATATCTAGGTTTATAAACAATATTAACCTCAAATGAGAACAAAAATAATAGTATAATAAAATTATAGATCTGTACTTGCATAATCATTAAGTATGACAATTATTGATCAGATGACACTATGAAACTACCATATTTAATTGATAGCTTAAAGGTACTGAATAAAAATCCAAATGGGGTCCTCCAAATTTTATGCATGGTATTTATTTTACAGAATTCATACAGAAAAATGCATTCTAAAATTAGGTAAGCTACTGGTGTAAGCTTTTTCTGTACAATAAAGTTAGTCGGAGTTTCTTTCTTCAGCGCTCTCTGAATCTGAATCTTCATCACTCTCAAAGTTGATTATTAAAGGTTCGATGTCTGGTCGATCAAAAATTCGTTCTCTTTCATACCATTTAAAAATTTCTTGCTCAGTATGTCGAACACTATTTTTCCACATGTCTGGGGTAACCGTTTGTAGAGCCTCGTTCCACATATCCAAACAGTCTTTTTCACTGTTACCATCTCTACCAATATGTCTGTTATAGTAACCTTTTGCTATGCCCCAAATTAACTCAATAGGGTTAAATATACAATGGTAAGGAGGCAGACGAAGAACTTTGTGCCCATGTTGTTCCGCCAATTCATCAATCACGTATATTTTAGGTGGTTTGTTTCTAAAAAAGCAGTTATTTTAAGAATAGGAATAAACAAAAGAAATATAAACTGTCGACCAAAATATATATAATTAAGAAGCATTATGTACCGAGCAACAATACTCAATAGCTCTGTTTTAAACATTGTGTTTAAAAATGGTATGTTTTGATTTGTCAACCAGTCTTGGATATTTTTTTTTGTCCATGCATTGTTGGGCACTTTGTTCAATATCATGCTGTGATAAGGGGCGTTATCCAGTATAATCATAGATGGACTCTCCAATTTTTCTAATAACTGATGTTGAAACCATTTCAAAAAATTGTCCTGGTTCATCTCTCCATGGTAATCGCTCAATTTTGTTTTCGAAGAAAATATCGCTTCACTACCCTCAATAAACCCATTTTCATTTCCAGCATGTAATATAATGTATCTAAAATATATTAGTTTTAAATTTTATAGTGCAAATTGTGTAAAAGTACATACCTTTTACCATCTGTTTTAATAGCTTTCACGCTTTTTTTGTTTCCATTTTGCCAAGAGCGACCTATGGTCCCATTTTGAAATATCCAAGTTTCATCGAGGAAGACAAACTGGTATAAGGCCTCAACCTTGGCTTGATTGTATTGCCTTAGAAATTCCACCCTTTTCAAAGCTATACTTGGTAGTTCCATGAGCCCTCGTCGCGGATTGTCCTTAAGCCACTTAAATCCAAGATCTCTACGCAACCGCCTTAAAGACGTGGCACTACCATCAAATAATGCCCTATCTCTTAATCGAGACCATAAAGTTTGTATCGTAACTTGTTCTTCTGAAACCATGTGTAATATGACATTATAATTTAGTTAACAAATTAATGCAAATTTCTGATAAGTTATTATAATAAGATCTTACTTTTGTGATACATATTATAGATCACTTCTCGAATGGCACTTGTATCCAATGTCGCTGTGTTGGTTACACGTTTAATATAACTCCGCTTTTTCTTGGACGATTCTAAATTTGCATCACTTTTCACACCCTCGGAAATACGACTAACTGTCCTTAAACTAATTTTTAAAGCAGCAGCAATACGCTACAAAAAATGAAATAAAATTTCACTATTATTAATATACATTACATATAATTATTAGTAACCTACCTCTTGAACAGCATTTAAAGGCAACAAAGGCCCGTTGTTGTCCCTTTCTTGCTCAAAGTAGTGCATTAACGAGGCCACGAGTTCCTTACACCGACTATTTAACTGTTTGGGCATCTTTATATACCAAAATTGCCTTTATCTACTCGTAAAATGAATAATTTTGTTTTGAAACAAACAGTTGTTGATTTACAGTATGCGGGGCCAAAGGATTTATAAAGGTTTGAAATGCCACAAATTGATTCAGTGTCAAAATTAATACAAATGTCAGTTCCCAGTTTAAATAAGTTTCAAGGTGACAATGTGTCAACGCTGCGAAATCGGTTTAGTGCGTTTACATGTCGATAAGTGATTGGAGCGTTTGCAAAACATTTTATTTCGCATAATGCGTCTAAATTTATCAGAAAGCAACTTATGTGATATTTTAATAACAATGCTTATATGACTATTAACCATAATAAGAGAGTAATGACCATTTTACAATTTATATATCACATTAATATGAAACTGCAATAGAGCAATTGTTTGTGATAGAAACCTAGGCATTAGGTCGGGGAATTTTTATCGTGATGACGTGCACGCCACTTTGTTTGGCGTTGACTATATCAGACTGTGTCACACCTATCTCTTTTCCAACTATACAAGGTGTTCATTTGAAAACTTTCCACCACGGATTTATCAAAAAACACTGACTAAAAGAAAAAACGCCGAGACACGTCAAAGGATTTGTCAAGGGGGCCAACTTTTTAACCAAAAACTACTTCACCCCCTTTCACCCTCTGCCCCCCAGGGTCATTCCCTTAAAAAATTTAAATGACAAGGGGTATCGAGTAATAGCTTTGTTTGAAAGGTCTTTCGAAGTACTTCATTTTGACGTTTGATTTTTTAAAATCGGTCGATTCGTTTTCAAGAAAATCAGAAAAATCTTTCTTTATCTTAATTTCTTTAGATAGAAAATAAAAACACATAAAAATATCACTTTTTATTTCAATAAGTGTTCAAAATGTTGCCCATTATTGGCCAAACAATGATATAGGCGATGTTCAAATTAGTTTAGTAACTGTGTGTACAGAGCCTAATAAAATACCAATCGCAGCAACAATTTTGCGTAATAAGGATTTATTCCAAAATGACCCAAAACTTCAACTGGAGCGGCTTCATCCAAAACTTCACGTTTTTTTATTCGCAACAGCTCCAGTTTGAGTAAATTAAGTAACAAAGTCCAAAACATACCTATGCGAAGTTATCTTCCCCGGATGTCTGGCGTTAAACGTTACGGCAGTTTGCCGAGCACATTGATTTTGAGAACCATAAATCAGAATCATTTCCACTCTTTCGGCTAGTGTTTAAACCATTTTGGAAGTAAAATCTGAATCAATAAATTAATTTTCACTATCCCAAGATTGTCACAAAGGTAACTGACAGCATATTAAATTCTTTTTTCCTTTAGCAACAAATAACTAAACAGGTATAACAATAAATACAGTTAGCCAAGGATATCTGTGTTGACGAAAAGAATGCGGAAAAAATTCGGTTTTTTATTTGGTTGTTGCCACGTCTAATCTTCCGAATTGCTGATTATGTTGGTAGTTTCCGTTTTAACTTATAAACGAATTGTAGATTTGGAAATCCCTAACGGGCAAAATTTTGAACACTTATTGAAATAAAAAGTGATATTTTCGTGTGTTTTTATTTTCTAGGTGAACAAATTAAGATGAATGAAGATTTTTCTAATTTTCTCGAAAACGAATCGACTGATTTTAAAAAATCAAACGGCAGGACTTCGAAAGACCTTTCAAACAAGCTATTACTTGATACCTCTTGTCATATAAAAATTTTAAGGGAATGACCCTGAGGGGCCGAGGTTGAAGTAGTTTTTGGTTAAAAAGTTGTCCCCTTGACAAATCTTTTGACGTGTCTCGGCCTTTTTTTATTTTAATCAGTGGTTTTCGATAAACCCGTGGTGGGAAGTTTTCCTGTGTATGAGCATGTTACTATAACTCGAAAAGAAATATGCTCACTTCGCGATCAAATTTCGTACGCCTGTCCGCATGACGTCACGCGGTGACAAACGCTCCGTTTGTCGGTACGAAATGCATTGTATTAGAGCGTTTCCTTTTCAATATTTGGAATATTTACTTAATATTTTTTTGTGTTATCAGTTTTACATGATAGTTTTAGTATTATATAGAAATGTTTTATTCAAATTTTGATGTTTTGACAATTTTATGAAGTACATACATCATTATAGGCAGAATGCATTATGTACCTACGAAAGAGATAGAATGATTGCGTGCGCTTGCGTTTATCTTCTCGAGTAATATTATCATGAAAATGAGCATAGCTTCAGCGCCATCTATGACACACGAACATTTTCAAGGTACGATTTCTATTTATTGCGGGCAGGAGACACATAGAGGCTGTGACAAATTCTCATACATGGCGCCAATGTATTTCATTTTATTTCTGATAATGTTTCGGGCGCGCGAATATAGTATTAGTTTGGATATCTACAGGTAGAATAAGTTAATCAATTCTGCTAAAATATCATTTTTATGCACTTGAGTGTATTATGTGACGTCTCCCAGGTTGTTTGTGAAACCTTGTTGAATATAAGTGGCCAATAAATGATAGCACTTGAAGCTTAGATTTTTCTTAATTCTAGGATCAAACACAGAGGGCAAAGGATGTTGTGCTTCATGCATTTGATCCAGTAAAGGTTCGACTTAGCCTCAACTCAGATAACATACAACATGAAAAGTTTGTTTTACAACTTGTTTCGCCATTCATTGAGGGCTTTAGTGTACCACCTATTGAAGAAATGGATACTTCGTGTGAGCCAACCAACGACAGCGGGAAGAAAAGGAAGAGCACTGGTGATGAGAAGAAAAATAAAAACAAAAAGAGCCCAAAAAACAAGAATTAATTGTAGAATACGATTGTAAGCATTTTTGATACAAATAAATAGTTGGGGTGCGATATTTTTTGTGCCTTTCTCTTTAATTAGTACAGGGTGGCCAATATATAACTGACCGATTTAAATTGGGCGCCATTTTTGATACACACATATCAGCAGGTGGCGCCGTAGTAGTAGTTTAGATCAAAAGTGTTCAATTCATCATGGAACGCTACACGATCACTCAGCGCGTCCGAATTGTTAAAACATTTTACTTACATAATGAGTTGATTGTTGTAACGAGTCGGAAGCTATGACAAGATTTCGGTCGAAATAATGTGTCTAGTGTCTACACCATTCGTCAGTTGGTGCGGAAATTTGAACAAACAGGTGAAGTTAAAGACTTGCCAAGATCGGGCCGTGTTCGAACTTTTCATATTCCGAGAGAGTTCGTGAAAGTATAGTGGAGCACCTTCTGAGACGTCTACCACACATCGTGCTCAAGAACTGGGTATTCGTCGCACGTCATTATGCAATACTTTAAAGGACTTGCATTTGCGGGCATACAAAATTCAGTTAATCCAAGAACTACAGTCTAGTGACCATGAAACAATAACGAGTATCCATCACGCTTCGAGGTGAACAGCTGATCACAAAAGCGACATCTTTATGTCAATTTGTAACGTTGGCAATAACGAATTTCGGGACCGTATACAGAGCTGTTGTTCACATATCAGGATTATATTTTTAAGTGGATGGGAAATGTGACAATAAAATGTACAAGTACAGATATAGAAAAATTTATTAGAAAATTATTATAGTACATCTGGGATTTACTGATTACATGGTATGTTAATAGGTTGCATAGTCCTTTCCAGAAGCTGTAAATTTACCTTTAAAAATAATATAGACACATGTTTCTGGTTTATTGTACGTCATCAGTGTAACGAAATTCAAATACAGATTAAGTATGTGCAGAACCTAACATAAAAAATCAATAATGAATAGAGCTTGCTTAAAATACCGCACTGATGTAAACATTAAAAAAATATAAACTACACCCACTTCAAGATGAACGGATTTGATAATAAGCAGAATTGTCGTATCTGGGTATTAGAGAACCCTCGTATCATCCATCAACGACGACTACATCCTCATCGAGTCACAATTTGGTGCGGTGTTTGATATGGAAGTGTCATTGGACCTTACTTCTTTGAAGACGCTGCAGGTAATTTTCTTATTGTCACTGGTAATATGGTGCCAAACCTTCTGGCACCTCATATCCAACAATTTAACCTGCAAAATATGTAGTTCCAGTAGGACGGAGCAACTTGACACACAGCTATGGAAACAATGCTGCATCTTTTGCGAACAATATTTCCAGGACGTTTAATTTCTCGATTTGGTGATGTCAACTGGCCACCAAGGTCAGCGGATTGAACGGCTCCTGACTTTTTTTATGGGGCTTTTTGAAAAATATTGTTTTTGCCAACAAACCAAATCCTGTAGAGCAGCTGAAGAACAATATTACGGAAGCGATTGAAGACATTCGTCCCGAAACCTACCAAAAAGTGATGGAAAATGTAATCAAGAGGCTTCAGGTTTACGCGGCTTCTAGAGGCGGACATATGTCTGACGTTATTTTTCATACCTAATTTCTAAGTTTCAATGAAAGATTAAGATGAAAAAAAATGGATGTATTTTATTTCATTTCACAAATATTTGAGATATAAACCAGCCAGTTACATATCGGCCACCCTGTACTATAAGCGTATCCTGTAATTCACTGGTTGAACCGGTGTATCAACCAGTTAGCCAATTTTGCGTCTTTTAATCCCCGTTGGAACGACCGGTTGTACAATAAACTTATCTGTATATTGATGGACACCACCAAGTTTTATATTTTTTCCAAAAATGTGTTGTATGTTCTACACAGACATTGTAAAATCTTAGTTATTAAAAAAAACAGTTTTGTAAGTAGGCTTTGAAATTGTTTTTTTTGAACAACCCGTATTTCCGATCTTAATGATGTGATATAACATACATTTCATGACATAAATTGATATAAAACTTCAAATGTCTAAAAAAGTAATTATATCAAATAAAGACCATGATACTAAAACTTTTTAAACTTTGAAAACAGCTTATATGCCTTACAGAAACATTTTAGAGAAAAGAAAGTTGATGAATGGGTTAATCGTCTGGATGTCATTTAAACAAGCTTCTCAAAGTCTGAAGCATTGGTGATTTGAACGGATAAACATGCGATAAACTCTATACCCCATTAGTTGTCCATTTACGCCCAGACAAAACACAACATGCCCAAAAGCCAGATTGTACAGGTCTGTATTTTCCTCAATAGTCTTGGAATAATCTAATAAAATGAATGATTTTTTTTATAGAAAGAAGTGCACATACTTTTCACAATTCTTTATTCGCTGGAACTACTTGAATCATCGTCCGAATGGTTAATATTAAGCATTACAGCTTCAGTTTAAATATCGAATATATTGTCCAGATCCCACATCTTCGATTGCCTCCTGAACGTGACGGATGCAATCTTTCCAGTGGTTTGCCGTCACTCTGTTGACACCTTCATAAAACAAATTTATTACAGAAAATTTGAATATTCTATTGTTTGAAGCCACATAGTTTCGCAGTGATAAGGGGGTAGCCTTGAAACGATCTTATTTTGGTTTTTAGCCATTTCGTCAATAACATTAAGATTATATTTATATGGTTCTGCTTTGACCATATTTTTTGATAGAAGCCATTGTTGAATTTATGCCTTTCTTGTGGACATTGTGGGACTTTTTTCTAGTTTTCTAGTATGATATGCAGCATTATCAAGTACAATGACGGCATTGTCGTCAAGCTTCAGCAGCGTTTCTTCCAACCATCGTTCAGATGAACTCCCGTCCACTTCTTCATGGTAGACGGTCGTTTCCTTTGACTCAAATGCCCATAGGGTAGTGGGCTCAAAGCCATCTTCACTTTCAATGTCACAGATAAGAACTCGTTTTCCTTTTCCTGGAAATAATTATCTCGTATAGTATTCAAAAAAACTAATAATTACAAGCAGAGTATCTAACAGGTGTGGGTTCCAAATCTACCAGATATAGCTAAGTTTTCAGCGTGGGCTCCTAGTTCAGTCTACTTGACTCCATTTTTACAATACTAATGACGAATTGGTTAGATACACGCACCTGACGGATTCTTTAGGCCAGTGGTTAGTCCATCTAACAAGGCTTGTCTTGCTGATTTAATTGTAGAGTCAGGCCATATAATTTAGGTTTTGTATGTCCTGCATTTATCCAGGTTTCATCCAAGTAATAAATCTTCCTGTCCTGGTTGCGGTATTTCTTTATTGATTTCAAATAATTTCTTCTCCATAAAATAATCTCTTGGCTATCCATCAAAATTCTCGTACTATTTCTGTCCTGTTTTCTATACTCAAATTGAAGTTATTTAAGTCAACTATAGAATGTGGTCTTTTTGAAAGAAGGTAAGTCTTTATCACTATTAACCTCAGTAATACTGTCTATGGTGGGAAGTTCCTGCCTTTCAAGAAATTGATGGACTTTGCGTCTGATGGCGTGATGGCATTCCTATCAAAGTTATCAACTGTATCTAACAGCTTCGTGTAATGGAGCCTCTTGTGTTGTGGAGACAATTTTTTGTTTTTTTATATTCTTTAACAATGTTGAAAATTGTCTTAGGTCATAAACCTGTTTTGTTCGCCACATGTCTTTCAATATCATGAATTTTCATTTCAGGATGCTCTTAAATTTCGCTCTTATAAACGTTAAGGGCAATTTCTTTTGCCTGAATATTCAAATGTCCCTTCTTGTCACGTTTTCGGGGAGGGGACATCAGTGACGAGAAAGCATGGCTGAATAAAGCAGTGGCAGAAATATTCTCAGTTTCATCTGCGCTATCGTATAAACACACGCTATGTATGCACCGAATATGAACAGCACCTGCCGGCGTCGGCGTGCCGACGATACCCCGAGCCTGAGTTCTATCCTGTCGAATCCTGGACTTGTTCGTAGTTTTATTCCGAATGACCAATACCTATTGCTTAGACGGCTGCCGCTTTGCCGCGCGGCATCTTTGTGTGCTGGGACGTACTAAATGGACTATGAATAGGGTATAGCTCAATCGTGAACTTATTTTTTTGGGCAATGTCGGTTTATGACATGAGTTTTTGGAATTAGACTTAAAAACTCTATTCACCTAAGCAAAGTTCCAATGTGGCAAGCATAATAAAAAGTTGATTATAGAGAGGACAAGAGATTGAATCTATTATTGGAATTCTAATTGTGCTACCTTAACTACATCTCAAAGGTTGTCAGGAAAATAATGGTTTCCGTAAAATTCAATTTTTTCCATGTTTCTCTGCAAATATTAATTATATATATAATATATATATATATAATATAATTGTGAAACTCTTCAAGTACCATTTGCTTAGTTGCCTGAATGTGCAACTTATTCAATCGTCTTCGTATATTCAACCGTTTCCGAGATCCCATTGGCGAGAGTCGAATTGGAGACATGAGGTATATTGTGTTTACAAGATTTTTATTTAGGCGAAAATCTTTGACACCCTGTATCTCAAATAAACAGTATTTCTGGGCTTTTCACCCACTAAAACATTTGATGAGCACAACATGAACTATCACTACAGGGTGTTCATTTGAGAACTTCCTACCACGGGTTTATCGAAAACCACTGCTTAAAATAAAAAACGCCTAGACACGTTCAAAGATTTGTCAAGGGGGGACAACTTCTAAACCTAAGACTACTGCTCCCCCTTTTACCCTCTGGCCCCCAGGGTCATTCCCTTAAAAATTTCAGATGACAGTATATACCTATCAAGTAATAGCTTGTTTGAAAGGTCTTTCGAAGTCCTTTATTTTGACGTTTGATTTTTTAAACCCCCAGGGGTTTGCCAGCTGTATGAAGGGGGTTCGCGAAAAAATTATGGTAATGGCGGAATTTGTCCGCAATATTGCAACACCGCCGCTACAACAATCTGGCAAGAGTTCTACTTCGGCCAATCAAGCGCACCGAGACCTTTCTCAGAAGGCACTGGAAAGAACGAGAATAACGTCTGCATATATAAAAAGGTCGCAGTCACGGAAGTACGAGTACAGTCGAACGCGCTTCGTGAGCCGTACGCATGTCGAACGTGAAGTTAAATAAATGTAATAATATTCTGTAAATTTAAGATGGATAGATGGTTAAAACCGGGCAGTTTTGTGAACTCTGACGAAAAGCCAGATGAACAATCAACTACTGCTTCTTCTTCGGTTCCCGATTTGGGGCCAACACAGGGTGGCGATTTTCAAAGTGACCTTCTCGCCAGAATAAAAGTAATGAGAAAATAGACAAGCATAGTGGAAAAAAGGAAAGAAACGAAAATACGACACTGACTATTTTCAAATGGATTTTTATTTCACCGGGGAAGAGTCGGAACCTTATCCGCTTTGTGTAATTTGTAATGAAGCCCTGGCCAACAGTAGTTTAAAACCGTGGCTTCTTCGTCGGCACCTTGAGACAAGACATCCGAATTACAAGGATAAACCTATTGAATATTTTAAAAGGAAATTGAAAGGTAATAAGAATTGTAGTGTCTCTTCTTTCTTGTCGGCGTTCAACGCAGATAGTAAAATGGCTCTTGAAGCATCATTTCGAGTTAGTTACAGAATCGCAAGATCTGGAAAAGCTCATGGAGTGGCAGAAAATTTGATCGGACCTTGTGCTAAAGACAGCAATGTGTATGCTTGGAAAAAAGCGGTAAAAAAATGACCTTGTGCCCCTATCAAACAGCACCAGTGCCCCGGAGAATTAGCGATTTGGCGAACAGTGTTGAAAGTGAATTTCAGCTTGACGAGTCGATCGATGTAGCAAGCTGTGCAATATTGCTCGTGTATGTTAGATATACTTTTGAGAATTCAATTCAAGAAGATGTGTTATTTGCAAAACCACTGGAAACTTATACGACTGGTGCAGCAATTTTTAATATAATCAATGACTATTATTAAAAACATGAAATCGACAAACAGGCACAAATATCACATTGAGTATTATTGCAAGTATCGAATTACTTTTATTCATATTATATTAATTTTTTGTAAGGATGTTAGTTTTAATAACGTTTCTCGGAATGTTTTACGTTACAGTTATGTTTTAATTTACTTTGCTCATTATAAAGATTATTTATATGTTTAATCAAGTTTGATAACAGCCAAATAGTACCGTTTTATTTACTGTCACTAACGACTGCTCAGGGGGTTCGCCGATGCATTCCAATTTTATAAGTGTTCGCAGAAAGAAAAAGGTTAGGAACCGCTGCTAGCTGATGCTTTTTTGCAAACCAAAAACGGGAAATAAAAACTAATAATCATCCATCTTTCTCTGGTCGCCAAATGACAAATCAAGATAACAGATTTTGTTTGTCTCCCAGGTTCGTTTGTTCTGTTCTTTTCATATTCTATACAGTCTGACCGGTCTTGTAACATGATATTCCACGAAGCCAACATTGCAATTTCAAGATGGCACCGCGTCACCAGAACTGCCATTTGTACTAGAAATAGGCCACCGTGGTGGTCAAAACGTCGTGTCAGTTAACATTAATTGAAACACATGTGGTTTCAATTTAGTGGTCAGACAAACATCTAGGATTATCAGCATGAGACAGACAGGATAAGTTTCAGATGTTAAATAAAAACACTACCTACTTAAAAATATGCTTTTACTTGTCTTGAATACAAAAAGTACATTTTAGGCTTATCAGTACTAAAAATATAACTATTCTTCCATTCCATGCTTTAACAGACATTTCCCAAAACCACAGGAGTATAATGTGGAATTATGCCATTTTATATCTTTCACATGATCCTTGTGTTCATCGTATTTGTAAATCGTCTCCAAACAGGTATCTTCACATGACAGTACTAACACCTCTTTCGTCTCGCCACAAACTGCGAACTCTGAAGAATCTTTGAAGGCTATTCGACTCACGGGTGCGTCAAAACAGGTGAATACTGTCACAAAGTTGTTAGTTTCTCTTTTATCTACTAAATATATGTCTCCTGCTTGAACCCCAACCATGATGTAGTTGTCACTCTGTTGATTCCAAGCAACACTGGTTACAGATGAGAATTCATTGACATACAGAACTGAAAAAAAAAAAATGATTACACGATGATATTCTCATCATGATTATGAAGAGAATGCATGATAAATGTGGCATCTCCCAATCTGGACATCATTTTTGTTTTACACAATATTTGATAGTTAGAAAATCTGAAATGCAACTACTTTAATACCCTATACTATGTTGAGGTAAACCAAAGAGAGCTGAGAGTTATGGTATCAATTTTATAGTCATGAAACATTCGATCAAATAAATCCATAATTCATTACTTATAATTGCATTCGTTGAGCTTCAAATAAGTATAAAAATTATTTGATCTACAATGCAATGACTTATTATGAGGTTTAGAAACGTACTTGGATTATAGGTCCTTTTTACAAACCACATCCTGATTCACAAGTTTGATAAGGACATTAACAGAAATCAATTATTCTTATCGACAGTACAATATTAATTTAATAGTAACAGAGAATGAGAGTATCTACTACATACATCTATTCCATTCGATTAAACCGCTCAGCTCACCCTTGTGTGAATAGGAGCTGAGCAGACATCTGGCAGCGCGTAGCGGAGCGAGTTTGAGTGCCCTAGGTCGCGCAGATCGTCTGTTACGCGGAAGTATCGATATTGGGCATACAAACCTGATGGTTTTTCTTCTCTGAGGTCCCAAGTACATGCAATCCTATCTCTACCTCCAGATGCAAATATATTTGTGTTTGACTTCAAACTATCCACAGTCATTATATTTTCTAGATGAATATTTCTGAAAACATACTTTTATCTACTAAAATATTACATTTAAAAATGAAGCAATAAAAATCCGAGAACTGTTTTACTGTTCACTTCAGATTGGAAAATATTTGTACTGTTGTCAGTGGCGGAGACACGGGGGGAGTTCAGTACATATTTCAATAGGAACGATGTAAGTCTTCAAAGCTCCTCCCCTGGCTACTATGCCATACCTTATGTCACTCTCCACCAAAGCGTGATACAAGATTTCCATTTGTTGGGTTGATAATAGCCTTTCCAGGCATCGGAGCTTCGAGAGAACCAATCGCAGCTTATCACATACGAAGTTTGTATGTTCATCCCACCTCGGATGTTCATCAATAATAACGCAAAGATACTTTACTTTTTCTGGAGCAGTGGGTGTGGTAACCCGTTTATACTGATAATTATATCACTTAACGATGACTTTGTAGGATTATTGCAGGTGAAGGAAATATAACAGGTTTTTCCCCAGTTTACTGTTAGTAACATGTGTTGAAGCCATTTAATTTGGTATGTCTGTCTCTACGGTGGATTTTAGATGCTGAAAAGTGTCGGCTTTGTAAAATAAAGCGGTGTCGTCTGAAAATCCAAAGATGTCACCCCTGCGTTGGGCCGAAAACATCTCGTTGATATAAATATTAGATAGTATAGGCCCTAAAACAGTGCCTTTGGGGTACCCCATACTTAATCCTTCTCAGGTCACTCACTTGATTATCTACCCTTACAAACTGAGTTGGGCAAGCAACTCAAAATGTTGTCAACAATTACCTCTAATGCCTATATCCTCAATGTAACTGCCAAAGTAGCATCCTATGTAGATACGTTTTGCTTGATGCCGTATTGTTTGTCCGATATACTTTTGTATTTTGCAAGATAGGACGATACTCTTTTCTTTAATAGCTTTTCGAATAAATTTTATAGGTGTGGAGTGAGAGATATTGGTTTTTTGTGTATAACTACGGACTTCTTAAAAGGTTTTGTCCCTCGCCCTGCTACACAAAAGTTAAAAATATATGTTAGAGGTTCTGCAATATATTCGGAAACAAATTTTAAGGTTTCAGCGCGAATTTCATCTGCTCCGGAGGTTTTTTTGATTCAAGTTCGTCCTATGATGTATTTTCTTACTTCAATATTTGTTAGAAGAACAAACGATTTCATCGATATTTTTCTATGCGGCCGGAAATTACTGTCTCTATTTATCTTTTCAGCCATGTTCTCTACTAACCACATCATTAAATTCGTTGGGTATTGCTTTTTTGTCTGTAAGAAATTGTCCAGAATGTTTTTATTGTGGTTACATCTTTCTTTTTCTTGTTATTTTCCACTTTCCAAAGAGAGTTTTTGTTAATCGAGTTACTTATTATTTGGTTTTTATAGTAATCACGCTTTGCTTTTGCTATTAAAGGTCTTAATTTATTTTTGTATCTGTTGTTACTGCATCCAGTTCCATGTCATCAGGGTTATTTCGTGTGCGTTTGTTTTTGTATATCTGTTGATTTTACGAGACAGTTTGTGATCCAAGGTGCTACTTTTGTTTATCCTCACGATTTTTTTAAATATCCACAAAATATCTAAAAATGAGCTGGTTACAGTCAGGATTATCGACTAGAAAGATCGCATTGCAGGAAGTGTTTTGAATGGTAAATTTTGATTTATTAAAATCCGTATGTTTTTGTATTTTATTTCATTTTTGTTTGAATTTTCTTATGCTTAAGAAGTGTCTAAAGTCCTATTGGGTAATGATCTGTGATATTAGTTTGTAGGATAAAAGATAGTATTTGACCTAGTATGTCGTATCTTGGCTTCAAGAATATATGGTCCCATGTTCCGTTATTATGGTAGACTAGAGTATGATTATTTATGAACAACAGGTATCTAAACTCATTTAGTATATTGAGATTCAGCACAACAGTTGTCATTTTTAAAAATATCTATATTAATATCTCTGTTGATAAATGAATAGGAAGCACCCATAGTATTGTGACTTTAAAGGAAATCAAACAGATTAGTGTTGAGTTCATTTGAATCTATCACAGGTGATCTGTAAATTGTTATCAGGCTCAAAGCATTGGAGTCTGTAATTTTCACAGTGCGTTTTACAACTTTATTATTATTTAGCGGTACTATTTGGAATCTATTGCTGTAGTTCCACGTTATATATACCATGACTCCATCGTTTTGTTTGATTGCACCTTTGTTATAAATTACGAGTACCTCATATCCTGCAATATTATAAAGAACAATACAGTCAACACTTGAGTTGATACTAGATAATAACATTTTAAAAACATCCACATCACAAAATCTCGAATATAGTGGTCCATATTGAAATTGAAAGAAACAAAATTATAATTCAACTCCTGATGGTATACAGTAGGTACTATAAAGAAGCACAGACAGCTAAAAAAAAAATAAAGATAAAATAACAATAATAAGGTGAGATATAAAGATAAAACACAGAGCTAAAAATGTGCAATGTATTACTATCTTTTCACAACTTAGTTCTTGGTTGAACGCGTTTTAGGTTTGTCTTGAACTACCATCATATGATATTCAAATATCAAAACATCCAAAAACATGGTAACTTAACCTATTATTACAGCATATTTAACTCACAAACAATCGTGAAACTTACACAAGTTTTTTCTGGTGTTACATGAAATGCTTTGAAAGCTACATCAATAGCAGTAGAAAAGGTTCTTTCACAAACTCAAATATAATTTTAATTGTACTGATCTGAAATGAACCAGCACTGATCACTTCACAAAGTACTAAGCTGAGTACTCAGTATTCAAATCTGATACAGGGCTTTTTAAAAAGTAGAACTCAGTGCATCCCCACTCTAAACCTGCCCCTGTTTGTGGTAAAAAAATAATTCCTCAATCGACATCTAGCAAAATTGAACATAATAAATAAAAATTTGTGCTACTAGGCTCACAATCTTCAGATTTGTATTGCTACACATCTACACAAGAAATATTAAATTACATACTACAATTTTCAAATGCATTATTTTTACCTGCGTGTTTCAATTTTATCTGCATTCACATCTGCAATGGTAACTGTCCTTCCAGAACAACATAAAACTTTGTCAGAATTATCCCATACTGCTAGCTGTGGAATTCTTTCTATAACTTTGATACTAGCTGTAGATTTAAGCGTAATGCCTTCCTGTGACGTATCTACTGAAACAATATTTAGATGCCCAGTATCCTCAGCTAGAGCAATCTTCAGGCACCAAAAAAAATGGGAGTGTAAATAAAAAATATGTAACCAGTCAAAATCTAAAGGTATCTAATATTAAACTTACTGTATTTTGGTTCACAAATTTCCCATCTGATGTAGTTGTGTGTATGTAGTAGCTCGAAAAATCAAACTCTTCTATTTTATTTTTTTTATCAAAGTAGAACAAAGTTCCTTCCCAGAAAGTTCCAGTTAGATCTGAGCAGCCAAGAATTGAATTTCCTAGAATGAAAATAAGTGAAAAAATTTTGTTAAAAACAAGTACAACTTATTTTCTTGTTGGGTCTCTGCTAATGAGCTCATTTGTCATAGTGCGAAATATGAGGTCCCTAATGGAAAAATATAATAAATTTAGAGAGAGAAGAATGGTGCCTCTTGGTCTTTAAACTAGTGGAAGAAAAGAAGAACAATTTCTGCAATGTGTGTTAATGTTCCCCTCCCCTTTGATTTTATGAACGGATCAATTCAAAAAATTAAAACTTGAGGTATGAAATTGATGCGTGGATATCATATTTTGGAGTAAAATTGATAGATGAAAATGTCAAGATGGCCCTCTTGGAAAAAAATTATATGAAAACGGGGGTCTTGTGGCACATCATTTTGAAGCACCTGACGACTTTATAGCCCTAGAATATAAAGTCAATACCTTTACTTACTACAAAATGGTGGTACATTTAATAATTACCTGAATACATTGACATTTAACTTGATAATTCGAATAAATACGTTGAGTTTAGAAGATGCTGGAAATGGTTGCCTTGAACTTCTTGACACAATAAAAGCCTGTCCGTAATTTCGCGTCCAACAATTTCAAACATAGTAACATCGATATTTCTACAAATATTTATTATTCTCAGCCGTATATCCAATATTGAAGCAGGTTCAGTTTCGTACACCTTTTTCTTCAAATAGCCTCATAAAAAAAGTCTAAAGGTGTCAAATCTGGCGAGCGAGCTGGCCATTCCACAGGACCTCGACGGCCAATCCAACGACCGGGGAAATTGTTATCTAAATAATTCCTAACTTGTCTGTAGTAGTGTGGTGGAGCTCCATCTTGCTGGAATATAATATCAGTATCGAATTCATTAGGAATCGCTTCGACGATTTCGGTGATTAGAGGGTCAATAGTATTTTACAGCATATCGAAATACAGTTCCCCGGTTAAAGTTTGTTCGATGAATAGAGGCCCCACAATATGATTTCCCAATATCCCAGTCCAAACGTTAATTTTTTGTGGATATTGAGTATGAGATTCCCAGGAGACGTGAGGATTGGTGTCACTCCAATAACGACAATTTTGTCTATGCACATTACCGTTGAGAAAAAATGTTCATTCATCACTAAAACAAATATTTTGGATATAGGTAGGATGCCGTGCAATGGTTTCCGTCATAGTCTCGCAGATTTCTGTTCCTCGATCAGGGTCATCTTGATGTACCATTTGAATTTTGTATGGGTGATACGTGAAAACTTATTCTTTTTCAAAAGTCTCCATACAGTAGAAGGGCAAACCTCACATACATTCGCGATGGAGGAAGTAGACTGTTAGGGATTTACTATGATCTTCTTCCAATGGACGAGAATTGATCATTTTAAAAATAGTTCAAACAGTATCTAGCACTAAAACCGAAAACTAAATAAGAATATTTTAAATGTACAATGATGTTTGTTTTCGTACTGATATTCTTGTCACTGTCAACAAAAAATAACAAAACAAGTTTTTATCGCTGTTGCTGTGAATACGGCAGGGAATTAAAATTATTTGTAGATACATATATGCATGTTAGTGGGTTTGTGTTCAAGTAATTATTAAATGTACCATCATTTTGTAGTAGGTAAAGGTATTGACTTTATATCCTAGGAGCTTCAAAATGATGTGCTACAAGACCCCCGTTTTCATATAATTTTTTTCCAAGATGGCGCCCAGCGGCCATCTTGAAATTTTCATCTGTCAATTTTACTCTAAAATATGATATCCACATATCAATTTCATTGCCTCAAGTTTTAATTTTTCGAATTGATCCGTTCAAAAAATCAAAGGGGAGGGGACATTAAACAAAACCACTGTATAGAACAACCAGTGATGGTACATTTAACATAACAACATATTTAGGGGTTTTTGCAGGTTTAACATATACACTACATTGTAATATGGAATTCTGCACAAAAAAATCCTGGATGCAACACTTTTTGTATGGAAATTTGTTTTTACAAAATACCATTTTCCAGCAACACCTTGACAACAGATACAAAACTAGTGACATTGGAGAATAGACAAGAGGAGATATGATAATGAAAATGAGGTAATTAAAAAGGTATATTTGCCAAAAATTAGTGAATAAATAATCTAAAACAGTACCTTGTAGAAATAATAGGGAAAAAATTGAAAAATAGATAAACTAAAATGTTTATAATTGTGTAAATTCAACTAATACAATATTTTCTGAAATAACATAAATGATAATCAGACAACAAATAAAACCAGTAACTTAAACAGTCTTTCTTCTAAAACAACATAATGAAGATCAAATGAAGTGAAAATAGAATACAGCACTGTAAAGATTTGCATCCATCCTGTAATCGAAATTCAATATCCTATGGTTTCTTCTCCAGCATCACTTACTTTGTGTTACTTTTGATGACAAGATATTGCTAGAAAATGGCGTTTTGGAAAAACAAATTTCCATATAAATGCATTGGCCATTATTAATCGAGATATTGAAAGATTAGTTGTATTTTCGGAAAATCATGGTCAACAGATTAATGCAAGCAAATCACAACTTATGTTATTTGGCAGATTGAAAGACAATATTGATCCCACTTTTCATATCAAAATAAAAAGTGAATCTATACCTTGTTCTGCCACTGTGAGAAATTTGGGAGTAGAATTTGACTCAAATCTAAGATTTAAGCCTCATATTAATAAATGTATCCAGAAAGCTTATGTTTCTCTAAAAGTTCTATATGCTATGTCCTCACTGTTAAACTCAAAATATTGTTTTGTGAAGCACTAGTTCATAACTTAAATTTGCGGTTTCGGGGCTACATATCCTCCTCCTCCTCCTTATCAAACCTCTCATTTTTGTAGATCTTTTTCATACAACATTTACCAGCTTCACAATCAAATTAATAATAATAATCTATATTCCAATTGTACAATGACATTACAAAAATTGTATAGCCACTACAAAATGAAATGTTGCGTCACTATCACCATAACTATAATAGTTTACCTGAGACCTTTTTTTGTGTTACATGGTTATTTATCTTAAAACAGCTACTATCTTATACTATTACAACTCCCATAGAACTCATCTATTGTACTAGAAATTGCTTAATAGTCTTTTTAAATTTATGTAAACTGTTTGTTTTTAATTTCATTTGGTAGATTGTTAAAAAATTTTAAACACATTCCTAATGTCTTGAAAATTCTGCATCCAAACCAATTTAAAATCAAATATAAAAATTTGTTTTTGAAAAACACATCAGTGGACATTAATGTAAATGATTTTGTACTATAACCCATCTATTTTCCGAGGCTTTCTGATGTAGGGCTTTTGTTTTTTTTTATATATATGTATATATAAATGTGTAATAACTACAGTGCTGAACTTGTATCATTTTTAAATGCCTTCAGCACTTTTTAATAACATATCTCATTTAAATGTAGTTTGCTAGTATTTTTACTTAACTGTATGTTGCAAATAAACAATACTATTATTATTATATAAAAAGTGCTTCATTCAGTATTTTTTTGTTCCTAATTACATATTGTTGTGTACATGTTAAACCCTAAATACGTGGTTATGTTAAGTGGTACCATCAGGGTACAACCAACACTTTTCAGTAGCATGCAACCAGAATTTTATGTACTTTAGGGTGAGGAATAAGTTTTCACAGTAAACAACACTAGAGCCCAATAAAAATACAGTATGCTGTTGTTTTGAGCCATCCCACTTTGCTTGGAGTAAATGAAACCTGTCTGAAGATATCAAACTTACCGTTTTCATCAAAATCTAAAAAAAGCAAATGGTCATAAAGGACAGGTTGTTTTGAAAATAATGTTCTGGGCTCCATTCCTTTATTGGGAGGAAAAAGGGCTCCATTTATTCTACGGTGTTCGAGTTCCTCAATATCAGTCATACTGTTATCTCGTTTCAGAAAGCTTCGGCCTGGAACTAGTATTTTCAGGAAACTCCCGTTTGATTTCAGATTAGATTTAAGATATTTTATTCGAATTTTTGAGGTTAGTATGCGGCATGACAGTGAAATGCCACTTCACTTGCACATACCCAACGAAATTGAATGTCCCTAAGAACTGTCATACAAAGAAAAGGTTGTGGCTAGGGTTACGCGTGGGTTACCCTGAGTATCTCCAGATAAATACAACTGAAAGCAATAAATCACAATTCCCTTCTAACGTTTACGAAAACGTATATGAAAATATATTCCAAACAGCTGTAAAGTGGCTACAGTTAGGATACCATTATTCATTTCAAATATTCAGGGTTTCTCTGACAATAACAGTTAGTTGGAGCCTTAGCCTGTGTGATTCTCACATATTCCTATTCTGTCGTTTTGTGTTTCACATTTCTCATTTTCCCCATTTCTTCAATCTTCATTTTCGTGTTCATTTTCATTCGTCTTTTTCTTGTTTCGTCAGGGTCTGTCCTTACGTCTTTAGTAAAAATGATGCTGCAAATAATTGGTTTTTGATAATGGTACTTCACGCACTTTTCTAAAGGTAGGTAAACATTCCTTTGCTGCAAATTTTCGTAAGGATGTTTTTAAGCAGCCAGGATTTTACTATATTTTCACACCCAAATTGCAGTAAAAAAACTAGGGATTTGTTTACCCAAATCTTCCCAGGGGCCTGGGGGTTATAGGGCCTATTTATCTAATAATTAGCTTACAAGTGCTATAAGCTTGGCAGAATTTAAATACGTGGTAGTTCTTTTCTAAAAGTACTCTATTAAGAAAACGTGCTCAACCATTAATTATAGCTCATTATATAGATGCCAGCAATCCACCTTTATCTAGTTTGTTCCCTATTTTGGTTTTATCTTTTAATCAACTACTAATTTAGCATTTAAAATCCTCATTACTTTTGGTATTATGCATGCTTTGTACAATACAAACATTGATTTAGATATAAATGTGAGCCTTGTGTAACAGTTCTTTTTTTTTCAATACAGGGGGAATGTTATGATAAACTTGTTATATCTAGGCTGTAGGTTGGTAGAATGGCAGAATGTATTAACAGAAACTCAGAAGTTCCCAAAGATTGCAGCAGTAGCCCCAGTCCTACAGAGACACTTGATTTGGAGTCTGTGTGCATTGAAAATAACCCAGGTACTTGTTAGTTTAGTAGCAAAATTTTCAGACACCGTTTTCACCAAAAGAAATCAGACAGGAACTCATATTCAGCACAATATTTATTGTTTGTGAAGCTTGCCCACTGAAGCAACTGCTTAACAACTGGCACTCTTGTTTTAAGGTTGTGGTTGTGTCCAGCCTTTTTATTACAGAGGAAAATGTTGGTTAAGTTTGTTTAATTTTTCAGCTAAATGTAAATTATCTTTCACTATATCTTCGAGGGCCCATTACAGTTCTGGCTTTTGTATTTTAGGAGATGGGAACTCCAATCAATTGTGGGTAAAGCTACTGACTATATACTTACACTAATAAGATGGTAGAATATGAATAGTCTATTTAGCTTCTTAAGGGTCCTAGTTGAAAGAAATGTCACAAATAACATATTTTACAAAAGAATCCAGCCAAATTATTCAGAATATGTAGTTGGTTATTACCAAAAACTCATAATACATAACATTATAATAAATACATGTGCAATGAAAGATACTAGAGCGAGCAACATATTGTATCTAGATATATTTACCTTGAGTGTGATGACTTGTCATCAACTCTAAGTGAATCAACTCTAAAAACACAAAAGTTGGATCAGAAATTTTAATTGAATATCAATGTGATCTAAATGATAGCAGAAGTGACACACTAAGAGATAGATCAACATAATATTTTCATTGATATTGATATATCAAAGGGCTGATATACCAGCTGATCCTCTGCTTCTGCATGCAAGGTATACACCAGTTTGGAAACCTTGAGCAAAGCAGATAGACTACAAACATATCTATGCAGGTCAACATATGCATTGCATGCATGTGTACATTGTACCTACAGTGGACCTCCGGTAATCCAACAAACATTATGCAGCGCAGTGTCTGACTATCGAATTTGTCAGATTATAGAGCACTGCCTAAGACCCCCTATAGTCCGGAATTTTTTACAAAAAAGTGCCTTGTAATTCGACAAATTACATATCCAATGGTAAGATTATATGTATATATTATGTATATGTTCGTACATGTATGTATTTTGAAGTACAAATCATACAACATAGTTTATGTATGTCGAATTTAGTAAATTAAATAACAATAGAGAGCTTACGTTTTATTATAAAATTAAGCATAAATGCACATACATATGTACCAAAATAATCAAGAATTATTAATCAAAATCATTAATGAATTTATCAAATTATGAAGCTTGGAAATATCCATCAATTTTTTTTTTGTTTAAGGTTGTTATAACGCGAGATCAGAGCTTTGTCCCTCAGTCTTCTCAAAAGTAAAAGTTCATTGTAGGATGTACCATTCTCTTCAGCCCATTGTAAACCTAGCTCAAAGGCGTTAATTGCTGTGACTTGTGGAGCAGTTGCAATCACGTCGTCGTTATTTTCCTGATTGTTTGTTGTATAATTAGAAACCTCTCTTATAATCTCTTCATCAGACATTTTATGAAAAACATTTTCCTCTTTATCCATTCCATGGCACCAGATTTCCAAATCTTCCGGACTTATCTGTGTTTCAGTAGCGACTTGTTCTATAACTTCTGAAGTTACACTGATTTGTGGAATGTTGCTAGGAGTGGTGACTATATCTGGCCATAACTTTTTCCAAGACGATTTAATAGTTGATGACGGTAACGTATTCCACGACTGACAAAGAGCAAAAACCAAGTCTTTCATATTAAATTCTTTTAAAGTTTTTTTCTATTGGTTGGTCTTTTGATACGGCTCTCAGAAGTAGGTTTTTCTTATAGTCTTGCTTGACAAACTGAATGATATTCTGGTTCATTGGTTGAATCAGTGCAGTGCAATTTGGCGGAAGAAACATCGCAGTGATGCATTTATCCTCAGTTGTTAGTTCTTCTTCAGACGGATGACCGGGAGCGTTATCAAGAAGCAACTACGCTTTTTGAGGAAAATTATGATCTTTTAACCATTTTATAACTTCAGGTACAAAGCATTCATCAAACCACTTTTTGAAAAGGTCTTTTGTCATCCATGCACTTTTTTGTCTGTAATAGTGTACAGGTAAATCAATGTTTTTGAATGCCCGTGGTTTATTAGATTTCCCAATGACCATCATCTTAAGCGCGTGTGTGCCCGCAGCGTTAGCACATGGTAGTATGGTTACACGCTCTTTACTTACTTTTCGTCGAGGTACGGATTTTTCGTTACAAGAAATGAAAGTTTTGTTAGGCATCACACGCCAAAAAAAGCCCTGATTCGTCTGCATTGTACACCTGTGACGGGTCAAGATTTAAATCGTTCACCTTTTGCAAAAATCTTAATTTAAAGGGCTCTATGTATGCAGGTGGCATCATTAGAAAGTATCTCTCCTGTAATAGTCATTAAACATATGCCATGACGATTTTTAAAACGTTCTAGCCATCCTTTGCTGGCCACAAAATCATCTTTTTTTATTTCCTTATAAAAAAACTTAGCTTTCATGGCCAACATGGGTCCTGAAATTGGTGCATGCCTATTTCTTTCCTGAAGAAACCACATGTACAAAGCTTCTTCCACTTGTGGATGTTCAGGTTTCTTGAGTGTCTGTCTCTTGCCTGGCCCGCAGTCAGTAGTTGACACGAACTTCTTGATCTTCTTGTGGTTTCTTTTAATGTCATAAATTGTAGATCGGCCTACGCCGTATTCACTTGCTAAACTACTGAAAGTTTCATTGCGATTTAAGCGGTCTAAAATGTCACATTTTTCTTTAATTGTCAATGTTTTGTGTTTTCGTTTCTGAGTTTGTGATGAAATTACTAGGTACTATACTTAATACACAATGAATAAATAGTAAACAATCAACGCACGCTAGGCCGTACCACTATCACAAGTAGTCAAATTAAAACTAAGTAAAACAATGCTTACGCGTCGAGCACGATAGCGGTGGCGCGTACAAGTTGTAACCTGTTCAAACCTGCGTGATCTACATTAGCGAAGATTGTCAAATACGTATGTATGTAATATTCAAACACATGTCGGATTACAGGGGGCACCGGATTAGACCGGTTAGGTAAATTATTGCTGCTTAGACATAAAGGGTGTCTCATAAATATTTTCTTATTTTATGCCATAAATAAAAATACTTAGAATATTTTTACAAATATAAATTTATTACCAAACGAAAGCCTAAACATTAATTTTATTTATGGAAAAGAGTATCGGATAAATGAGCACCGTTCATGTTTTCACACTCTCTTAATCTCGAACTGAAGTTTTCGATCACTCTCCGAAGCATTGCTCGAGGAATGGCGTTTATTTCATCTGTTATTTTTTGCTTCAACTCTCTCAAATCTTGTGACGGTGGGGTGTATACCTTACTCTTCAGGTATCCCCATAAGAAAAAATCTGCTGGTGTCAAATCGGGACTTCTCGGTGGCCAGTTAATGTCTCCTCTGCGACTGATGACCCTCTCTGGGAATAACTGATGAAGAGCATCCAAGGATTCATTCGTGACATGAGAAGTCGCTCCATCTTGCTGGAAAAACGTGTTTCTATTGTAGCCACCATGGTTCTGTATAGCTGGAGTTAAAAAAGTCCTAATCATGTGGCAGTAGCGCTCAGATATTACAGTTTGAGCTTGGCCACGATTGTCTTCAAAAAAATACGGGCCAATGATTCCTTGCCCTGACATAGCAGCCCAGACGATAACTTTAGGCGAGTGTAATGGCGTCTCATGAAGATTTTGCGGGTTCTGCTCGGCCCAATATCGGCAGTTTTGTTTATTAACATGCCCGTTAATGTGAAAATTCGATTCATCAGAAAACCATATGTTGTTGTAAGCGTTAAAATGCTCTCTCATTGTTCTACAGAACTCTAATCGATTAGCGGGATCTTGTGGTTTTAATTGTTGTGTAACAACAATCTTGTATGGGTGAAAATGCAAATCCTTGCGAATGATGCGATGAACAGTTGACTTATGCAAAGTTAGAGACGCTCCACGCAGTCTTAATGATTGCCGGGGATCCTCGTTAACGGACTGGCGCACACGTTCAATATTTTCGTTCGATCTTGCTGACCTTGGCCGTCCAGGCGGTTTACTAATACACGTGTTTCCAGTGCTCTCGAACTTTCTTACCCAATATTTAATTAAATTTGCGCTTGGGACATCTCTCATTCTTGCTATGTTATAATGATTTCTGTACAAACGACGTACAAGCACATAAGAATCCTTGTTTTTATAGAACTCGCGAACACAAAAAGCACGTTGCGGCCCTGTAAAACGCTCCATTGCAACTAAAATTTAACAATGTTGCCAAACGTTTGTCAACTGTCTCGTTTCTCCGGAGCATGCGTATTCCGCCAGAGGACTGATCTAAAAACGAAAATATTTCTGAGACACCCTTTATTTCAACAGGATATCTGAACAAAAGACTGATGAATTTGATAGTGCAATATTTGTTTTATTCAAACAACATATTTTGGTCATCCAATAATACTCTAAATCATTACTGTAGTATTTCCTTCTTATGACTCACTATTAGATAAGTATTTCTGTGAATCTCACCTCTGAGGAAGTGAACAGAAAAAATATCAAACAAAATTTATGATTTATAATGCCAATCGAAGCAGGTCAACTCCTGATAGGGCAGTTTTCACGTAAGAATCTGCCTAAAATGTATTTTAAATGTTTTTTGATTACACTGTTTTTTATAACTCTTAATTTGAATAATATTTTCCAGATTTAGTTTTATATGTATTCATATTTAACCTTTCGAAAAAAATTAAGACCATTAATGGCAGTTAAGTTTCGTTTTTTCATACATATCTAACAAAAAGATGTTTTTCTAATGCACTTAAAAAATGAATATATTTCTCTCTATTGTATTTCCAAATTTAATAGTATTCAACGTATAGACAGTCAAATCGGCAAAATAGGCTGATATGCCGATATTTATATTGGTATTGGTCCATCCCTGGTTACAATGACATCCGCAGATGACATATAGCATCAAGTGGCGGGCAACTCCAAACTAAGCAACAACAACAATTTTGCCTTGCTGATGGCTTTAAACCTTCATATTTAAGTGGTTCTATAGGGTCTGAGTACTCTAATTGATTACGTCTTTTCAAATGAACAATAAGCATCATTCATCTTCACATGCTTGAATAATGCTGCTCACTGGCATGTGGATTGTGCTTGTGAGAAATAAAATTCCTTGTAAGAATATGCCTATTATCAAAGATCTATAGGATCCATCAACATACATTTTTTATAGCACAACTGATTGCTTAAGACTGCACTTCTCTGTCGTATGAAAGTCAAAATAACGAATGTAGTTAGAAATGTTATATTCATTATATCTGTGTTGTACAAATATCAATTTTTGTCATTGATTGAAAGTAAACACAGTATATTGCAACATACATAGCAGCAGTATCAAAATGTCAAGATGAAACAACTGCATGTTTATTATGAATTAATCAGCTAAATTGATGTGGTTGCCAGCATTTTTATAAGTGTAGATTATAGTTTCAGTGTAGATTGATGTCCAATGTAAATATAAAGTGCCTAAGTGAACATAGAATCACATGTTTATACTCAAACCACTCTAATATGTCATCCTTTTGTTCCCCACAGATACAAAAAAATTGTACGAGAGAATAAATGGGTAGAATGGACTGTATAAATTTTGTCAAAAATATGAGGGTTGATCCTTATGCTCGGCCCCTGATGCCTTTGCACTAAAGATTTTACATTTTATTTATATTATTTATTTTTATATTCAATCTCTGCTAACGTCAATGCTCTTGTTAGTGTTCCAGCATTTTGATATCCTGATAAAAGCTTTGCTTAGCTGCTAAAAATTACTCGTATCATCTGTTCGGTAGTTGACTTTTTTTCTCATAGAGGACTAGGGCTGGCGAATGTAGTGGGTAATATACCAATTCAAAGCCTACTTGATGCAGGACGTATGGCTGGGAGCATTATAATAGATTTGATAATAGCCAATGAACAGAGTTTGAGTATTGAGGTTTTACATACTCCAAAAACAAGCGACCATTCGTGGATATGTTTCGAGGTGGAAAATATTTTTAATGAGAGGGAATCAAGAGAAATCACCATTATTGACTTTGAAATGTCACGAGAGTCACTCTTACAAGCCAATATCACTGAAATTCTTAGTGATGATGACACTTACATCTCTTTAATTTTGGATTGTATGGAGAACTGCATGAGACACGTGATAATGACTATAAAAAGTTTATGATCACTCAAACTGAGGAAGATTGGATACAATATAAGAAATCAAGTGTTTAATAAATCTTAGGAATGAAAAGGAGAAATATGGAAACAAAATTGATAGCAATAAAAACAATAGTAACCTGATGTGGAAGACACTAAAAAATATTGTATCTCCCAGTTGAAGGAATGAATTATTGAGATTGTGCTTTGAACATGGTATAGTAGTAACACAAAAAATATTGATTACAGAATGAATTAATGCTTACTTTATAGTATAAACGAGTTAGTTGAGTCAATCGAAGATGGGGATCTAAACCTGTGTCACATACAGGTTACTCATAACTCTTTTATGAGTCAATTCCAAATAATAAACATCATAGTCATAGAAGACACACAGAAATCGTTCTGAAATAATGTTTCAACATTATCGGAGAGAAATGATTATTGCTGGTGAATCACTGTTTAGTGTATGCTGAAGTTCCTTCAAAATTAAAATGTTCTACAATTACTCCTGTTCCAAAAGTGCAAAATTCTGAGTTAGATACAAATATGCTGCCAAACAAGAAGAAAACAAAATATTGAAGAAATTTCAAGCAGGATTCACAAAAACGTATTCTACTGAAACAGCAATTCAAATGGTAGTAGGAGCATGGAGGCGAAATATGGATGAAAAAAAGTTTCCAGTAACATTGTTCTTGGATTTCAAGAGGGCATTTGACAGGGAGAAATTGTTAACGAAATTGCATTACTATAGATTTATAGGTTCAGTATTCAACATATTACACAATTATTTAGGTGTGCCACAGAGTAGCAAATTAGGTCCATCACTTTTTATTTATATATTCCTGAACACTGCAAAATTCAACTATTTGCTGATGTGACACACACATATATATATATATATAGGTGAAAAATTAAAGCTTCCGCCTTTTGTTGGGTACTTCGACAAAATTTAAGCAAAGAGGACTCTTTATACTTTTTTAATTCTCTCTAGCTTTCAATGGACTTTGCCATCATCATCAGGAGAGTAGTATGTGAGGATGTTGCTAATTGTTGTTTACGTATAGGATGAGGGAAACGTCCAGTGAAGCCACTTGATGTAATGCTCTAATGTTTTTTGAATAATTTTTAATCTGTTTTTAACTTGTTCTTGTCATATTTTATATAATTTTGACCATTGTACCATCTATCCAGCTCTCACCATGTTACTGGACGTTTCCCTCATCCTATACGTAAACAACAATTAGCAACATCCTCACATACTACTCTCCTGATGATGATGGCAAAGTCCATTGAAAGCTAGAGAGAATTAAAAAAGTATAAAGAGTCCTCTTTGCTTAAATTTTGTCGAAGTACCCAACAAAAGGCGGAAGCTTTAATTTTTCACCTAACTGGTCTAGACGACAATGACCACGTCTCAAGTTATATATATATATATATATATATGAAATTGAATTTGCGATATAGCTGTTAAATAGTGATATGAAAAACGTGACTGATTGGTTAAATGTGAATGATTTCAAATTAAACACAAAACAAAATATATGCTAATAGGAAAATCTTTAGATCAATTAATCATGAAAAAATTGTGTCAATCGAATCATGTAAATATTTGGGCATATACGTAGATAGTAAATTAGAATTTAAAGCGCACTCTGAATATATTATTTCAAAAATACCGGGTGCGCCATCTTTTATATCGGTATGTAAACATGAAATAACTTTGAAAACGAAAAAGTGATTTCTATATATCGGGTATTTTTATTAAATATAGTCCTTGACAATTTATTGGGACTAGTTTTTGGATACAACATCTATCAAGTGGCCACATTTATTGGCCAAAACAAAAAGTGCCCGTTTTGCTGCGTTTTCCATTACTTTTTCGAGCATCTTTGGTGCTACAGCGGCGATTGCGGCAGGAATGTTTACCTTGAGTTCTTCAGTGGTCTGGGGCTTGCTGGCGTACACTTGACTTTTCAAATAACCCCACAAGGAGAAGTCCGGTGTGGTCAAATCTGGAGACCTGGGTGGCCAGTCAATGTCACCTCTTTTTGACATCAGACGTCCAGGAAATTTTCGTTGCAGAAACTTGATTGTTTTATTTGCAGTGTGGCATGGCGCATCGTCTTGTTGAAACCAGTAATTAAGACCTTTTTCACGCATTTTTGGGCAGACTTCGTTGAAGAAAAATGGCCTAATGATGGTTTTGGCGCAAACTCCGGCCCAAACAGTCACTTTCCGGTCATGCAACGGCATTTCGTGGATCTCATATGGATCATCACAATTTGCTTCACAAAATAAGGTTCAGCATCAACCATGCGAGCGACTGTTTGGGCGTATTCCAAGCGACGTGGACGGTCAGTTGGCAATATTTTTTATGTTAACTGCACCTTATAAGGAACCAAATGCAAATCATCCTTCGAAATGCGCCGCAACGTCGTTCCACTGATGCCAAAATGCTGAGCGCGGTGACCATACGACACTTTTGGGTTCTGGGCCACGCTGTCTGACCGCTTCAACCAATTCATTGGAACGTCTTGGTCGTTGATGAACGGTATAGTGACGATCTCCCACTCTCCCGTGCTCAAGAAAATTCGAAACCTAACGACGGACAGTGTTGTCAGACCTGTTTGCCACGATATTTTCGACGATATGCACGTTGCGTTAACACAACTGGACGACGATTGTAGTAAACTGACGTTTCAGAAACTCGTATAACCAACATAAAAGATGGCGCACCCTGTATCCAAGAAGATAAGTTACTTTCATAGAATTTCGCATACCCTAAGCATTTATTCTAAAAAAAATGTGTACAACACTATCATTCTTCCTCATTTGTTATATTGTACGACTATTTTGTTCACTGCAAACGAAACTATATTTTCAAAATTACAAATATTACAAAATAAGGCTATGAGAATCATCTTAAGTAAAAATAAATATACTAGAATAAATTTTATGCTGAAAGAACTACACTGGTTAAATATCAGAAATTTCATAACCTACATGGTTCTTATTTTTATATTCAAGTTAAAAAATCGTTTTCTACCAAATCACTAAGGGGAAATTGAAAAAATATCTCATGGAAAACCAGAATTCATAGTAGCGAAATTATGTATAAAAATATGTAGTCTTGAAGACATAATATATTATGTGATATATTGTGTATCATTGATATTATGGATATTGTCGCATTAATGCTAAATAAATCTAAAACAAATAAAATACTGAAAAAACAATATGCTACTTGGTAACATCTCGTATCTTTTTTTTAAGAGTGTCACACAGTTTTGAAATTAAGTTTGGATAATAGGTCATCTTGTAACAACTTATTATTTACTTTAATGTTACAGTTAATTTAAATTCAAAATCTTAACATCAGTGTATAAGAAACAGCACACCCTTCAAGAGTCACCACAATGTTTTGATGGATTTGAGTGGATCCAAACCTTAATTGTCGATTTTATGGCTCTCTGCTCAACAGGATACATTTCTATTAAACTCGATGTCACATGTGAACTTGAAAGCACAAAATGTCAACACAGTTTAACCTATAGACTTAATATTTTGTTGTAGCTTTGTAAGGTCACTTGTTTTAGTGCCAGCAGCATTCATTGCATAAGCATCTGCAAAGAGATCAGGGGCAGAGTGTAGAGTTCAACCCTTAAGGAATGAGATTTTGAAAAATACTGGATATTTGATACTATATACCAAAGATTAGATAGATCAGCATAATAGATCAGGTTCTTTCTAACAGTCACTTAGGATCCTGATGAGTGTTTACATAGGCTTAACCAGTTCAGTATAAGGTTTGGTAAGATCATGTTGTTCCTTAGGTTGGATATAGTTATGCAATTAATATATTTGACAGTCCCTGATAGTTAAAAACCCTTTGTTTCAACTAACCTCGTTGTTGAAAAATATAAATACTGGTGGTGACTTTTCGTTTTGACACGGATCAGCATTTATTATTATTTTACATGTCTTTTTTAGGTACCTCTCAGGTTAGTATTGGTCATATACAACATGATGACAAATACAACATTGATGAAGTAGAAAAAGTTGAGAAGGCAAACTTCCTCAATGAGCTAGGGTTAATTGATGACTATGATGAAGAGGATGATGATAGTGCCAATTGGGAGGATTGTACTGACCACGGATTTCCCGATGAGTTTGATAATGTAAGTTGTTTTTCTAGTGAACATATGTTAGTTTGCAGTCATTTCAGGCATTCGGTACTTTAGATTATGTGAAGCTGTCATAACTTTGATTTCAGCCTGAAGCGGTAGATGTTGGTGATGTTTGCTGCTCAAGTCGGACCTCTCTAAAAAATTCTCACCTGAAGCGGAGCAGCCTTGAATCAGTTGAGAAGGGCCAGGTATTTCTCACAATATCTAAGAACTGGCTAGCCTATTCATTCAGTAATAAGGAAAATATTGATAAAAATTAATGTGATGACATAACTTAGTGAGCTAGTATCATTCATTGATGTTGACTAGCTGTGACTTTGACTAATCTTCTCTCTGATATAAAGTATTCTGTGAAAGCCTGTCTGTTTGCAAAAGATCAGCTGATCCAATTTTTGTTTTTCAGAAAAAACGCAAATTGGAGGTCAATAATGGAAATTCTTGCAAACGAGTGCAATCAAACATCTCTGCTGATATGTCTTTATCTGACACAACCATGCAAGGTAGGTTCTAGCCATTGACTACTTGGGTTAGGATTGAATATTGAGTTTGGCGTTGCATTTTAGTGCATTTGAATCATGGCATTATAGACATGTTTTCATGTAATTGCTTCCATCCTTTAATGTTGCCAGACAATGTGATATTTGGTGTAATTTGCTTGAAATATTAATATATTGTGATGTTTTCTAATTCTGGTCTGTATGCAAATATAATCTAATTGGCTATTTTTCGAATTCACCACTGCGCTCTATTCCGCAGATATCTCGTCGTGCCCTGAGCAGCAGCAGCAGCAAGGGGAGACAAGATGCACCACCCCCACCTCTACCTCAAGCAGTACTGTATCTGTTTCGACGACGCCCTCTAGCATCGCGAATAGACGCAAGGTCATCCCCACCAAGGACAATCCGCCAGCGGAAATGGCCGAATGGTTGGCGAGGTTCAGCTCGTGGTCGAACGCTGAGCGGCTCATGGCCATCAACGAGCTGATTGAGAGGTGCGAGCCCACGCAAGTCAGGCATATGATGCAGGTTAGTTCAGGATGTTTGTTTAACATGGGGCTATATGGGGAATGGGGGGGGGGGGGGACGCCACACGGATTCCAGCAGGGGAACATGTGTTCATGCAATTCTGTCTCCGCCTTAGAGATCCGTTGGTGCCTCTCCATGTTCGACAATCTGATACCGTCTTACCACCTACAGACAATCATCTATAGCCAAAAGTAAAATTATCTTGGGACAGGATTGGAAGTAAATCCATAAAGTCTTCCACTAGCCACCGCTCTTGCCTTATTGGTAATGGTAGCCTGTTTTATGATGAAATTAAAGTATACGTCACAGAAAGGAAAACCAGAATGTACTATACCAGAATAATTTACTCTACATCCACATGATTACTGATGCCACAACATAGAGTGACGTGCAATGTCTACAAAACGCGGTCCAAACGCGTGAGGATGATGGCATCTCACAGATAAACCATTTACGTTAGAAAGGATGGAATAGTGATCAGTTTTTGGATAAGAAAATAAATGATTATTGCTCCTATAATTGCAGCTTGAAATGATATAAAGATTAGTCACTTTAGCATTCATGTCAACAGTTGTATCAAAATGAAATGATTACCAAACTGGTATCATACGTGGTGGACACTATAGAGTGGACCATAGCAACATGATTTAAAAAAAAGCAAACACTATATATACAAACTAAATAAATATAACTCTATTTATTTATATATACTCTTCAGAATATCATATTGTCCAAATGTCCGTATTCGTAAATTTCAGTCACACCTCTGGACGATGTATTTGTTCTTTCAAAACGTTTAAGGGCAAATATATTTGTACAATATGTCTGTGTGTGAAATTACCGACAGTATAAAACTTTTTCCAAAAATGGTACTCTGAACAAAACAAAACGAAGTTTGAGCGATTCTTTGGCCTTTTTCTCTGCCGCCACTGGACTGATTTTCCAAAGCTACGACCTTGGCTAGTAGTAACCTTGTTTGAAAATTTGATCAAAATCCTACCGATACTTCCACGGTTATAGCGGTTATGTAGTGAGCATGGTTTTTCGTGATGTTCATGTAATATCCAAAAGCATATCTCATTTTCCGTTTCCGATTTTTTAGCGATTACAACACTTCCTCGTCCAGTGGCGATTGGTTAAATATGCAATTTGAGATTTTAGAAGAATTGTATAAAACTCCATTTCATTTTGACCTCTATTAAGAATAACAGCAGATCAGTAAATGACATCTTTGTATTAAAATCTATAGCCTTGGCAATAATGAGTCGGGTGTGATTTGGGTGAACGTCAGGACCGTATTGAGAACTGTTTATACCAAACACTGATTATTTTTTCCACATACCTAGGTACTTTCAGTAACTAGGGATTTTGACAAATAAAATATACGAAGTAGCTATAGAAAAATGTCTATTGGAAAATTTTCATAGTACATCTGGGTAAATTGATTATGAGGTAAATCAGTAGAACATACTATGTTTTCCTTTTCAGTAGCTGTAATTATACATGTTAAAAATATAGACACGTTTTTTGGTTAACTTTCCGTCATAAGAGTAACGTAATTCAAATACAGGTTAAGTATACGCCAAACCTCTCAGAAAAATAATGAATAAACCCTATTTGACGAATATCCATCACGTTTTGACGTCTACTGATGTGAATAGCTGATCAGCAAGTTGCATCATTGTATTAGTATGTAACGTTGGCAATAATGAATCTGAGCCGCTTTCCAGTGCTTCATTTGTGTTACTCGTAGTAACTCGGAGCGACCCACCACCTGTCAATACTGTTCCAGTGCTCTAGAGGGTCATGCATTTTTGAAATCCCCTGCCCTCTCTTGCACCAGCTTTTTATTCGGTGTTATACGCTCCGAAATAGTGGGGATAACGAAAATCACAATGTGTTCAGATCGTTTTTGTTTTTTTTTTTGCATTAAACTCACATTAAACCAATTCCAGACAATGGAGGATGGTAAAAACTGATAATGTTATGACCCACAGTCACAACGTACATTTGGGGTGTTCCTGAATAATAAAGATCACAAGAAAGTGCAAGAATTTTACAATAAAATGCAGACCTATGACGTGTTGCGCCATCATTCTAAAAGTATCATCAGGCATCAATTGGATAGTCTGAAAATGAAGGCAAAATGTGTTTACATTTCCATTGTTTGGTAGTGTGATACAAATTGTCAACATCAAAGCAAAACATCAAAAAACAGACAGTCGGGTTCCCGTGCACATTTTCTAGAGCAATTTGGGAGCAGCTCAGGATATAAAACTACTAAGACTTGCTTGTAGGATTCGTCAGAGTGATCTCATTTGTATATATGGCGAATTTTGAAATATTACTAGATAATTAGCTGTTATTCTACGGTAAACGTATACTAGTGAAAAATACCATACAGCTTGTGTAAAACACAAGTGAGTAAAAAGTGAATCTTGCACGCCACATCAACTTACAAATTGAATTGACTGAATTGCCCTTGAAAGTCGCCTTGTTTTTCAATCTCTAGAAAGTAAAGATAATTGACATCTCAAAAACTTTTGATCATGTTTTATGTCTACATGATCATTAGGAGTCATTTTCTTGCAGCGTTTCTTGTGGGTGAAGGAGCTTTTCTAAATAAAAGTGATGTTAGTAAGAACAATACGATTCTGTATATAGATCTCATATTGACAGAACTTGTTGTTGTTTGGAGTTTTTAAATGTTACTAGATAATCAACTGTTATTTGCTGTCACGTTTGACGTAATGGAGTATCGTGAAAAGGCCATACATCTCTCTTTTGTTACTAAAGATAATCGTGTAATATTCCGTGTTGGGCCGTAAAAGTTGAATTGTTATGGGATGACATACATGTTTTGAGAACAACTTTTTATAGAGTTATAGATCACACTTTTCGCGGATGCTCTCAGCCTTATGAAAAACAAAAGTTGAGATTCAAATTTGTTCTAACATAAAATTGCGTATTTGCCAATCGTGTATATGACAACTCCTTGTTGGGCTACGTTCGTAAATTATTACAGAGTGTACTATGTACCACTGTGTAATAACTTCAGCGTTTGACATACTGGTTACATACGCTCGGAAATAGAACAAAGTAATCTTTTTGGAACATCAAAAGCGCTGCTTTCTTCTTGTGCTCAACACCTTGGGACTACGAGTGTTGTCACTTATCATTATCATGCGTACGCATTTTTGTGCTTTCTTTCAGGTTCCAGTGTAAAAATTGTGATTTTTTGACCAGGAGAAAAAGAACGTTTTTCTCAGTTTTTGACATTTATTTCACCATTTATTAAGCAACATTACTCCCGTCAAAAATTATTTAAGAAACCCGTTTTTGATGTTAGGAGCCCCTAGGAGCGACCTATCGATCTGAAAGTGGCTAAAGTGATTTACCCAATATACCTTAATTTCAATACCCTTGGGGCAATTTTCTTATGTAGTTTCGCCTATATCCTTCATCATCTTTCGTATATCTGAGGACTAAATATTACCATATTGTAAACTTTGATTAAAAAGTGAATGGATTATTTTTTTCCAGGTAATCGAGCCCCAATTCCAGCGTGACTTCATCTCGCTACTGCCGAAAGAACTTGCCTTGAACGTGTTATCATTCTTGGATCCACGTGATCTCTTAAGAGCGGCGCAAACTTGTCGAAGCTGGCGATTTTTGGCTGATGACAACTTGTTGTGGAGGGAGAAGTGCCGACAAGCTGGTATCGAGGATGTGCTCAGAAAAAGATCTTCTGCCAAAGGTCATTCCACTCATATGTCACCATGGAAGGTACGTTTCTTTCACACGTTTGAGTCTAAACTGTATCCATCGAAGAAACAAAGTAAAATCAAACATATACACCTGTATTGCACGTGATCAAGAACTTAACCGTAGGAGACGCTACAGGGCCGTATCAAGCTATTGTGACTGATCTATCAAAAAATGTCGTACAAGATATGTGTTGCTGTAAATTCTATCAAAAGCATAGTAAATTATCAGGAATATACCACGCCTTTCTAATCATATTTCGACATTAGGAATCAGTGCAAAAAATTCTGTATTCACCATTTCAGCAAAATGTTACTAAAACGCACACGAAAAAAACTTGTGGACCATCTCAATTGAAATTGTTCATATTTTATTATTTACTTACATATATACCCAATAATATTTACAAATCAACCTTCTATTCACAATGCAGAGCAACTTTTTTTGAGCAAATAGAAACTACAGACGTAGTAGTAGTAGTACAAAAGTTTATTACCGACTCCATAAAGTTTGTTAGTTTGATTGCTATTAAAATTTACATGAGAAATAGGAAGAAGGTCAAAATGGCACTATTATGCTTTGGAACTCCTAAATTAATCCTAATTTTGTGTAATTATAAATTTGGAATTGTGATAGTCTCCAGTTTTTTTGGATTCAAATGCCCACAATGCTTCAGGAACAAATCCATCTACGCTACCTATGTGGCAAATGATCAGGCGTTTTCCCTTGCCTGAAAGTAATTAGTTATTTTACTTCTCAGCGAGCGCACTAAATAACGAAATTAAGCAACTTACTCTTTTTAGGTTAGTGTAGGATAGGGCCTTAGATTAGTTTTTGGGTGAAGGAAATACTCAGAAACTTGGATGAGATAGCAAAACTGAGTTCGGAGCTTCCAAATCATTGATTCGATCAGAAAATGAATTATCTGCATCCAAAAAAGTTCATATACTTCGAAACTTACCTGCAGGATTTTTCAATCCCGTCGAAAGGCCATCTAAAAAAGCCTGCCTTGAGGACCTCACAGATCTGTCTACCCAAACCTTTCCCTGCGTATGCCCCGCGTTCACCCATGTTAAATAATAAAAATATAATAAATAAATTAATAATAATAAATTTTTCTTCCTTCAGCGCGGAATTGCCTAATTTTTCTAAGGTATTCTCTCCTCCAGATAACAATTTCCTCCTTTTCTATCAATAAACTATTCCTTCCTCTTTTCCAAAATCGAAAGTCTAGTTCTTTCAACAGCTTATGGAACGTAGATCTTTTAAAATTTGGCAGGTCCTCATCATCATTCACTTGCTTCAATATTTTATCTATTGTAGGTATTTCATTCCTGAAGAAAAAGTGATGCACTTTTCTTCTAATGGCACTTTTGTCAAAGTCATCTATTTTTTCGATGATTTTTTTTCTCTCTGGATATGTTTTTGGCTCAGATAGTGAGTGATTTTGTCTATATTCCTTCAAGATTTTGTAAACACTTGATCGACCTACTCCAGAAATTTCAGCAACCTTACATACGATATTTTCTATAGCCAATCCACTATTCTCTTGCATCTGGTTCTTGTAGATATTTAGAATAATTTGTTTTTCACCTGCGCTAAGATGAAGCTTTTTAACCCTTTTTCTGGGTGACGTTAAGCTGATTTCAACCACTTCATCAGCTGTATCTGTGTCAGACATTTTAGACTAATATTAAATTTCCGCAAGAAAAATCAAGTCAAGACGTGCATAAAACGTTCGCGCTCATAAACGAACCATCAACGTGACGCTGAGAGTTCCCTCTACTATGCACCGTTGCCAGGCTTAATGTCACAATGATCATGTTTTATTGGTAAAATTGTCAGAAATCGCCGAATGTTGATCAGAAACATTACAAGAAGTCTAACCTTGAAATGTGAGGCTACAAATCGATATTCTTATAGGGGGGAAGGGTAGGGAGCTGTTATGGTTCCTATTAACCTTGGTGAAAGTTGGAAACGGTAATATCATATATGGCATACATTCGGTTGAAGGTGTGTGCACGGAAAATAGATTGCGGATAGGATTTTAATAGATAAATCTGCACAAAAAAACACAAAAGGAGATTTTTGTATTTCCCTGAAGAATATCTCAAGGTTATTTCAGATGTACTCATCGAAACTTTATGGAAGGATTATCGAAACCTTATTTTCAATTGCGATAGGGCCACATACCTCGACATCGCATTAATGTGAAAAATAAGACAATAGAAAAAAATTCCCTCACTGATGCTATCTCTTAGGAAAAATTTAACTATAAAGATTGCACAAAAATGTTCTTCACCTTTTTGAGCTTATTTTCGCATCTCCGTATATGCCGTTCATAATTTGCTGCAGATCAAATTGGAATATACCTTTGTGATGCCATTTATTGTTATATAATGTCCTTTACAACAGTTATTGCACGTATTGCACCAACAGATTGATTTGTGATCCATGCGAATGTGATCAACCACTCTGGCGAAAACTCGCCGAGCGTGGCAACCGTGCGACTTTGTCTGGAGGCTCGTCGCTACAAGCCAATCAGGAAGAGGCCGACAGAGCGCCATGGCTACCGATCACGCGTTGATCACGAATCAACCACTGTTTACGATTACTTTGTAGCTTCGTTAGATACACTTTAGCTCATTTTCATTGTAACATTTTAGACTATTACTGTAGGCCGGTAAAATGTCTTGTTGGTTATGGGTACTGCCAGTGATGTCAGGTTATAAAAAAATATCAGACTAAATGGCAAAATAATATATTTCCAGTATTCCAATATTTTATGCAAAACACTTCTTTTCTCCAAAAACGCCAGTGGCGAAGGGAATATTTCCTACTAGGGGTCCAGGTACCCCAGTTTCCACCTGCTCCGAAGATAAATATTTTTTAATTTTGTAAATAAAACTCCATCACCCTGTATATCGCGGTAGGAGAGCATCTTTGAACTCATACTTTTAGGAACTTCTTTGTTATTTTTGGATGTACTTTCTACTCTAGAAATATTGGCACATCTTTTCGAAACATCCTGTATAAAAGTTATCGGCACGGGTATTACGTATCTTGAAAAGTGACATTTCGTCGGTTTTTTGTGACATAACGTAGGTTTTTTTACAGTATGTTAACTTAGCACAAGCTGTTGTACACTTGTTGTGAACTCGTTTTGTAACTGTACGTGCGGCTTAAACGACACCGAACAGCAAATGGCGAGCATACGTGGAATGAACTATTTGCACGCTAAAAAGTATCTAGTCTGCAAGAGGACATTTTGTCGGTTTTTTTGACGTTTTTTACAATAGGGGAAGATGGATGTGACGTCATCCACATGTCAAAAAATCACGTGGTACGGGTAACCGCCTAACGTCGGTGAGGTACTAGCTGGTGACAGGTCTTATGTCAATGTCATTTAAAAAGTAGACGTCTCAATTGAAAATTTGTCTTCGCAGTGTCGGAAATTGAGTTAAATTAATATCATAAATGGAGGAACTGTCAAAACTTCGAGAGGAACGGGAAATTCCATCTGTTCCCGCTCCGTCCACTACGGGAACTCGCAGAAAAAATCTCTATAATATCCCCGCCGGTCTAATATGAAGTTTTTCATGTAACATTTTTTGTATACCGGGTGACCAGGAAAAGTGCTGTTGACTAAAGTTGTATTTTTTTAAAATATTTACTGTGAAAATGATAGTATGTTTTTTCAAATTTCAAATATATGCAACAAAATATACTAAATGCCATATAAAATGCAACACCCAGAATTATTTTTTGAATTTTGATGAAAACTTGTAAACATATTTGCTATCTTGGAATTATACGCTGATAAAATGTTGAAGGCATTCCGAGCCGTATTTTTTGTAAAAGCTTTTATGTCATATCAGGATCCGAACAATATGAACATGTTTACTTAATATTCAGTGATTTTTCTGTGTTGGTTCCATATGCATTATGAATAGAGTTCGCAGACGCGCTAATTTCACTCAATTTTCCGAGATTGAGAGAGGTCGGATAATCGGGTTATGGAAGCCAGATTTTCTTTTAGAGGAATCGCTAATCGGGTGAATCGAAACGAAGCTACTGTAATATATTGTCGAGCATGGTTCCAAAAAGGCCGAAATCGACGAGTAATAAGTACTGGACCTCAAGACAGACTACAGAGCGACAGAACCGTTATTTTTTTTTTATACTCCAACTACCACGAAGGCCTAAGGCCTAAACACCCATTGGGTACCGTGGGGCTATAGGGGGATACAGGGGAACGGGGGAACGCCACACGGACTCTGGCGGGGGAACACGTGTGCATGCAACATGCACACATTCTGGCTCCGCCTACGAGATCCGCCGGGTGGTACCTCCGCGTTCGACAGTCAGAGACCGTCTACCACCTACGGACAATCACAACATCCATAGCCAAGAGAAAAATTTCTCCTGGGACGGGACTTGAACCCGCACAGCGCACGGCGACTGATCAGGAGACCGAAGAGTCTACTACTGCGGCCACCGCTGCTGCCTGGACAAGGACAATGTCGAGCCAGTGGTTTGATACTGTCGGAAGGGCAATAAGAATGAGGGCAGTTTATTGCCGAATAAGGTCTTTTGGACTGTTTTTATACCATCCCCATCTTGTACTACCGCTGAGCCTTCAGCATCGACGGAAATGATTAGTATGGATTAGGGAGAGACTTGAATAGAATATGGAATGGAACTCAGTCATATTCAGCGCGGAGTCCAGATTCTGTTTAGTCACACAGGCACACATGATGGGCGTCAAGAGTAAGGAGACGTAGTATATTCCATCGAACGGCATATTCATCGCACTGTGGGTGTTATGGTATGGGGTGCCATTGCTTATGGCAGCAGGTCACGATTAGTGTTCATTCGAGGTAGCATGACTGCCCATATATATATATACAGTAATGGACAAAAGTATATAGACAAATATGAATATTTACCTAAATTCCTTTAGAAAACGAATTCATACTTCATTGCTCCATAAACAAATGCGTTATTAGTAGAAAAACTAAATTCCTTGTTTTTACATTATCTGCAATGAACACAATACAAGTCTGAATATAAGCACTTTTTTATGAAGGACAAAAATATGTAGACAAATTCTTTTCAACATTAGTTTAGTACAGTTTCGTGTCAGAAGAGGATTAGTTTGTGTTCATCAAGTATTGTGGAATAAGTTGAGTGATTTTAAAACCATGCTGCGTGGTCCAGAAATTTCTTTCGATGTGAAAACTAAGATCATTGAGTTATACAAAGATGGTCAACGTCAAGTCGACATTGCCAAAAATTTGAAGCTGAAACGTAAAGTATGTAATTTCGTCCAAAGATCCGTTTAAAACCCCAAGACAAATAAAAGCCGAAATCGATACAAAAGGGATTGTCAGTGTTTCTACGAAAACGATAGTAGGAGATTAAATGATTTGAAGTTATTTGCACGTTGCCCGAGTAAGAAGCCTGAATCTCGAGGAAAAAACCGTAAGGACCGATTACAATTTGCACGGTTGCATCTTGATTAGAGTATCTGTGGCTGGAAGAGGGTATGTTTCAGTGACGAATCCAAGTTCAATATGTTTGGATCAGATGGTGTTCATTACTTAGACGTCCTAGTGGACAAAGATTGAATCCCAAGTACACTTTGCCCACTGTCAAACATGGAGGCGGGTCGGTTATGGTTTGGGGGTGCTTTTCGGGGTTTGGGATTGGACTTTTACATAGAAGAGATGGCATTATGGATAAGATTGTATACACAGACATACTAAAGCATGTCGTGTTACCCTATTTGGAAGACAATATGCCCTTAAGATGAATCTCCCAGCAAGATAATGACCCGAAGCACACTTTAAATCTCGCAAAAAAATTCTTTCTGGATGAAAAAATACCAGTTCTCAAATGGCCTTCACAGTCTCCCGATATAAACCCCATTGAAAATCTATGGGAATACTTAGATAAGCAAATACGAGATAAAAATTATTCAAAAAAGGATGAACTTTTTGCCGCTTTAGAGCAAAAGTGGAGACAGATTGATGAATCTTATATCAAGAAACTTCTTCAATCTATGCCGAGACGATGCCAGGCGGTGATTGATAATAATGGTTATGCTACAAAATATTAACACAAACATGGTTGGTTTTCTATAATTCAATGAACTTTGCTTCTTTTTTCTATAATTGTTTTGCTTTGTCTATATATTTTTGTCCTACATAGTTCCAGTTTTTTTCAATTAATTCTTTATTGAAGGGAGTCTAATGAATTTATTTATGTTTGAGTATTATGCTCTAAGGAATTATGTATACAGGTTGGTGTATTAATAAAACAACTTAAAAAAGAAATACAGCACAATATTAATTTGTCTATATACTTTTGTCTATTACTGTATATATATATTTATATGTGCTATATCCATGGAGTTTGACAACCACATCTGCTTCCCTATTTGGAAACATTGCAAGATCCACTTTTACAGCAGGACAATATACGACCTCATGTCGCACGTGTTAGTTTAGATTTTTTAAAAGCGTCCGGAGTAAACTTGCTTCAGTGGCCTCCTCGATTTCCAGACCTTTCCCCCATCGAACATGTATGGGATATGATGGGAAGAAGGGTGCCAAATTCACCGCGCCCTCCACAAACATTGGGGGCTCTACGAAACCAGATGGTCTTTGATACAATACACCAAGGAGACATCAATCACCTAATCCAATCAATGCCACGGCGACTTAACGAATGTGGAGCGAACAGAGGAGCTTCAACACATTATTAACATTAACGTGGGATACACTTTCTATTTATCAGTAGACCTAAAACTTGTAAAAGTATGTTCAAAAGTACAACACTCGTAGTCGGTGTTGAATTTTCTATGTCTTTAGTATAATTTTTATTTTGTTTGGTGGGATAACGTAAGTTCATAGATTCGATGATAGTTTGTTTTTATTCAAAACTATTATTTTTTTCAGGCGGCATACATGAGACAGCATACCATAGAGACGAATTGGAGATCGAAACCGATTCGTCCACCAAAAGTATTAAAAGGACACGATGACCATGTGATAACTTGTTTGCAGTTTTGCGGAAATCGTATTGTCAGCGGATCGGACGACAATACGTTGAAAGTTTGGTCTGCAACAACAGGGAAGGTATGTAAAATTATTAAGAATTCATGCACTTCTTGCAAGGCCTGATCCATATTCTTCACCCCTGACCCTTTTGTATAGGCTTATTTGGTTAATGTTGTTGACAGTAAAACAAGTGATCTTAGTACGCTACATTCCCAAAATGTTTATATGTAAAAATTTTATATCAATATATGACTATTTTATCGTCTTATTCCTGATTGCTAATGTTCTTTTTTTTCAGTGCTTAAGAACTCTAGTGGGACATACGGGTGGCGTGTGGTCATCTCAGATGTCCGGTAGTATAATAATTAGTGGTAGTACCGATCGAACGTTAAAAGTGTGGGATGCTGATACAGGAGTTTGCTTACATACCCTTTATGGACACACATCTACAGTTAGATGTATGCATTTGCACGGGAATAAGTAAGTCATTTTTTAATTGGTGGTAGTGTTAAGGCATATACATTTTTGAAGAGTCTTACGATGTCTTTAAATTAAATGATTAGACTGGCAACTTAGCGTTCGATCTGGCAACACTGTAGGTTCCGGGCTTGGACGGGACACAAGGGAACATGTAATCCGCCTTCAGTACAAGTTTGCACTCGCTCTAGTCATTTGGTTGTCCGTCCCTTTTTTTGTGCGCTTTTGTACTAAAAACGAATGATGTCAATTACGATCAACGATGTGCTATCAGGTTTTGCTTCAGACTGGGACACGGTGCAACGGAAATTCTTGCTAAGCTTCAGCAGGCCTACGGAGATAGTGTTTTGTCCAGAGCCCAGGTTTTTCGGTCGTTCAAGGCATTTTCAGAAGGGAGAGAGTCGATTGAAGATTAACCACGAAGGGGAAGGCCTTCATCTTCAAGAACCGATTAAAATATCGACAGAATCCGGGATCTTGTGACGTTCAGATCGTCGGCTGACAGTCAGAATGATCGGGGATAGTTAAATTTGACTTACACCATCGCCCAAGATCCATAACAATGGGGAGAGTCGAAAATATTCAAACGGCAGTAACCGATCAGCTGAAGGCTATTCCAGTATCGGAGTTCCAGCACTGGTATGAGGAGTGGAAGAACCGTCTCCAGTGCTGTGTTCCGGAAGGAATTTATTTTTAGGGTGACAATATAAAATTTTCATTATATTTGCATACAAAATTAACCTATCAGAAAATATCTGATCTTTTAAATTCCATGATAATATGAACCTTTTTGGTTTGACAATTTTTGCTGTATCTCGGAAAATAAAATGGTGGGGGTGTGTATTCAAAGGTTTCCGTAAAAAATACCCCTTCGAAACGGCTGAGCCGATTTTAACAAACTTGCGCTAGTTGAAAAGAGCTGTTTTTGGACTACAAATGTTATAATACTTTAAGTTTTGTTAGTTTCACAGGTCGGCCGCTAGAGGGCTTTTTTCGACATTCCGACAGAAATGGTTATTTTCTCGAAAAAATTAAATTGCATTGGTATGATTTTTCTTTATGAAAAAGTAGCTAAATGATATGTTAACAAGATTGCGAAAACCGGATATCGGTGCATTGTTCCTAATCTAAAATTTAGGTCTAAGAAAAATATACAGGGTTATCCAAATTAAGTGTCCACCATTAGTAACTTTGTTATTAGTGAAAATACAAAGTTGTTTGAATTAGCAAACTAGTGGCATTTTTAACGCTGGTAAAAATGAGAAATAAAAAAAAACAATTGAGAATCGTTATTTTGATTTTTTTCAGTAAAATAACATTTTTTTAAATGGAAACCCCTGTATATTATATTTTTTTCTGTTAAAGCATCAAATTTTAAACAAAAAAGTTCATAATGACTTTTCCGCTAAAGTCAAAAATAAAGTCAAAATAACGATAAATATTTTTAATTATTTGCAGTATTATAATATTAAGACGGCTATGAAAACAACATGGCGTTCGCGATTTGACAGCATTAAGATAAGCGACAAATTGTTAAACTGGACAAACTCGCAACTAGAAGGCTTTGGAAAACAATGATAAAATCAAATAATGTCAAACATTAGTGTAAATACTTGTTTATAAGCTTTATTGTGTCATTAATTTAAAGAAAAATGTTCTCCCATGAAGAAAAGTGTGATATGTTAGAATGCTATTTAGTGTGCAGAAAATCCTCCTTGAGAGCAAGAGAATACTACAGTGAATTATATCCCGCTCGCATTCAACCGTATGAACGATATTTTCTGAGACTTTATCGAAAATTTAGGGGCAACGAAAATGTTTTTGCTAAAACAAGGGCAAAAAAAGAATTCATAATAAGCGAGGCCACGGAAATTGCAGTTATTGGATATTTTGAAGCTTATCGTGAGAATTCAATAGCAGATATTCTCAAGGACTCTAATTTCAGTTATGGTACTGTTCAAAGGATTTTAAAAAAATACAAATTTATTCCGTATAAGTACCGACCAGTTCAAACGCTTTTGGCAGGGGATCCAGAGAGAAGACTTGTTTTTTGCCATTGGTATCTTAGCTTCTGTCGCCAAAATGTAAATAACTTTCGTTACCTTTTATGGACAGATGAATCAAATTTTTCAAATTCTGGAATGTTTAATAGAAAAAACCACCATTATTGGTCAAGAGAAAATCTTTTGTTAGTAAATCCAAGAGGCCCACAAGTCCGTTTCAGTTTCAACGTTTGGTGCGGTATAATTGGTTCAAAAATTGTTGGCCCGTTCTTTTATGAGGGAACCCTAACTGGTGAAAGATATGTGGAATTTATGTCAGAAATTCTGACTAATTTCTTAGACGAATTGGATCTTATAAGTAGACATCATCTGCATTTTCAGCAAGATGGCGCACCTGCCCACAACTCCAGAGGTACTTATCATTTTCTAAGTACTACTTTTAATGATCAGTAGATAGGAACAAATGGCCCAATACAGTGGCCTCCCAGATCACCAGATCTAAACCCACTTGATTACTTCTTGTGGGGTTACTTAAAGAACCAAATTTACAAGCGAAGGTACGATAACCTTGACGCGTTAAAGTCTGCAGTTAGGGAAAAGATAACCCAGATAGATGGTAGGACCATACTTAAGACAGTTCGAGCAGTTGAAAAATGTGCCCAAAAATGTATTGAAGAACAAGGTGGTGTTTTCGAGCATCTTCTTTAAAAAAAATTGTTATTGTATTTTGTAAGATTATAAGTTGATGTTGAAAATAAAGTTTGTCGATACAATTTAATTGTTTCAGATTGGAGGCCATAACTTCAACAATTTGTAACCTAGGAGAAAAGTTATTGTAAGCTTTTTTGTTTAAAATTTGATGCTTTAACAGAAAAAAATATAATATACAGGGGTTTCCATTTAAAAAAATGTTATTTTACTGAAAAAAATCAAAATAACGACTCTTAATTGTTTTTTTTTATTTCTCATTTTTACCAGCGTTAAAAATGCTACTAGTTTGCTAATTCAAACAACTTTGTATTTTCACTAATAACAAAGTTACTAATGGTGGACACTTAATTTGGATAACCCTGTATATGGAAATCCCTTAAATTTTTATTTTTCTAAACTAATTTTTCTGGGATTTCTAAAAAGGACCGATGTAAAACAGAAAGGTTTTTAATGCCGCTGTAAATGCTCAAATGCTTACCATCATGCTCTATGCATTCCTGAAGCCTGTCATGGTTAGACAAAACTGCAGCTTCAATTTCGGCTCTCGGTATGTTACGTATTGCATTACGAATCCGGTTGTTCATATCTTCTCTGGTTGTAGGTTGTAGTTGAGTCTGAAACACGATGTCCTTTAACCGTCCCCATGAATAAAAATCAAGACACGATAAGTCTGGTGATCGCGAAGGCCATGGAAACAAACTTCTTCCAATCTCTCACTGTTGAAATACTGCATTAATATGCTCTCGCACAAGCATTGCAAAATGTGCTGGGCAACCATCCAACTGCAAAAACAAGTTTTGCCGTGTTTCTAGTCGCACATTTTCCATTAAAGGTGGCTTCATCGGTCCAAAGAATTTGTAATAATAATTCTCCATTTTCGCGTATTATGCCTAACATCCAACGGCATAGTAGCTTCCTTTTTCAAGGCCTGATGCAAAAGGACATGGTATGGGTGCATTCTAAAAGGAATTAAAATAAGTTGAATATAAATAAATCCGCATATTTTAATGGTCCTTCAAAATATTTTGAACCGTTGTTCGGGATAATGCTCTTGTGCTAACATGTGATTTCCTTCAATATATCCCAGTACGCGGTTAATATTTTCTTGTGTTCTTCCAATTCTTTGTCGTTGAAACGTAGGCCGAAAACTACCATTGGCTCGTGAGCTCACCACTAATCGGAAAAAGTTCTCACATCGCAAAGGCGCCGATTTGGAGTCCCGTAAACTCTCTTTACTACTGCGGCATTCGGAAAATATTCAAAATAAACTACGAGCATATCACCAGCTTCATCGTTCGTAAAGCGCATTTGATAAACACAGAAATTGCTCAAAGTAAGGCGAAACTATTGACAATTTGAGGATTATTTATGTTTTGATTAGGTATTTGTTTTGTTGTATTCTATGCTCTGATTCTATTTATTGTCTTTTTCGTATATACCCATAGTGAATTTGCATTTAAACAAAAAATACGCCATTTCTTATTAGCATTACTGACCTTTTAGCGATATTTTGTAATATTTTCAAAAAGGGTGATTTTATTCTGATGGATAAAAAAGCATTCCGCAAATATATATATATGTATGTATATATAATAATAAGAAATAAGAATTTCGATACAAAATTTTCTTTGGCCTAAATTTTAGGTTAGGAACATTGTATCGCGATGCAGTTTTCGCGAGATTGCTTAGACATCATTTAGCTACTTTTTGAAAAAGTTCACATTATCCTCGACTTTAAAGATCAGGTATTTTTTGTTAGGTTAATATATCGGAATTCACAGAAACATCACTTTTTAAAATTCAAGATTGCAGTTACGCCTGTAGCGGCGATTTTTGAAACTGGAAAATCTTTTAAAGGTTTTTCTCTTAGCCGTTTTAGTAAGAACTTTTTTTGCCGTAATCCTCTACGATGAATAGGTTCCCAGTTACAGTACCCCGCATTCTTAGTTATCCAACCCTGTACAGGAAAATTCAAAAAATGTTTAAATGAAAAATGTTTATTCAGCACATGGGGTTTTTACTGTAACTTGAACAAAATTAACAACCTCTTATCGAAAATATCGAGAACTATCTCAACGCGTGCAGTCAAAAGAAAACATCTCTAATATTACCACAAGAGTGTAACCACTAGGTAGGAACTTGGCAGTCAACAGTTACTCATCAGTCTTCAAAATTTTAATCAGACTTATTCAAAATAATCAGTCAAATTAAGGCTTGTTAAGTGCACTTCAGTAAATAGTCCGATTTTTATTAATATTTTGATACTATATATGCTAGGCCATATAACGTCTTTTCGATTTTCTTTTATAGACGGTAGGCATGTTTATATATCTGAAAGATGAAAAGTAACCTATTATTTAGATTTGAGTAACAATATATATGTATATAGCTAATAATGAAAAAAAAACAATTCAAAAACTCATCACAAAATTGCTTTGGAGCATAGACCAAAGTTGACCAGAAGGGTGGGTCAAATTATGCTCAAGATTTTAAATATACTTCTCACAAATATTTCTTAAACCGTTTGCTTTTTGTGCGACCCATGGGATTTCCGTGTACCTGAATCGTAGTCAGATTGAACACCTTTTTTTCCTTTCAGGGTTGTAAGCGGCTCCCGAGACGCCACCCTGCGCGTGTGGGACATCGAGACCGGCGACAACCTGCACGTGCTGGTGGGCCATTTAGCGGCTGTGCGGTGCGTCCAGTACGACGGAAGATTCGTCGTGTCCGGGGCGTATGACTATACCGTCAAAGTTTGGCGGCCAGAGACTGAGGAATGCCTGCATACATTGCAAGGACACACCAATAGAGTTTATTCTTTACAGGTATGCCAGTATGAAGTGAATTGTGTGTATTGATAAAATATCCCATGGATTTGATCACTTAAAGCTATGTACATATATGTAAAAACACCGCGAACCGAACCTCGCGACGAACCACGCCGCATTAGTCTAGACGGTGAAAAAAACGCCGTCGCGAACCTGATTAGTGTTACAGCTCGCCGTTCGGCCCGATCCAGACTGTCGGTTTTTCAGCGTAACATCAAAAGAAAGGCTCGCGACGAAGTTGCACATGTTGGGACAGGGATATCGGTGCGGCGAGCACAGGGCACGCGCTCATATCAGTAAATGGATAGAGCCCGTGAAGAAAATATGGAATGGTCGGAGGAGAAAACTTATGAGCATTACAGAGCAGGGGAATTGTTGTGGGATGCAAAACATACCCTCCATTACAATAAATTAAAAAAATGAGGTGTTTCACTGAACGACAAACATCAAAATTAGACCGTCATTTTGTTGCGGGATGATAGTTCATTTCTCCTGAGAGAAAGGTTGCTTATGTACCCTGTTAGTACCAACAACTTATAACTATATACCCGTGGAACACCGTATTTAGGTGTCAGCGTTGCAAGCCCTCGAACAGTTGCCGCAGGTCGTGGGATTTCTTTTACAGATATTACAACGTTTTTCTTATTTAGAATAATAATTTTATAACAGTTCTTAAATATATCGAATTTTATTTTTATAACAACACATCTTTTGGTCTAATTATTCTATAGTAGAAAATCGTACTCTACTCTCCATGTTGTTAAAGGTCATTTTTTATCATTGACCGTAAATACGAGCGCTGAAGGTGACTTGGGCTATTTCCGGTGCTCTCGTGTGGCAGTTTGTTGTCGGAGCCCTTTTCTCACCCTCTTGGGGATTTAGCCGCTGTTACAGCTAGAATAAACCATCGAGCTGAGGGGAACTGTCTGCATTGATATTCCTAGGCGATCTTTAAGTAGGGCTCACGTCTGTGAGGAGCAGTCTCCCATTTCTGTGAACCCTCATTGTTCACGGGTTCTACCTTCGGGTTCTGATTTACTTCTGGGACTTCCTACTCTTGGTTACCTTTGATTCGGAGCTTCCATTTGGGTAGCCTTTCCATAGAAGCCATCCCTTCTCTTGTGTGAGAATCAATCCCACCATTCTGTAATATCCAAGCACCTGCCAAGGTGATTTTTTTGTGCCTTCTGAATTTGTGTTTCCTTTAGCTTCAGAGACCCAACATTTGGCAGTCAGTTCGAGTTTTGATAGGGCGAAAGGCGCTACTTGTTATTTCTTTTTCCTAGTTCTTGGAACTAGGTGGCGCCCAAACCTCAACAATTTGTATCAACGACCAAAGTACAACCACTCTCTGAGGTCACTTTATCTACCCACTGAGCACGGGGTTAGTTATACCTTTTTTTCCCAAATTATAATAATAATAATAAATGGCCTTTATTCGTCACATGATTACAAAAAAAATGGCTTAAAAGGAATGTGACGAAAAGGTGGAGTGTCAGCTTCTGCTGTTTTTCAATCCGACCTAAACAACATTGACACAAATTATAAAGAGAAAAAAAAAGTACCTACATTTAAATGTCACACTTCACAAACATTGACCACCAAAAAGAGAAGAGCTTAAAATATTACACTTCTCATCAATTACCTGTGGATATGCGTGAGTTAAATACTAACCATCCGATTGCTTTAAACTCATCTTTAACCTTTTTTTAAAATTGCTTAGGCTATATTCTTTAAGGCCGGTCCAGACACTACGTCTTATCAAACTATCGAATCAGACAAGTCTTATCAAGTAAAACGGCGCGTGTAGACCACAAAACGTACGTCTTGCATGATCGAAATAAGGTTGTACGATAAGTCGAAAATTTGAAGTGCGAGGCATCATTTATGAAACTTGATTCGACAAGTTGGAGCGTGTGAACAGACTTCGGTTTTATTGGAAATTGTTTTAGTATATTTTCATAGTATATACGTATCACACTGTGTTACTTTGTGTATGCGTATTTAAATATATTTTGCATTTTAAACTTTACAAGCAATATGTCTGATCTTCGTCAGTGTACCCGACAATTTTTAAGAGAATTTATTGAACTCTAGTATAGTGATCGACGTTATGGTATTTTGATTTGCTTGACTTTCTGAATGACCAAGATCAAATAAGACAGTCGACAAACACTATCGATGATGAGGCACATCAAGAGGAAAGTGAAAAAGAGGTAAGTAATGTCTATTTATTAATAATAAAACTACATTATATAGGTATTGAAAGCATTTTATTGCCCAGAATTATAGAATTCTCTTTTTATAACATGTTATACAAACTATGACCTATTGAAAAACTAAATTATCTTGCTATGGGACTGAGCCCTCATTGTTAAAATATTCACAGAACTTTTCTCTAACTATTTTTGCATCATTAAAAATTTGGCCTCTTCTTCCTCTTTGAAGGTCATGCATTAAATTAGGGTCACACCTGTCTCCTAACGCAAGAGAAGAATCTGCAGGAATATTTTCTCTATCCATACTTTCTGGGGGTGTGTAATTTTCTGGAGACTTCCTGCGAAGGAAATTATGTAATGCACAACATGTTAGAACAACCTTGTCAATGTTCTCTATCTTCAAATTTATAGCAGTGTGGAAAACTCGAAATCGGGACGATAAAATGCCAAAAGTATTTTCAATAGTCCGTCGGGCTCTGGATAACCGGTAGTTAAAAATTCTTCGTTCTCTATTGAGTGTTTACCTACTATATGGCTTGATAAGATCGGAACGCATTGCAAAGGCCTCATCTGCAATAAACGTATATCCAAGAATTTCGTTAGAATTGGGCATAGATTCCGGATTAGGAAGTTTTAGATCATTATTGGCTAGTTTTTCATAAAATGTGGTATTAGCAATTACTCCACCATCAGAGATTCTACCATTTGTGCCAACATCGCAGTAGATAAACTCACAGTTCGCATTAGCAATTGCCATAAGAACTATGCTATGCGTCTTTTTGTAGTTAAAGTAATATGATCCGCTTCCCTTGGGAGGAACAATTCTGATATGCTTGCCATCAATACTACCCAAACAATGCGGAAATTGCCATTTTTTTCGGCTGCTATTTGTAACCACTCCTGTTCGCTTTTTGGAAACTAAAACAAAAGAGATTACATTATTCTTACCTTTATAGTAACTTGTAAATACATATTCTTATCGTTTAATAATTTTAGCGATAAAATTTAAAAAATGGAACCTTAAATGAGTTAATGGAATTTTGTTTTGAAATAAACATGTTTAAATTTTTTTATACATTTTATTTACGGTTGTATTTTTGTTGTATTATAAAATTGTAATATTTTTTTGTTTCAGGTTGACTTGGATTATCAGAGTTTTCCTGCTACACCATCTACAGGTCGGCCATCTACTCCGACTAGTGATACCGCTACCAGTGCCCTGCTACCTACACGCACTGTAAATCGCAAAAAGAAGGCGGCCTCAAATAACAACGAAACAGCCGAAGTTGTGTCTAAAATTAATAAAAAGTTGGACTTATTGCAGGAAGATTCACATGACCGATTTGGAAAACATGTCGCTGATAGACTTCGATCAGTTCATCCTGACAACTTAAATTTGCAATGAAACTTATCTCTGATGTTTTATTTGAGGCAGACATATTATCCTTAAATAGATATTCCAAAATTATAACTGAAGACCAACACCCTCCTCAACAGTCTCCACGAGAAACCAGAAAGCCACACTTTAACCAATATGCGCCACCTTGTGTCACCAATACCGAACCAAATAGACAAATTTCAAGTCAATGCTGGCGTCAAGGAAATCGGTCAAGAACAGCATGTCCAACAGCTACAACTAATTCATAATTCAACCACACCGGAGGAACCCGCTAACACAAATTTTACTCTTTCAGACTATCGAACCCCAGTTTCAGAAAAGGACAGAGATTCTAATCCCAAAGATCTTGTTCAGTATGTTTTAAATTTTAAACCTAATGAGGGTGTTTAAAGAAATCAAAAACGTGTCATCACTAAATTAATTATTGGTGTATTATGGAAGACGTTTGTTTATTTTTTACTTTTCTTCACTAATGTTTAGTTTATTTCTAATAAAAGTATTTTCCAAAACTCACCTTTAGGAAGTCTTTTTTTAAAACCCAGTAAATAACGTCACAAGTTTCCGGTATAATTTCACTCAGTGATGGCTTGGACATGATGGTGGTGAATTCCAAGTCTTTGTAGCTTCTTCCTGTGGCAAGAAATCTTAACGTGGCACTAAGTCTCTCATGAGCTGAAATGGCTTTTCTCATACAGGTATTTTGCCTTTCAATGTAAGGAGTGACAGATTTTAACAAATGGTTGTATGTTTCAGTGTCCATCCTCAGGTAATTACGCCAATCATCTGGTTCAAGTTCACGTAATAATCTGACATGAGAAAATTCCTGTCTTTTTAATAACCATTCCCTCGACCATCTTAATCTTCGATTATTTCGTTTATTTCTGCCTTTTATCGCAATGCAAATACCATAGAACGACCAAAGAAGTGCTTCTTCCATGACTGAAAACGTCGCAAAACTAAAATTTGACCGATTAGTTGTAAACGTGTGGCCGCGCTATCTTTTGTACTTTTTGTCGAACAATTTGTATGAACGTTTTATCTTTTGATAAGACGTAGTGTCTGGACCGGCCTTTATACTTATACTCACTTGACAAGCAGTTATATAGTTTGGGTGCTCAGAACGAGAAACTACGTGTGAACAAAGCTGTCGAATGCCGCTGGATAAGTAAGATGCGTTTATTCCTAGAGGATCTTTGATCTTACTGACAGAGGAGGTCTAGCTTTGAATAAAGATAATATGACGCTTTAAGGAGAAGGGTATTATGTACCAAAGATAGGCAATGCAGCTTACTCAATTTGTTCATCTTAAACAGAGTCACCGTAAGATAATTTTGGCAGGATAAGGGATTAGCAGAGTTCAGGCTTGAGCCGTGTCGACAGGACACTTCGACTCGGGTATAACTGACGAAGCACATTATAGGACGCATTGCATAGTTGGTTAACATGTTTAGTGAAGCGTAGCTTGCAGTCAAACCAGATACCAAGGTTTTTGCATTCGTTTACGAAGGATATGTCTTCATTATTCACCATAATATTAATGCGATTCTTTCTGGGCCCAAATAAAATGCAGCAAGATTTGCCAGCATTCAGTATTAGATTGTGAGCACTAGATATGTCAAAACTAGACTGCAGATCTTGAGTGATTTGATGTTGGCCAAGCATATATTCATCAGGATCGAAGCTGTTATAAAGTAGGGTATCATCGGCGTAATGATGAACGATTGAGTAGCTGGCGGTTTGATGAAAATCACATATATAAAGAGCAAATAAAAGGGGACTCATAATAGATCCTTGAGGGCTCCAAAATTTCTGAATAAAGAAGTTGATATATTGTTTTCTTATATGACAGACTGTGAGCGATCAGTTAAGTAGCTTCTAATCAGCGTGCAAGCCGATGAGGACAGGCTAAAGTATCTAAGCTTTTTACAGAGAATATTTGGGTCAACCATATCGAAGGCTTTGCTAAGATCAAGGAGAACTAAGCAAGACAGCTTTCCTTGATCAGCCGCGCTATAAAGATTATCAGATATAGGCAGGAGCACAGTGGTGGTGCTATGTAATGGTCTGAAGCCAGATTGGGAGGTGGTCAGTGAATTATTTTGACAAACAAATGTGTGCAGCTGCTCATGTAGAGCCAAATTATAACTAGAAATATAGACTGAATAACGCATTAGACGGGATAACACTTGCGCCTAACGTGGTTTGAGATTTTTAGCAGTTTTTTATTTAATTTAAACAAAACTGTGGTTGTCGTGTGGCCCTGTGATTACTTTGAAAAAGGTTTGGAGTATTTGTTGAGTTTCTGGTGAAGACAGTTGGATTCAGGATACTAGTGATTTCAATTGCATATGAAGGATTGTTAACAGCTATTTATTTCACTATTATATTTTATTATTAACTTGACCAATCAGAAAGCGTTTTTGAAATAATGGATCTCACGAATACAGTCGCTTTCTTCATAAATATCACTCAAACTAGCCAAAAGTTAATATGATTTGTGTAACAATGGCCTTTAATCACCACATTAGTCACAAAATGCTTTATAAATGACCTAGTTTAGTACAAAAACTTATTTTTCCATTTGATCCCAGAACCATTTATTAGACCCATTACTTCAAAAACGCTATCTGGTTGGTCAATTTGATAAAATCGGTGCTAAGCTAGACGAATAATACTTTTTTGGATCATGGAATTGTTTTCTGATTTTAATACAGTTATCTTTCAACCCTGATCTCTATCGAATTTCACGAGATTTGGATTTTTTTGTTTGGAAGTATTGAAACTTAATCCTTAGCTGTGGTATTAGAAAATGTCCGGCAGTTTGAAGTCTTTTTATTAATTTCCTCTTTTTCTCCTTCTTTCAGTTTGATGGTGTTCATGTGGTGAGTGGTTCGTTGGATACTAGTATTAGGGTGTGGGAGGTGGAAACGGGAGCGTGCAAGCATACCTTAATGGGACACCAATCGCTGACTTCCGGTATGGAGCTTAGGAACAACATTCTGGTGTCTGGGAATGCGGATTCGACTGTGAAGGTGTGGGATATCATCACAGGGCAGTGTCTGCAGACCTTATCGGGTAAGAAAGTATATCCTATCAATTGACAATTTGACATTTTTCTCAGGAATAAACTTTATTTTCCATAATTCCGTCTTATAAATAGTTTCAAGCAAAAGTCTCTTAGCAGCCTGGCGAAATTCAAACAAAGAGAGATGCCTTTGAAATGTCGGCTTCATTGACATCTCTTTAACGTGGTTAGTCTTTTTTTAGGGAGTCAGCGTTGCATAGTGGCCATTTCCAACTGCATGTCGATGTGGCCCATTGTTGTCAGTTGGGATTTTTTCCCAGGGCATATGATTTTTTTACACCAAGAGAGGACACCACGAGTAATGGTTTTTGAGGTTTACTGGTCGTCTACATTGATCTTGTCTCTTTAATGTGGCTTAGCATTCCATTACTAGTTGACTAGTTCAGCAGATTGTACAGCAAAGACAGTAATCTGTTAGCGAACCGTCAAAACTGAGAACAGAAAGCCAAATTGACCAAAAATATTAATAAACCGCTATATTTATAATCTCAATGAAGTAACACAGTTTTATTATTGTTGCCTATTTCCTATATAGATTTTTTCAAAATAGGTTATGTACACTACTAGAAAACAATTGACTTAACACGGGATTTAATTATCCCATTTCCTAAAACATGAATATAGCTATTTAATGGAACTTCTACGAGTACTATGGGATCCTTAAGTCTGATATCTCGTGCGGTTGCTTGGACCGATACACTTACATAAATATTTTCTAACATACAACATGAAAATCGCACAAATTAGTAGATTACATACCTTGGTAGAGGTGTACCAATAACGAGGCGAGTTAGTTATTTTAGATATATTACTATCCAAAACTTAATTAGAAAATACTTTGATTATACTCGCATTAAACCCTCCTAGTCGCGTTTTACTATGTCGCTTTACTATACGTTCGCAACGCGAAGCTAAAGGGGCGCGGTGTCGCGCTGTTTGCTCGTCGTTCCACTATTTTTTGAGCCTAATGCAACTTTTTTCTGCGCTAGGGGTAGAAGCAACATATCGGACATGTTTCTCTCCTGTTATAGGATGTGTGATGTGTTTGATACCTATTGTCAAGGATGCGATATCAATGCCATGCTTTATTAACAGTAAATTTGAATAAAAAAGGCTTGATCTTCCGCTACAAGTAATGAACAATAAATTCATCAAAAAAGAATTATCTATGTCCTGACACCGTATTCCATATAGCAGCACCTGGTTAAACGTCACTTTATCCCTTTAAATTACTTAACCCTGTCTCAATACCTTCCAGATTTATTCTCCCTGCCTGACTCTATTCGCTTGGTAGACCTAATCCTTGATTCAAACGCGAAGACTGCGTATACCGAGGTCGCTAAAATGTGACACGTTTCGCCTGTATTGTTTAGCATTGTTTGGTTTGCCAGAATGCTTAAATAAAGTGCACCTTGTTATCTTCTTGATATTTATGTTAACTCATGCCGCCAGTTGCCACAAAGTTTTGCATACATACAAGCCAAGCATCTGCGACTTTTTGCTTTACTGACAAAAATAACTCCCTATGATTACTTAGTAAAAGGTCTGAGGTATTTGTTGAGTTCCTGGGAACAGTTGAATTCCGAATGCTCATGATTTCGAACGCATATGAGGGATTCTTAAAATTAGCTATGATTCCATTGGCATAATAGAATAAGACTATTCCTAAAGTAAAGACAAAGCACTCCAGCATTTTTAAATCAAAATAGCAAATGTCAAACCAGCGACTCTCGAAGTTGACAATGATCGAACCACAGGTCGAGTTGCGTCGAAAAGTGAACTGCACCTATCAGTGCTGCCATTTAATTTCCTTATTTTGTATTAACGTTAAAAACCTATAGTATATTATTTTGTTTACAGGTCACTACAAGCACCAGTCAGCCGTTACATGTCTGCAGTTTAACAATCGGTTCGTGATCACTTCGTCAGATGATGGTACTGTGAAACTATGGGACGTCAAGACTGGAGAATTTGTGCGCAACTTGGTGGCGTTGGACAGCGGAGGTGCCGGTGGTGTTGTGTGGAGGATACGGGCTAGCGATACGAAGCTGGTAAGTGTATTTTCACGTATTAACACAAAAAACATTGTAATAAAATTATTTTGTTGATTTTGTATTGGTGGCAAGTGATTCTGTTGACATTCAATATCGCATAAGAATTACTTTCGCCGTATGTTGAATAAAATTTATTTTTTTCTTAGCCGAATTGAAATGTAGTCATGATCATTAGTAGTTATATCTATTATTTCAATTTGATTGTCTGATATAACTTTCTTAATTACTTTGTGCAATACAACTCGCTCAAAAGCGTCAACATCACGATGAAGTACGAAACAGCACCAGTACCAGGTATGCTACGTGTAGATGGGCTATTTTGATTGTCACTAAGGCCCTTATCGTCAGTCGTCCCTACAATTGTAGGGCGCCTTTATGGCCTCCTTGATTGTCATAGTTTTCTACTTCTCCATGTCAGCGCTCTATGTTGAGGTTATGTCACAAACATCTATTTGCATCAAATTGTGCTTCTGAGTTATATCATGTTTTATCAGCCTGAAATTTCCTACAATATAAAAAGAAAACATATCTTCACAATAGGAGAGCGCTGACGCTGACACGGGGCAGGTGCAATCTAGAAATTTTTGAAGGAGAGAAAGGAGTATGACGCCAGCTCTAGGAGTGACCGCGCATAAAGCTAGGAGGAAAATGGAGACGTGGGTTGCAAGACAACACTCTCAGAAATGGAGAAGTATCTCTAGACATTCCGCCAGGCACAAGAGCTCATTGAAGGGTCCAGTGCTAAGGATGGACGCTTCTGCCTATCTCTGGGTAGAGCCAACCTAAGGTTGCTGGTGGGACTGTTGTCTGGCCATAACACGTTAAGGCGTCACCTTCACGTGATGGGGGTGGCTGAGGATCCCTTGTGCGAACGCTGCGGAGTAGAGGAAGAGACCTCGGCGCACGTTTTGTGTCGCTGTGAAGCTCTGAGCTACTATAGGCAGACTATACTGGGGTCCATTACTTTGGACCCTCAGGACGTCAAGGAGCTTGGACTCAAGGCGATTCTCAACTTCGCTAAAAGGGCGAGGCTTGTGATTTAAGTATTGTAGAGGTGCATAAGGGCCCGCTTAAGCGGCCTATGCACTGGCTCCTTATGGTGGCCGGGATGCCTCTAATTTTAAGTTTCATTCATTCATTCATTCATTCATTCAAGGAGTATCACATCAAGGAGGCCATAAACGCGCCCTACAATTGTAGGGACGACTGACGATACTGGCCTAAGCTAGAACCTGAACCTCTGTACTCGTCGAGGCTGTTGATGTTATCCTTAAGGATTTTTATTAGTAATAGCACTCTTTTTAGGTATGTGCGGTAGGCAGTCGCAATGGAACTGAAGAAACTAAGCTTCTAGTATTGGATTTTGATGTGGAAGGAGGTCCTTTCAAAGAGATGACTGTGGGTCAAACGCAGTTACAAGGCAGGTAATGGAACCATCAACACTTTAACTAGTGAAGTATTTGTGGAAGTGGTATACAACCTAAAAATCGTGTTTTATTCATTTGATTCGGTGATTGAGGGATTTGCAGCTTTATTTGAGAAAACTATTACGCTTATAATACAAAAATTTATCATCTTATGAAACACTCTCATTAAGCAGAATTTATTTGTCTTTATAAAATTATAAATGCCTTCAATCTACTAATAACATTATAAAGTTTAAAAATGGATTTTTAGTTGTATAAATATCTTTCAAAGTACTCAAGTGTGGATCTTATGAGGTGGACTGAGGACTTAAAAAATTATCATCCATAGTGTTTGTGTGAACGTAGTGTACATTTTGTCACATGTGTACCAGTAATGCGCTTATCTGCATATATTTTGGAATTGAGTGTTTTGTCTATCAGATTACCACGTCTATCAACAAGATATAGAAAAAATGTATGCGTCTAACAACAGTACAACGTTGAAGCTACTGAAATATTTTTGACAAATGAGGTTAGACACTTCTGCTTTATGCTGTTGCCACTCCTAGCTTCTCTACAAAAAGCTCTACAAAAAGTCGCTTGAACTGTACTCTGCTGAAACTGGATTGGATGCATACATCAAATTTAATCATAGTTACATGCCCTGCATCAAGTTTTTTTTCATTTGAATTTTTCTAACGTGAATTTTTTCTCCAAAAAACATTGAGAGTACGAAGCTTTGAATTTACTCATTTGCTGTGATACAAGTATACTGATATATGGAGGATCAACAAAGAGGTGTAACATTATTGGTATGCAATGACAAATTAAAAAGTGTATGGTAGACCTCTACTTATTGTAAAATGTCTGGTGCATTATCAAAACTGAAAATCGTATAAAACTTTATTGCAATTTTTGTTCCTAAATTTCTTTATACAATAATGCACCAGAATGACTGAATAGGATAGAAGAGTACAGAACATTATCTAGCGCCAAGCCTTAAATTGTATTTTGAAAACCCAAAGTATCTAAGTTCTATGTAAACATGATTGATTGATTTCATTTTTTCCAAAGACATACCATGTAGAGATCGATAAATTTGTTTAAATTAATGTATTTTTTAGCCAAAATCGTGCAATATTGTTTTATGATAAATTTGTCAGATTTAAAATTCTTGTGTATACAATTTTTCAATGTATGTTTTTGGAATGAAGATTACAACGCACAATGAACCTGGCAAAAAGGTAATTTGCACCTGGAAAATCAAACTGCTGCATTAGCAAAAATACTGTGTTTATAAAAGGTCGCATTTGAGAATTAAGTGTTTAACAACAATACCTTGAATAGGTGATTTGAGTTTGGAAGGAAAAAAGTACGAGCAATTGTTCACAGAAAGTGAAATTTCGGTCTTCTCAAAAATGCAACTGGTGAAAACAATTTTGTGGGGTGAAAAATACCTTTGAAGTCTATGATCATAATGAAATGGCTAGGTATGTACGTTTCAGATGGTTTTCTCTTTACAAAAGTAGTTTAAGATATGACTAGGTAGGATTCTCCAGTAATGGTTTGTTTTATTGAGGTCCGTTTTAGGATCTTGGATGTGTATCTTTACAGGAATCATGTTGAATATTTTCAATAGCTGTAGAAAAAATGTTCATGCTCAAATATATTCTTGTCATAGCTCAACTGTAAATAATTGTTAATATCATTTACATCACTCTCAAGACATTAAGTATATTTGTTTTGTAATTAATTTCTTTCCAAAGCCACATAGTGGAAACATCCATTATAAATAGAAAATACTTTTCAGAAAGCTGTATTTTATATGCAGATTCCCAAACAATACGTTTTCCCATTTTATTCTTTTTAATATTTGTAATACTCTATAATCGCTATTAGCCTTATGAAGCTTATTTTCGAATTTTTGTAGTTTGGACCAAGTAAATTCTGCAGTGCCTTATTTAATTTTATCAATCATCACAGCAATTTGGTATTACAAATATTACAATAAATTGTATTTTATGTTCAATTGTTGGTGGTAAATGAACATTGGTTAGTTCTTCCAATAGATCAAATTGATAATCTCGAATAATTAAGCCTAGCGAATACGTCTAAGATTGAAAAATGTCGGTATTAATTTGGAAAATCTGGTGTTGTTATTTTTTCCTTAATCTGTATTTGTTGTATTTATTTTATAAAGTGATACAATTAACTGGTGATTTATTTTCCTACTAATTATTTGCTTCAAACCGTGCAGGTGGGAATCCTGTATTAGAAATAGTTATGGATGTTGTAATTATTGATTATCTTGTAGGTGATAGACGATGTACGTCGAACGAGGTGGTACTACCCTCTGGGTATAGTTTGACGCAATTAACTTCAAATGTTGATTTGGCAAACAGCTTGAACGGGAATAGTTGTCGTCGGCTGGGTTAAAGATATAGTCTCGTGAAATTAACCGTGCAATTTTATTTGGCAAAGACTTCAAATGTCAATGTCGTTGTGCAGGATGCATTAAAGACTGTAGTAGTCGATAATGTCTTGGGTAGAATAAAGGATGACATCTGGTATGATTAACTCCACAAGTTTATTGGCATACACTTCGAATGGGAGCACTTGCATTCGTCAGATTTAGAGGATATGGTCTGGTAAAATTAACTTTTCAATTTTTTTGACAAACACCTCGATCAGAAATAGTCTTTGATATCTGTTGGATGAAGAGCTCCCTTCGCCATCGCCGGCATCCGTACCAAAACTAACTGATTGAAATACCAAATACTTATATAACCTCAACTTGTTGAATAAGTAGGCTAATGTGCTGTGCAAATAGTCCATTCCGCGCATGCTACTATAAGTGAGCATGAATTGAACGACAGTTACTTTCAAGTTGACGTCTTTAGAAGAACCTACATGTCAAAAAACCGACATAATGCCACTTTTCAAGTTACGTAATATCACTGCCGGACTGAGAGGACTGTGAAGGATAGTCAGGTGAAATTCGATTATCAGGTCTGGGCCACCCACCAGTACTTAGGTTGTAAACCTTCATGGTGGTTGAAGAATAAAAAAACACAAAAATGCTGTTGACAAATACAAGTTTTTATTTTATAAAAACGAAACTACAATTTTATACTTATTGCCGACTTATTTTATGACATATATCTAGTTGGAACAAATGGAACATAAACGACCGGTCATTATTTATAAATATGATAAGAGTTTATTTTTTACGCTTCTTCGGTGGATCCTTTTGTCAGGTCTGCTCGTATGGGGTCAGATCAAAAGTAAGCACCTGACTTACAAGGCAGTCCGCGCCCTATAATTAGAAATACGATTTAGATGGGTTATCCAGTCCACCTATGATTAATTTCCACTTAAAACTAGAGAAAAGTTGCAAAAGCTGGAATTTAACTGGTAGTTTCCCGTGAATTCGTTCGAAATCCTATAGTTCTATGTGTGATGCTCGGAGTTTTTGACTCGTATAATCCGTGACAACTCACGTATTATCAAGCAAAATGTGAGACATTGTGGTTAAACCCTCTAGTTGACCCATTCTGGTCATCTGGTCAGTTAATAACTTTTTAAAAAAGCCTAACATTGCAAAGAAGTTTTTGAGAGTTAAGCAGCAAACATCAAAGCTATGATTAACCTGAGATGGAAAAACCATGCCTTTGAGGTGTAAGCTCTTTACTACGTTTCTCTTACCTCAGTCTCTGGACATATTCCAATCAATGCATCAGCATGCGAATAAAACTCCTCCTTAAGCGATATAACGATCGTCTGTAATGACTCGGTCTTTTCTCTGATGTATTTTGCAACTTTTCCAATGTTGGTGTTGTCCAAGGCTGCATCCACTTCGTCCAAAACAAAGAAAGGTGCTGGTTGGTAGCTGTGGATGGCGAATAGTAGAGCCAATGCAGCTACAGTTTTCTCACCTAGAACGACAAACACATTTCAACTTTACGCCTTTGTTTCCCAGAGTACATGGTCAATCTTTTGGCTTAGCTAGAACATACAATATGAAGGTTTCTTATAAAAACCTGTTCAAACGAACTCTTCTAAAGAAAGAGACTTCTGAAAGACATTAAACAAATAACGAATTTTTGCGAGCATAGGGCAGCAACTAAGACTTCATTTGGTGGTAAAGCGATATCCGATGGCGCTTTTTAGGGCTTGTACTTCGTAGGGTAGCCACGAGTGGCGTTTTTCTTTACTTTTATTAATTTTTCAGTGGGGTGCTTATTAGAAAGAAAATAAATCGAGAGATGCGATTGAAAAATTGGCGCTGAAGTGTATTCAAATCTCATTTACGGCCTGTCAAAGTAAACACCAGTACGCGACATTCTAATCTGCGCGCTCCTGTTGGTCAGCAAGCTATAAATGCCTGGGCAGGCTGTGACAAGCAAATTTAAGCTGCGATGGAGCGCTCATATTAGTCTTGACGCGGACTAAATGAGGTTTGAATAGATTTAGGTATATGGGTGTATAGTGCAGCAGTCGTTTTGTTAAGCTTTTCCTGAACTACTGGAATCCGTTTTTCGTTAGCAACGCTTGGGGGTTGCAAACTCCGTGACGGAGGAAGTTGATGAGCATGAAAGTCGCATACAACTGCTTGTTTGCGCAATAACGTGCAACATATATATATATACATATATATACAGGGTGTCCGCAAAGTTGGGGCTTTCCTTTTCAGAAACAACTACCCTTGAAATAACAAAGGTAATGTGTAGTGAAACGAGGGCGACCAAGTAAAAAAAAATAAAGGAAAAAGTACTCACTCTCCAGTTGACGAGAAGGGCTAAGTACGTCTCTGCCCGAAATCATACCCCTCCAACAGGAAATGAAACCAGCTGAAGCGCTTCCGAGCAGACGCAGAAACCACATTGATTGTCTTACACTTAATGGCACATCTTCTAACAAGGAAGGCAAAATATTGCGTGAAAAGTCTAGGTATTGCATCCCGTCCAATCGATTTGGGAGAATAAATGGTCCAATGAGCATACCGTTCACCATGCCAGCCCAAACAATCACCGAAAATGTTTGTTGAAAATGACCAAACATGAGTGTTGCGAAATTACGCGTGAACGTAGATTCGTCTGTCACCAATATGCACTTCAAAAAGTCCGGATTATTGTTATGTTGATGCAACAACCACTCACAAAACCGCACTCTTGCTGGAAAATCGTCAGGTTGAAGGGCTTGTACACGTGGACGCAGCGTTTGCCACACTTTAGTTTTTGATACTTGCACTTCTCTAGCCACGTCTCTAGTGCTTGTTGTTTTTTGAAACGCAATCGATTATACGAGTTCGTTGACCTCTACACGCGTGACTGTCACCGTCGGTTGAAGGTTGCATACTAACCTGACACAATGACCCCGACCGAGTTCTGTCGTCGGGTTGAGACCTTGTACCAACCGGTGATATCCCGGCGGGTCGCGGCTACAGGACGGTATTCAGATATTTTTGATGTTGCAGAGCCCTTTATCTCGGTTCCCTTAAGACATTGGTGTATATGGTACTAAGAAAAATTGCTTATGTTTTCAAGATGTACACGTCGTGTAAAGGAAAACCCCAACTTTGCGGACACCCTGTATATAACAGAAAATAGGAAAATAATGGGCAAAATCCGCAAAAAGTGGATTCGAGCAGAAAATAGGATAGGTAACCCAAGCGATACGTATTTCTGCTGGTTGGCTTCCTCAGGCCCGAAATGAATGCACATATGCAACTACATGACCACACATCCAGATACGGGTTTAACCTGAGGAAACGAAGATGGAGAGGGAAAAAATCGACATAGGATGTGGCAAGACCAACTTACATTGTAGTATAAAATGGCTAGAAGACCTCGAATTTTCAAAGATACATCTAACCACAACCACGCGGCCGGTTATATCCACTTGCTGTGGTACTTCAGGCCCAAAGGATCTACAAATCTATACAGGGTGACTTCGAAGTTGAGTCATTTATTTTAACAGTGAGTAGATCTGATCAAAAGAAATGTTTTTTTCCTTTAACATTTTTCTGGTAAAATTAAATTAACAAAGTTATAGCCCTTTAGAAGTTTGAGTACCGCCCTGTCTCAATAATAATATTATGTGCTCGTGTTTGGCAACAACGGATATAATCCGCCTTATCGGTTCATCGCATCGGAAACAAAAAAGCGAAAGAATTTGAAACGTTTATCACGATGTCAGCCAATGTTTCAGCCGGTAACGCGTGAGTGAATAGTGGTGTTTGTTGCGTGGCTCAAACGAAATAAAAACTGGCACATGTTTACGAAAGTGCTGAACTTGTGGACATGATTCTTATTTAATCGAGTGCAACCAACCCCTCGTGCCTTTGTTAATGTAGTACAAAGGGCTCGTGAATCAGGTGACTTAAGGGCATGCCGGTGCTCCAAGACCGCACGAACAAATACAGGTCCGCACTGAAATACTTGTCGGGAGGATACTTTATAAAACAAGGTAACATTTTTTTTTATTACACATATTTTGGTTTATCTTCCTTCTACAATCATTATCTGAAAATTAATGACTCAACTTCAAAGTTACCTTGTATATATTTGTTTTATACTCCAACTACCACGAAGGCCCTGAGGCCTAAACACCCATTGGGTACCGTGGGGCTATAGGCGGATACAGGGGAAAGGGGGAACGCAACACGGACTCTGGCGAGGGAACACGTGTGCATGCAACATGCACACATTCTGGCTCCGCCTACGAGATCCGCCGGGTGGCACCTCCACGTTCGACAGTCAGAGACCGTCTACCACCTACGGACAATCACAACATCCATAGCCAAGAGAAAAATTTCTCCTGGGACGGGACTCGAACCCGCACAGCGCACGGCGACTGATCAGGAGACCGAAGAGTCTACTACTGCGGCCACCGCTGCTGCCTATGTGGCCGGTTATATCCACTTGCTGTGGTACTTCAGGCCCAAAGGATCTACAAATCTATATATATATATATATATACAGGGTGACTTCGAAGTTGAGTCATTTATTTTAACAGTGAGTAGATCTGATCAAAATACCATTATTCTGGTAACATTAAAGTAACAAAGTTATAGCCCTTTGGAAGTTTGAGTACCGCCCTGTCTCAATAATAATATCATATGCTCGTGTTTGGCAACAACGGATATAATCCGCCTTATCGGTTCATCGCAGCATCGGAAACAAAAAAGCGAAAGAATTTGGAACGATGTTTTTACAATTATTTTATTCAGTTCAGTTATACATACAGTCAGTGTCAGTCGGTAACGCGTGTGAATAGTGTCTGTTGCGTGGCTCAAACGAAATAAAAAATGGCACATGTTTATGCGGATCGGTTTCCCAATCGAGTGCAACCAACCCCTCGTGCCTTTGTTAATGTAGTACAACGGGCTCGTGAATCAGGTGACTTAAGACCTCACAGGGGACCTCACGATCAAATACAGGTCCGCACTGAAATACTTGTCGGGAGGATACTTTATAAAACAAGGTAAACTTTTTTTTTTATTTTTACACACATATTTTGGTTTATCTTCCTTCTACAATCATTATCTAAAAATTAATGACTCAACTTCAAAGTATATGAAGCGTGTTCCACACCAAGAACAACGCTTGATTCGAGCTGCCGCTCTAACATGTGTTTTCCTTGCATCTCACTCGTACACAGTCAATACGGGACCTCAATGATTTTCTGCCGAGCCATTATGTTGTCCATGAGTCGGAAAGAGTTTCATATGTTCAACAAAGCTGTAGCAGTGTAGCAATCTTGAAGTAAGCAACACGCAGCTATTCCAAGCAAAAATTGCATTCTAACAAGAAGTAGCAATTTGGCATAAGGAAGTTGTAATTATATAATAACGGTGGTGGAGAATGGACACTTAAAAGATTTTGTGGAGAGCAAAGAAGGTGTATCACCTGGCAATTATCTGATATCTGTGACAAAAAACATGTTTCTTGATTACGACATAGGGAGATTCGAGCAGGAATTAAACTCACCTCCAGACAAGTTCGACATAGGTTGGAACCTCTTCCCTGGGGCAACGCAGTTATAATTTATACCGTCCAAATATGGTTCCTCTGGGTTTTCAGCTCCAAGAAAGGCTTGAGCAGACTGATTCTGAGCTAGCGCTTTGTAGATGCCATCAATTTCATTAGAGACGTGGTCGAAGCACCTGGAGAACCGCTCGTATCTTTGTTGCTTCACTCGTTCAAAAGCGTTCTTGGCTTTTTTGTTCTGTTTGCGCAAACTCTCAAACTCTTCGTTAGTGGATTGCAACTTTCCGCAGGCTAACTGCAGTTTTTCGATTGCTTTCAAGTTAGGAGCTTGGATCTTTGTTAGCGTGTCTTGGAGATTATGGATGGATTTTAACAGTTTGTCAGCAGTCTTCTTTATGTCATCTTTATCGTCCAGGTCTTTCAAATGATCTGACAGGCTGCTGTAATCTATTTTAATCCTACAACAATATATTGATCACTAAAAATATCACACTTTGTTAATAAGACCATCTTACCTAGATTCCTTTTCATACTGCTGCGTAGTGCTGCTGGTATCTGCACCAGAGGACGACTGGGACGGATCTGATGCCACAATATCTTCCATATTCCCAACTATCATAGGTATTGCGATGTCGTCCATCTAGAAGTAGTAACAAAATAGTTCATATCAAGGAGATGTGGTTCAATAAAGATATTGCACTTTCTAAAATGCTTGCTGTTAAACATAGCGCTAAACTGTTGCAAATGCACGAAAAGCAAGAAGTCCAAATAATGGACCATCAACGTCCAAAAAAAGAATTATCTGGGATGAAGGTATATCTCCCAAAGAGTGTCGAGAATCAAGAGTGATAACATGATTGGATTTAGCGCTTGAATCCAGAAACCTAGCAATAGACTGCCTCGCCTATGAACATGCTGCTATGGAATTACAGTGACGGATATCAAAGTATTCCAACAGAAAAGCACTTGGTCAAGTAGAGCAGGCCCAACAAACATCCTTGAGGCTGAGAGCAGACAGATGCTCAGGTGAATCACCTCTGCAGATGCTGAGCTATGAACTGGGTGAATACAGAGGTCTCAGTCAGTCAAGTATTATCACTTGGTGGGCAGTTATGTTCTAGATTATGTTGTGATTCAATAAAACTTATCTATTTTGGAGCATACTGTGTTATTACGCGGATGATACTACGAGAATATACGAGTATGTTGTTGCGAATCGCATCAGCCGTCGTCATTAAACATAGTTGTCAAAGATTTCAGTCAGAAATTTTGACAATGTTTTGAGTCTGTTTTCAACTTGTGTAATGCCGATTTTTACATTTACGAATTCAATATATTGTTAGCCTCAAGTGAATCCAGGGTTTCATTAATCATTTACAAACATCTATTGTTGCATGATTTTAAGTATTTAGAAGAAAAAATGATTTCAACTTTCAATTTAACACATAAATACCACTATTTTACAGCCGTATTAAGGCGTCTAATAACTTGAGCATCTTGTTGGTTTGTGTTCAATCTACATCATCGAGTCTCACCTATCTGACCACGTATAGACGACGTGACTTCCCTTGACACTCTACGTTCCCACGAAAATACGACTTTGAAACTCCAACAGTGCACTGCTTTTCAAATCACCATTCAAAGTCCCATACTTGGATCCAATGCTTACCTTGCATCTCATCAATATGTTATGCCGTTCACTCTTTTTCCCCTCAATTTTAGCTTCTAACGACATCACTGCCTTCTGCGCAGCTTGAATATCCTTCGCTATGGCGCCGACTTCACGTCTCGCCTTGCCGACCTCATCTTCGGCAGCTTCAACTTCCTGTTTCTTATTCAGACGCAATACTTTCAACTGCTCAACTTGCTGCAGGTCTTTGTCGATCTCGTCACGTTGTTTCGCCTCCTGTTTCTTGCACGTTTCAAGTTTTTCTTCTTCATCGTTAACAGTACGTTCCCAACGACTTACGTTATCTAGAAATAAATCACCAGTCATGACGTGACTTAATTCAACGCATAAAGTCGACACTCAAATATAGCGACAGTGACAGCAAATAAGCATCTGATAAAACAAAAACTCACAAAGCACATTCACGATGACATTCAGGAAAAACATATCTAGGAACTTATCAGCTATGGGCAGGGAGAATACAGTGGTCTTAAGTGAGCCAATTATTTGAACTGTTTCAATACACGAGTCTGTTTTCAAGCAACATCATACTAGGACATATTTTTGTCTCAATGTCTCTTGATTAAATGCTTTTTTAGAAGAATAATTGAATCTAGTTTTAGTAAATTAATTGGTTCTGGCCTTGGTCAATTTTTCCTAATGATATTTTATGGTTATGTCAATGATCGATACACAGAGACCCGCAGGGGTATTATGTAAAAAAACGTAAAAAAAAAAAACGACAAAATTTCATCTTTCAGACTAGGTGGTTTCTAGTGTGCAAATACACATTTTGTTGGTTGCAGAAAGCCTGTAGTATCTCTGAGAAGATGTGAAAGAAAGAAAGTTGGCCGAGTAGCAAGATCGCATGTGGATGATTATGTGTATTGGTCTGCATGTGTATAAAATCAGTGATATTTGCTTTGTGAGAAAATTATTACTGAATATGTTGCCAATGAAGTATATATATTAGCTGAGCCAACGGGTTATTTATATGTTGACAACTGTTGAAATATACTCCACTAGGCTCTACAAGACTAGCAAAATTTTTCCCGAAATCGTTGACCGTGTATTCTTGTCACCTGGATTACGGTAAGCCAGCTCATCGGATATTTTTGCTACCTTTGCTATTTTGTTAGAATGTTATAAAAAAAGAAACTTTGAGTAAAATATTGAGGAATATCAATGGAGAAACACAAGATTTATAGCGTAATAATGTTCGCCAAATAGCTAAAGATGATGCCGATAAATATTCCCATTGTACGTCCAAGAACAAAACAAGACTGTGTTTATGTTTTATGAAAATTTACGAATTTTATCAAATTTTTAATCATTTATATCTCATGTCCACAATTTGCACATAAACATAAAACGATTATTTATATTGTAGATTTCCATGTGTACAGGGGCGGCTGGCCCTTAAGTTCTACAGAGCTGCAGAACTGCCACAACTTTTGTCTTAACAGAAAAAAAACAGTAATTTGATCATTATTTAGTTTCCATGTTATCACACAAATAGAACAATACTGGCTACGCTGCCCCCGCAAGACACGGCGTCGAGTCTGTTTTGTATTGAGAAAGCATTATAATCGACCAATTGTGTACTTGTCATTTTCGTCGCGACCGCAGCGTAACATTATTCATGGGCCACTTGAAAAGGGTCTGTGCACTACTTCGACCCAAGCCGCACGCGCTTGCTTTTGTCTCTCTCTACAAAATCAAATGCGCGATTTAAGCATACTTAAGCATGTGCTGCACGTTATACACATCCGTACAGATTTAATGAGAAGTACGATATCTGATTGGTCGGTCGGTCCTCGGTATAAAATTTTGCGGAGCATTTTAATTGGCGCTACGGGGCCACGACGAAACCGGAAATATTTCGTGGACTGATTAATTTTTCTGCTGAGCTTGATACAACCTTAAGCGAACACATAAAAAATGCTTCAATATTTAAAGGAACTTCGAAAGAAACACAAAACGATCTACTGGATTGTATTCTTGAAGTTTGTCATGAAGAAATAATAAAACAGATTAACAGAGCCTCGTATTTGGCGATAATAGCAGATAAAACAACGGATATTTCGGGGAAAACCCGACTGGTAATAATTTTCAGATACGTATTTAACGGCGAACCAGTAGAACGTTTTTGGAATTATATGAATCCCGAAAAATGTGACGCTGATACTCTCACAAGACATATTTTGAGCGTCGTCATCCATTAATAGGAAATTTCACTAACAAACTGATTTCACAAAGCTATGATGGATCCGCGGTAATGTGAGGACATAATGCTGTAGTACAGGAAAAAATTAAACAAAGATATCCATTTGTTCACTGTGTGCTTTGCTATGCGCATCAGTTAAACCTGATTATGTCCCAAGCTGCTTCCGCAAATGCTCAAGTTCTGGTGTTCTTTGGGGATTTGAAAGATATTCCGGGATTTTTCAATAATTCTCCTCAACGCGTAGAGGTACTGAACAGAATTGTGGGGAAAAAATTCCCCAAGGAGCAACAACTCGTTGGAATTTTAATATTCGAACAATAAATGTAGTGTTTGAGAACAGAGAATCACTCATTGAATGCATGGAAGAAATAGAAGAAAATTTCACTAATGAAACTGTTTGCAAGGCAGCTTGCGGTATTCGTCGTATGTTAAACGATTCTGTTTTCGTGTTTTGTCATCATGTCATGCCTCACATCGACATCTTGTTCAACCAGTTGCAGAAGAGAACACCCGAGCCAGCGCAAGTTAAAACGGCTATCGATAATTTAAAAAAATGTATTGTCGATGTGAGAAATAAAATTGATGACATAATAAATCAAGTCAAAAGTATTTGCACTGAACCCCAGGGCAACAAAAGGAGACGACGTCGGCGACAAAAGCAGTCACGATCACCGAGTTGCCGCATTAGAAGTATGCGACAATGTAGTGAATTCTGCAAATGACAGATTTCAATTCAAAGATTATTTGGTAGCCGCATCCCTTTTTTTCCCCGAACACTTTGGAGAATACTGTGGTAAGTTTCCTGATGACAAGTTGGACACTACCTGCTTGGCTTATCCCGAATTAGTAAAAAGTCGTTTAAAAGACAGAGTTGTCTGTTATTCATGCACGGAATACTTGCCGAGATTTTCATGGAACTCTGTCTCTTTTGAAATTTTTGATACAAAATAGTTTGGAGGAAACACTAAAAGAAACAAAAAAGCTATTAGAAATTATTGTTACAACTCCTATGTCAACATCAGAGGCTGAGCGAAATTTCTCAACAATAAAAAGAATAAAGACTTTTCTTGGTAATACTATGACCCAGGATCGCCTTACAGCGTTGTCGATGCTGTCCATTGAAAAGGAATTTATTTAAACCATGGAAAATTTCAACGGGAACGTGATCGAAAAATTTGCTGCCAAGAAGGAGCGCAGGATCGAACTGACATATAAAAAATAGGTAAGTTCGGATTTGCAGAACACCTGTTTTATTTTGCCACGAGCCGCCACTGTATGTGTATAGTGTGTGTCTAGGTATCCTGGGGTAACAGCAGGAGTAGTATGATATTTTGATATCTAAATTACAATTTAACAAAGAACTTTTTAGGATGAACAATGGTAAAACAACAAAAAACATAAAAAATTTGAACAAAAATATACCAAGATATACTATTTATACACAAGTAAATCTGCAATAATAATAAATAATAATGTTTATGTGCAAATTGTGGACATGAGATATAAATTGTATAACAATTTGATAACAGTTCGTAAAAATACAAATTTTCATTAAACATAAACAACACCTGTCTTGTTTTGTTTGTTCTTGCACATGCAATACATATTATACATATTGATCTTTGTTTTATTTTTACTAATAATCTTAAATAAACTAATAACTAATACATACTACATTCAATTATTCAATTAAATTTATTATTATTATTATATGGGAATATTTATCGGAATTATTTTTAGCTAATGGCAAACATTATTACGCCTTAAATCATATGATTCTGCAGTGGTATTGCTCAATCTTTTATTCAAAGAGTCTTTTTTTATAACAAAATAGCAAAGGTAGGAAAAATGTAGATAAGCTGGCAACACCATCATCCAGGTGACAAGAATAACAATTCAGAAACTTATGTCTAGCCTGGAGTACCGACGGAGCCATTTAGAACGTCAAGGCGGCAATTTTCCAATTTTTATTTCGATCTTTTTAAGTGTTGTACAACGATTTCGGAAAACATTTCGCTCAGATAGCCTTGTACAGTATATTTCAAAAGTTTTCTTGCGTGGCCATGTCATCCTTACTCGGGTCAGTAGCATATTTTCTCACTTGTTACTTGTAAATATACTATACCAACCAGAAATTTTATTTTCTTATCTCTCTCATTTTTAAAATTCAGTAAATTTCGAGAATGAATAAAAAAGTGGATCCGCAACTAATTTCTAGCTTTGGATACATCTCAACACATACAGCTACAAAACGAGTTCACAAGTGTACGACAGCTAGTGCTAAGTTGACATCTTGTTGAAAAACCTACGTTATGTCACATAAAACATACAAAATGTCATACAAAAACGACTAAATGTCACTTTCCAAGATACGTAACCCGTGCCGGAACCAAAATGGCTCAGTTACATCCACATTACCCAATCTCGCGTGCTGCATGCCAAGTCAATATTTCAACGAAGCACCACCGCAGTACGAGCAGAACGCCGGGCTCTGAGATCAGACAGCAGAAGGAGGCGCACACCAAAAACATTTATCTATTATTCCAAGTTTTAACGACAAATGTCCTGTATAACTACCGAGGCTGGGAACGTATAAATTTACAAATATATGTATGTGTATATATGCATATAATGTGGTCAGAGACGATGCCTGCTTACAAACTACTTCCTACTGGACAGATATGAAACAAATGATTCTAGCTCGGTATTTCTTATGCCGTAGTACTTAAGCTTATCATGCGATTTGGCACAATCAAAGGCTATCGTCAAGATGCGTGTGGTAGCTATCTTTATCGTTTATATTATCTCTAGTGACTTATATTTAAATAAATATTGATACGTCCATTAAAAAATAAAAATGAAACCCGTACTTTACACATATACAAGTTCTTAGGAGCTGTAGCATTGTGTCGCATTGCGACATGACAAGCTTCAAATGATCAGGATCAATGGTGGTTTAGCGCATAGTGCATAAATACGCGCAAAGTTCATGTTGATGTGACATTAGAAAATCTAAAAAAAAAAACAATGTAGACTTATCATGCGGTTATCTCGCTGATCAACATTAGTGTTCTACTGACCGCCACGCCAAACGATACCACAAATAAATAAGTAAATGCTGGCAGAATATCGAGATTGAAAAATGAAATAATTGAAAAACATGTACAAAAGATTACTCACTTTGCGTATCCCTGCTCCTCTCGAAATCCAGATTGCTGGTAATCCTGTTGATTTGCTTCTCGAACTCGAGCCTTTTCTTCTTACGCTCCTCCTGCGCGCGCAATTCCCTATCTTCGTATTGCCTGATGTTCTTCACGCCGATCTCTCTACAGAAATCCGAGAAGACGACATCTTCAACACTGTTCATCTTCAATTTGATCTCTTCGATTTGCTGTTCTCGCGTCTGCATGCTGCGTTCGATAGCCTCAATCTGCGGGCTATACTTCTGCATCTCTTCATTCAGGCGAGCCAGCTCACGGTCGACGATCTGAATTTGCTTTTTCTGGAAAATCAATTTCAAATAAGGGACCCTCAAATGTCTCTGGGTGTATCAGGGGAACAGAAAAAAACAATGTGAGATCTAAAAGGTGTCCCATTAAGTACTTCAGGCTTTTGTGTTAAAAACCAAGAACAAAGTATGCATATTATTATAATTATGTTTTATAATATTCACCAAATGCCCCGTCAGATATTTCTACAGGTCACCATTCTTACGTTAAAATTTTCGGGAACCTTCTAACTCAATTGCGGTTCAAATCACCAATTACTAAAGAAATGTTGAGCTACAGTGGTCGGTAACTGTGTCTGGAATCCGGCCGTATGAATTCCGTCTATACAACGTAGCAGTACGGATAGAATTTGTTTGTCTGGGCATGGTCACTGACAGGTTGTCGACTGCTGTACGAACAGGGCTTTTATCATGATAAAATGACAAGCGGGTTTAGATTGCATGATCTTGCAAGCCGGCGGTCATCAATATTGCGAGAAATCACGAGGCCGTCAGAAAAAAGTATCTATGACAATTCCGAAGTTTCTCTCGCTGTTCCATAGCCGGCCTAATTTGTTGAAAGAGCATATTGTTCAATTAGGGCCACACTAAAAGTCCATATCAGTGATAACGCTCGTCCGGAATATATAGGGTTCCAACATTGTAATTTCCATGAAAAAAAAAAAAAAAAATGATTGAACATTCCTAGTGCACAACTCTATAATTAAATCCCTGCATCCTTAGGCAAACATGTGCAACATATGTGTATTCCCAACAATAATTGGTATATCAGTTGGTAGTGTATACACAAATAAATAAAATGTCTAATTCAAGTTGTTGAAAAATGACAGTTTATACTCACAGTGCTTTCCATGTCAGTCTTTGCATATCTCAACCTCGTCTCTAGACCTCTAATTTGAGAATCAACTGTGTTCAGCTCAGATTCTTTCCGGGATTTCTTCATAGCTTCTCGAAGCTCTTCAGTTAATTTTTCCTGTAATATGAATGGTCCAGTAAGATTAATACAAAACAACGCATATCAAAGTTTTCAGAAAATTAATATAAAGTAAAAAATACCTTTTGGGCTTTCAATTGAGCCATATGCTTTTCATCCCATCTCTTTGCTCGTCTAGCCAAATCCAAGCTACCACCAGATATGATACCACATTTTTGATAGTAGGTCCCATCCAGAGCAACAGCATCCAGCCGTCCTCCCAGCTCGTATGCAACCTATGTAAATTTTAAAAAGACTATTTCAAACTGTATCACTGAGATCATAGCAGTCATCAGAATATAATACCATCTATGTGCACACATATACTCAATGTTAATCAAAAACTACATAAATAGATCTTTCCATCATACTAACCTTCATAGCGTCCTCGGGTGTTTCACATACAACCGCATTGCCAGTAGCAAACATAACGGCCTTCGCAATAGCTTGGGGTTCAAATTGGAGTACATCGTAAATTAGTTTAACACCTTTTGGCTCTGTAATGTTTCTTAATCTTTCCTTTAAAGGCCTAGTTTGCAGATAGTCTAACGGCAAAAATGTTTCAGGTTCGCACATTTGTTCTTTCAAATATTTTATACACTGGCGACCTATAAATATGATACAGCTATAGTTTTCAAGAGTTTTTATAGTGTCAAATATATGTCAAACCCAGGAGAAAGTTTATTGAAAATACCTACCCGTATACTCGGTGTCAACAACAATAGCGTCCATGTATTTTCCAAGAGTCTTTGTAATTGCAACATTATAACGCTTGTGAATTGGGTGACACATGTTGATCATCCGATCATACTGGAAAATAAAATGGTAAACAAATGTTAAACAACAGCTTATGGAGGAGCTTGATGTGGGTATTGCGACTATTTCCACCCACTTGAAGCGGATGGGAAAGTAAAAGAATCTTGATAAATGGGTACCGCACGAATTGAGTGAAGATCGGAAAATCGTCGTTTTGAGGTGACGTCTGCCCTTCTTCTACGCAACAAAAACGACTCGTTTCTCGACCAAATTGTGACATGTGATGAAAAGTGGATTCTCTGCGCAAAGGTTGGACAGCGATGAGGCTCCACCCAAAGCCGAAACTCCATCCAAAGAACGTTATGGTGACTGTTTGGTGGTCTGCAGCCGGTTTCATCCACCACAGGTTTCTAAATCCGGACGACACGATTACGGCGAAGTACTGCTAGCGTATCGACAAAATGCATCAGAAGCCCGGCGTATGTGCCCCCGATTGGTCAATATGAAGGGGCCAATGTTCCTCCACGACAACGCCCGGACACACGTCGCACAACCGACCCTACAAAAGCTGAACGAATTGGGATATGAAACTCTGCCTCATCCAAAATATTTGCCGGACCTCTCGACCACCGACTATCACGTTTTCAAACACCTCGACAACTTCCTTCGCAAAAAATGCTTCAATAACCAAAAATACCTTCAAAGAGTTCATCGCCTCCAGAACTCCTGATTTCTACGTTAGCGACATAAATAAACTGGTTTCTCGTTGATAAAAGTGTACTGATTCTAATGGTTTATATTTTGATTAATAAAGTTTTGTTAAAGCTGATATATATGCTCCATTGAATTTGAAGGTTAAAAACCGCAAGAACTTTCCGAACAACCTGACATTCATGAAATTAATATACGAGTATGTTATGAACGAATATCTTGTTATTTATGACAATACCGCACCTCAGTACTGATAAGACCATACCATGGCCGGCGTTCTGTAATCCGAAGCATCGCGGGGTGGAACGAGAAAAATTACATTGCTCTGCTTGCAGCAGCTTCCAATTGAAGACCCAACTGAATAAAGGTGTCATGTAACATTTTTCAAAAAAACTGCTTTTTTGCATTAAACTAATCTTAAGGAGTGATTCCTTCATTCTGTGATTACTTGTTCCAAAAACAAGATAATAACAAACTAATTAAACTAAATATTTAAATTGCCAATAAAGTAAAAAGTACCAACAAAAAATGTTTGTCAATTTTCACCATACAATGATTTTTTTACATGACACCTTTATCCACTTGGCTTCAATTTTCTTTCACAGATTTGTAGCTAAATGATTCCTTTATATACGCATGAAGTTTCGCTTGATCTGCGCCTGAAGAACACAAATAATTATAATTGTTTGACAAATTGTTAATACAAAAATCCCTAAATCAAAAACATTCATCAACTGAAACGTGTGTTTGAGACTACAAAGACTTTATAAGAAGTTCCCAAAATACAAAACAAATTATCTCAAGTGTGCTCCACAATGTTTTGTCAAGAAAACCTAACAATATATATAAAAAAAAAATGTTTCATATACGTTTAAATTGGTTTATTGTATGATAGTAAACTTTGTATTTTTGTATTCAGTTTGCGAATGTAAAGTTTCATGACATGTTCGACGGAGTTTAACTTGCAACATTTAAGCAAGATGACCCCAAGAATTGAAAAATCAAACATTCTTGTCTGTTGTAGCGCGGGGTAAATATCGTTTGAGTAGTGCTTAAGTACAGTAATTTATATTGTCAAAAATCACCATTAAAGCTTTTTTTAGTCAAATAGAACTCACCACACCAGGGAAGTTGCTCTTAAACCTCTCAACAAGTTCCTGTTTCTTTTTACGCCTGGCATCTTCATGCTTATCGGTTCTAGCATCCCCCAATTGTTCAACCACTGTATCCAGTTGTTTTTGAAGTTCATGAACTCTGTCTTTTGATGAACCTACATCAGCTTGCAGTTCCGCTCTTAACTGTTTCTGATCATTCAAAGCTTGTTCACTCGTTCTGAAAATACAATTTGTGTTTATAGAAGTATGAAAATTTTATTGTGAGAGATCAGGAAAACATAATTTTGCTAGTCTGGCACGTATTTTGAATCAATCGGGATGGACTATATCACCGATTGTTGAATTACCGAATGTGTTCAGCCAATTTTTCGATTCTCTTCTCCATCTCTTCTTTTTCGTGCATCTTCTGTCTGTATTTGTTCTCAGCGTCAGTCCGCATTCTGGTGATATTATCCAGCCGATCCTGGTCTGCTTTCTGTTCTCTGTTTACAGAATCAAGTTCTTGCATGTACCTGGCAGACCTTTTAGCTGCCTCTTCTTTAAGTCGATGATATTCTCTTACCTTGAAGGCAAGATGTTTCTGTTACTATTACTACTGTATTAATGATTTGATAGCAAAAAGTTCATGCAATATTCTTGTAGCACATTAGAAAGAAGGAAATGAACATTTTCGAAAGCTTGCTATGAAAATAGAACAAACTTTCTTTCTGGCTCTCTGATAGTCTATTATGTTACAGTTGCAACCTCAAGAATTTCCCATTTTGCATCTTAACCAACTCCTTTCATATCCCTTTCTTTACACTTTTCAACCCGTCTTTAGCTTGAATAAGCATAGCAACAAGGAAATCATGTAATGTCTCAAGGTCATCAGGCACTGTAAACTTTAAACTATAGAGATTTTAGGCTGCAACAGAAGAATTTGACATCTCTGCTATACAATGGTTGATCCCCATGCTCCACTTCGACCTCATTTTAGATGCTTATTTGATGAATTTAATGGCAATAAATATGTGATTTTATTAAGCTATGGTAACAAAGTATTAAGTTTAAATGTCAAACTGCTTTGATGCCATGTGCTCAATGTTTCATGCGTGACAAGAATTTTAATAGTAATGGACCCTGATGAGCAAAGAATCATAATAAAATGTCAAAAAAGTCCCATTTATATGTAGAAAGACATCTGAAGACCAACATGCCACCAGGCCACTGATCACTGAAATATTAAAAAAAGGGCAAAGATATGGTGTTACAGGATGGGCATGCAAATTTAGAGGAATCTATTATGCAACATTGATCCAAAAATTGACATGTGATTTTTAAGTTGAGGAAGTTGACAAGTGGCGTAATGATTAATCAGAATAATGTTTCCAGCATTACCACGTGTATTGCTATGGCTGCCCTACACCAAGCAGACTTGAAATTGGTAGATTGCCCACCTCATCCGCAAGACCTGATCTCCAGTAATTTCATAATACATCCAAAATTGAAACACTTCTGAGTAGAGGGATCTTCAAATAAGCAACAGATGAGATATGCGATAGAGAAGTGTTTTTCACCAGTTCGATATTTAGTAGAAAAGTGAAATATAAATTAAATATAGCTTTAACTAACTAACACACAGGTATCAACGTTGGTAATAATACAAATAATTGTATGACTCATGCTATTTAAGATGTTATTGAGCCTGCTATACAAAATACTTCCAGAAAAATATACTTTTCAGTCAAAAAGTCCTACACAACACTTTTAGAACATACCTGAGCATCTTCAAGATGCACGTCTCTCCCTTGGCTCTGGGACTCTCCAGCAATTTGCGTCTCGTACTCGTCACGTTTGCGTTCAATAGCTGCGAGTTCCTCTTCTAGTTTACGGATGTCATTCATGTGGGCTTCGTGAGCCTTTCGAGCCTGTTCTAGGGTTTTGATGGCACCATCCAGCTTTTTCTGCATGTGTGTCACCCGCTCCTTTGCCTTTATGAACTGCGGCCGCTTCTTTGATATCTCAACTTCCACCTAGAAAAGACCGACCATGAACAAAGTCAGTTCCAAAATATCCTCTGGTAAAATAGCACACCTCTCCACTAAGATATGTAATGTACTATTTTTTTTTGTTTTATTATTTACCTCTCTTATGTCTTGCTCAACCTTTGCCAGCTCACGATTATACTTTCCATGCTCCTTTTTCTTTTCCTTGAGGTTCTCCTCAAGCTTCTCTTTTTTCTTCTCTATCTTGTCAACTTCTTTTTGCTTTGCCTTCATTTCTTTTTCTATGAGCTCCATATCTTGTTCATTGTGGAACAGCTTGAATAGCTGATGTTCAACAAGTTTATCATGCTGGAAGCAAATGAATCACAATAAATGTTCCTTAAAACCCTATATAATTAAGAAAAATGGTAATTTTTAAAAATGAACAATGCCAAATGTAAAATTTTACCAAGTCTTCTTTGAGGCGAGCATATTTGTCAGCCTCCTCCTTCTCAAGACGTGCTTCCTTCTTTTCGGCGTTTATACCCTTTTTTCGTTGATAAGCACAATTTATTTCTTCCTGAGCTCTCTGCATTTCAATCTGTAGTTTTGCATACTCATCCTTTAGAGCTCCAGATCTAAATAAAAAGAACTATGTTAATAAAAAATTAGTGATAATATTGTTAAAATCAAAATATTGTAGAAACAGTTCCATACCCACTTATTTCTTCAAATAGTGCTGTCATTTCTTTGGGATTTTTCATAGCTACTGACTCCACTGCTCCTTGGAAGACCAAGAAGTTCTTTGCTTTGACATTGATCCTTAATTTCTCTAATTCAGCAAGATATTCATTATTAGAAACAACCTACAATAAAACCACCTGTATGAATAAAAAACTAAAACGAAAATAAAAACAAATGAGCAATTTTGAATTAACGAATAAATGTGTCCTATAATTGTAGCATCAATTACTTATGGTAGGATATTATCTATGTGCTAGCCTAAACACCATTGCTCACTTAAACAATGTTGCTCTGATATGCACAATATGCCACACCAAAAATGTTCATGTTTGACGTATCTAATGGCTTCTTTATATGTTTTATCACAAAATTCTAAGTCAATCGTTATATTTTTGCTGGCACTCAATATTTAAAGCAAAACACCTGGTGAGAATACTTTATCAGGCAGAGCGGTAGACGGTGTATGATAATCAGTCCCAGTGAAGCTGTACGGGTTCGAATTGTGTATCCACGGATATCCGGGGATGCTATTATTGTCCATAGGTGGTAGACGGTCTCGGACTGTCAAACGTAGAGGTATCACCCGGCGGATCTCTAAAGCGGCACTAGAATGTGTGCATGTTGGAAGTACACGTGTTCCCTAGCTATAGCCCCATGGTAAAAGATGGGTGTATAGGCCTTAGGCATTCATGGTGGCTCAAGTATAAAAAAATCAATCATTGAGACCGCATTTAAATCCTATTTCACGAGTATCCATCACATTTTGACGTCTACTGAGATGAACAGCCGATCAGCAAGTAACATTTTTGTGTTAGCCTGCAACGTTGGCTATAATGAATCGGGTGTAAATGTAGCAAATGAACTTTTCTAAATAACAGAGCTTTAACCAAGTACAAAATGAGTCTGGAATGTGGGGAATTTTGAGAGATTACTAGATAATCAGCTGTCATTCTACCGTGGCGGATACTCGTGAAATAAGGTATTTATGTTGTCCGTTCTGAAGACAGATTATGTTCAAAATTATAAATTACGTTTTTCCCGTTTTTTCTGTTTTCAAAAACTTTGAGGAGCATTACGGGAAATCGCCACCGCGCCCGAGTTGTGTGTAATTAAACCAAATCACAGAAAAATTAGGAATGACGCATCACACATCAAACATTTTCGCAATTCCTCACATCTAGGTGCGAACTTGTATTTTCTATTGAAATCGCAAAATAAATTTCTATAAAATTTAAATGACTGGAAATAAAAAATAATGTAATAATCTCTTCACTTTCATAAATATTCATGTTTGTAGTACACCTGTTCCTTGCCAACTAGGGATTTTCTTTTCTTATCTCTCACATTTTTGAAATTCAGCGTATCTAATTTCCAGAATGAATAAGAAAAAGTGGATGTCCAACTAATTTCTAGCTTTGAAAGAAAAACCTATATAATGTTACAGAAAACAATATAATGTCAAAAAAACTCGACATAGTGTCACTTTTCAAGATACATAATACCTGTGCTGTCCACAATATATCGTTCAAGGCGTAGATATCAGGATACTGGGGAAAAGTCCTACTTGCAAGGAGGAGGTAATCCAAAAAAAGATGAGCTGAATGAAAACTTAAGGTTTGCAAATGTTATAAAAAATTTGCTAGGTACTTTTTTAAAGTAGCATTTCTTCCAGAGCCATGTGTGCCCAACTCTTGAACAATCATAGAGTCGCCAGGTACCAATGGGCATAGAAGCGGGTAAATTGGCATCAGCATTGGAAAAATTGTATGTTTTCTGATAAAAAACGCTTCAACCTATACCACTCTGATGGTAGGGTCCAGCTGGCAAGCTGGGGAACAATATGATGAAGAAAACATGGATTCACAAGAAGCGTTTGCTGGAGGTGGCATTACTGTTTGGGCTGGGGTTATGCATAATGGTAAAACCGAACTTTTATTATTTCAAACAGGTCAGCCAATGCTGCAGTTTACAGTTCCACAGGGGAGGATTTTAGCAGGCTGCACAAAGCTAGTGGTTATAAACTAATGTAACATTACTGCTTCTGCCATCAAAGCCTCCAGACCTAAACCTAACTGAGCATGTGCGGTCTCGACTGAAATTTTTAGTGTGGTCAAGACAAAATGCTCCTCAAACACTGGAATGGAATGAGGCCATTCAGGAAGAGTGAGAAAAGGTTTACAGAGAATTTAATAATAACCTTCTGAAAACTATGCCACGAAGATGCCAGGCTGTGATCGATGGGCCCTACATGGTACTAATAGTATTGTTTAGAATAATTGTTGCTGTTTTGAAAAGAGTTCGTTTTTGTCATAAATAAATAATGTAGGTATTTAACTGGTCTTCAAATTTTTGTTTCCTAAGATGTTACATATTGTTAATGTTAACCAATAAATTCTTTGATGCTGTTTAAAAATTGAATACGAGTCTATTACCTATTGGAATGAAAAAGATAAAAAATTCCAGATAAAAGACGAATAGTAGTGTTGGCCAGCATAATAGCATTTTGAAAAATATCTTTTTTCAAGTTATTAGCACTTCTTACCAGACCAAAAATTGCTTTTGGTGTTACGCCATTCGAATACACCCCTATATTAAGAGTAGTAACTTGGATTTGTTCATTAAGCTGTTTAATAGCATAGTAAAATTAGAAATTCGGATTTAGTTACATAATGTCAAAGTAGCAAATTTTTACTGCATGCCACTGGAGGCAAAATACGTTCAATGAGTGCTTCAATCTTCTCTCTCACGCTAGAAATTCCACTTTATGCACAAGTATGAGAAAAGAAAAAGTTTAGTACAAAAATTTAGCATTTTATATCACCTGAAAAAACCCAGATATCTTCCTTCCTCTATGGATGAACAGATCTCTTCAGTGAATTCAATAAGTCGGTTCAATCCAAGCCTATGTATACATTGCATTGTCACCGAAATTGTGTGCTTTTAGCTAATTCGCCCACCATTGCCTACTTAAGTGACAAATCAATACATCAGTATACATTATTTTTGTTGAAAAGGATACTCAAGTAGCTAGTCGTACTGGGTGTACTTGCAAAGAGCGCAAATACTACCTGTGTTGCGATGTCAATCATTCAGTTATTGTTTATAAACCAGAATAAATTAAATAAGGCAAAGAAATTAATGCAAATTTGTATTAATAGTACAACATATCAACAAGTCTGCTTAAATTGTGATTTTGGAGGGTGAACAATATGAAACATTCTCTCTATCCAACTCAGTTTTTCTAAATAATAATAAAAATAGTTGTTGTGATCCGTGCAGATTCTTTACTAAAAGCAACCTAGTTGAGCATGGAATGTGAAAATACCTTACCTAAGAACATTTAGATTCAAAATTAAAGTAGATAAAGTTAAATTTTAGTTTGGTTAGATCAAAGTTTTGGTTGGCCCTTTTCAGTATCCATCAAAAAATTTGGTTTGTCTCCAACATTTTGCATTTTTTAAGGTTGTTGATAGGTATACAATTTTGTTAAAAAACCATCGATTGGGGCTGAGTGCTCAATAAAGTGAAATGAAATAAATCAAAATTACCTCACAAATCTCAAGTAAAAGTCCAATGAAGAGGTACACCCTTTTGCCATGCTGATGATTACAGTGTATAACATGTTTCAATAAACAGATACATATGTTATTCAGTTTGAACTGCTTTTTGCAATCTACAGATACCATCATCATTTTTAGCAATTGTGTGGATCACTAGCATTATATGCATCCCACACACATTACAAAGTACAAATTTAATATAAAATGTCAATAGCTGTCAAACTGGTAGCTTAAGCCTGATGTACTTGCACTATGTAATTTTAGCTTCAAACAAACAAGCTTGCTCCTTTTACCTGATGAGTAACATATTCCACCTGTGTGGAATCTGTAGAAACTGCTAAATCTCATCTAAAGTCTTTTCCATGTGTATCCATTATGGTAAAATGATCTCAGAAGATGTCAAAGCATGATGGATACTTGTGAAATAGGGCATATGACCAGAGGCTTGATTATAAATGAGTTTCAACCATTGAAATTGATTTCGACGGTGCCTTGTGATGATAAACTTGATTTGCTATAATAATTTAGACATCTGATTATATTGATCTTCTATATTCAAATTATCATGGCAGTGTCAAAATTATCATAGCTAATCAAGTATATCGTCGCAAGGCACCATCAAAATCAATTACAATGGTCGAAACTCATTTAGAATCAAGCCCCAGGCTACAAATATTACCCATTTAGATGCTCCATTTAAGCATGTACTCAAAATGCTATTTTTACGCAACCAGACTGCTCTTATCTACTGTGTAATCCTTCTAGACTTCTTTTAGGATTGATTTTGAAAACGTTTGGGATGAAATTGAACCATTATATTTGCATTTAAACTTACATTTCCGCTAATTCTGCATTCAGATGATGAACCCTGGACAGATCGCTGGAAGGACATTTCTTTTTCGTCATCTATTATGAAGATAGCAGTTACAGATGCACTTCTGGATACAGGCTTCCCAATAGCTGCGCCATGAATCAAATCGCTGAGTCTCTTCACACGTAAACTTTGGGTCTTCTCGCCCATTACAAAACTGATAGCATCCATAAAGTTTGATTTGCCTAAAAAAAATAAGGATTGGTATTAAATTAGCATGGTTTTATGGTGAAAATGTAAAAGTTCTTACCAGATCCATTGGGGCCGATTACCGCCATAAACGGTTTTAAGGGCCCTATAACTTTTCGTCCTTTGTAGGACTTGAAGTTTTCAACCTCAATGTGTTTTAGCCTCGCAGACATTTTTAAAGTAATAGATTTATTCGATACTATAGAAAAATAAGCATTTTTTAGGATTTCCCTGGTATAACGATTACAAATTCATAAAAACCGAAAACAAATATGGCTGACTATGATTTTGACACTGGAGTTTGACATCTCATTTTGACAGCAGTTGAACAGTACATCAGCAGTGTTGCCATTTGTCTATTCATCTACCTAAACATAATAATTATGATTTTTATGGTATGTGCTTGGTTTGGTCTGGTCAGAGGGTCAGCCTGCCTCGATATTACAGAGTCATAAACGTTTGTGCATTAGTGCCACAGCGCATTGGCACCAGACTTAGAAAAAATCACCAGGTATTTTAAAACTTAATTTCTTTGAGCTGTAAAATACTAGTTATAAACGAAAGACATGCATTTGTAATGTTTGTTTACAACTTAATAATTAAATTGTTAAATAAAACACAATTCACTATAAATTTCCCGCTACTGTGACGAAAGCAGTAAAATATTATTTTATCAACACCTACTCGAAAGATACAATTTGAATACATTTTTCCTGTTGGTTTTGTATAGTTTTGGACTATTTTTAATACTTATATCAGAATTGTTATATATTTCTTACCAAAACAAATTTTTATTTTCCAATGTTATGATAATACGTAATACTTCGGTGAAGTAGTGTAAGTAAATTAATAAGCATCTAATATATAACTAGAAACTAAAAATAATCCAGGGAACAGTTTTGTAATAATCCTAAATACCAATGATCCAATTAAATATTAGATGTACGGAGGAATTATCAGTAGATTCATCGACAAGCAACAAAAATTTTTCTTTTTTCATTGTGTCTACTAAAGTTTCAAAGCTTACTTTCCTTATTACATTATTAATTATTGCAGTATACTTGGTCCTGTTGCATGATAGTTTTGATTCTTGGGTAGAGTGCATTCCAGAATTACCACATATTCTTTTGACCAATTCAGCCAAATTAATGATCCGCTACATTGTTAGTAACTTTATGTTCTGTAATGAAGCACGCTATTCTTAGTTCATTTTGACGAAACCAAATGACGAAAACCAAAACAAGAACAAGAAAAACTGTTTAGGGGAATCACCGGAAGATATCGCAGACCGCAGTGTTGGCCAGATTAGATCGATACGTAATACAGTACGCGAAGACGAGAACCGCGGTACCGGTTGGGAAATTTAGTAATTTTTGAAGTTTTTCGTAGCTGAAAGATTGTTAAAAATATCCAGTATCGCTGAGATTTTGTATATCACTAGAAATTGACATTTTTCAAAAACTTTTTCATCAATTACCAGATTATTTATATAATCACCAGATCTGATGAAATTTCATCAGACCTGGCAACACTGATTGACACATTGGCGGTAAAACGAAAAGATTCACATAAATCAAATTCAAACCAATAAATATTTTCTTTGACACGCGGAAAAGTTTAGAGAGTTGAAAGTTATCATAGCTACAAAGCCATGGTTCCATCAGTAAACATTTTTTTCTGAAAAAAAAAACATTCCTCCCATTAATACTATGAAAGGTTTCTTTTTTCAACTTTCCATACCCCGTTGTAGCCGAAAAAGCACCGATTATTAAGTGATAATAAAAATAATCAGAAATTATATACGCGCTTTTCTAAAATAAACAACTTCAAACAAACCGCGGTTAAAACCAACGCGTTCAAGCGATTCGAGTAACTGACGTCATCATCCCGTGTGTCATCTTGAACCATATTATAACCGCGGTACATAATACGGAAATTTTGGTTATTCGCTTGGATTTGATTAATATAACGTCCATAGACTTCGCTTTCCATCTGTTTTTGTAGTTTTTAAATAAAACTGGATTCATTTTTGTTGGTTTTTCACCCACTCAGTTATCTGATAATTCAAGAGCATATAAAATATAGTCAACGCCAAACAAAGTGGCGTGCACGTCATCAAGGTGGGTGTGTTGAAAAATTTACATTGTTGACAAACTTTTTGTAAAATAATAAAATTTATTATTTACATATCTAGGTTTATAAGCAATATTAACCTCAAATGAGAACAAAAATAATAGTATAATAAAATTATAGATCTGTGCTTGCATAATCATTAAGTATGACAATTATTGATCAGATGACACTATGAAACTACCATATTTAATTGATAGCTTAAAGGTACTGAATAAAAATCCAAATGGGGTCCTCCAAATTTTATGCATGGTATTTACTTTACAGAATTCATACAGAAAAATGCATTCTAAAATTAGGTAAGCTACTGGTGTAAGCTTTTTCTGTACAATAAAGTTAGTCGGAGTTTCTTTCTTCAGCGCTGTCTGAATCTGAATCTTCATCACTCTCAAAGTTGATTATTAAAGGTTCGATGTCTGGTCGATCAAAAATTCGTTCTCTTTCATACCATTTAAAAATTTCTTGCTCAGTATGTCGAACACTATTTTTCCACATGTCTGGGGTAACCGTTTGTAGAGCCTCGTTCCACATATCCAAACAGTCTTTTTCACTGTTACCATCTCTACCAATATGTCTGTTATAGTAACCTTTTGCTATGCCCCAAATTAACTCAATAGGGTTAAATATACAATGGTAAGGAGGCAGACGAAGAACTTTGTGCCCATGTTGTTCCGCCAATTCATCAATCACGTATATTTTAGGTGGTTTGTTTCTAAAAAAGCAGTTACTTTAAGAATAGGAATAAACAAAAGAAATATAAACTGTCGACCAAAATATATATAATTAAGAAGCATTATGTACCGAGCAACAATACTCAATAGCTCTGTTTTAAACATTGTGTTTAAAAATGGTATGTTTTGATTTGTCAACCAGTCTTGGATATTTTTTTTTGTCCATGCATTGTTGGGCACTTTGTTCAATATCATGCTGTGATAAGGGGCGTTATCCAGTATAATCATAGATGGACTCTCCAATTTTTCTAATAACTGATGTTGAAACCATTTCAAAAAATTGTCCTGGTTCATCTCTCCATGGTAATCGCTCAATTTTGTTTTCGAAGAAAATATCGCTTCACTACCCTCAATAAACCCATTTTCATTTCCAGCATGTAATATAATGTATCTAAAATATATTAGTTTTAAATTTTATAGTGCAAATTGTGTAAAAGTACATACCTTTTACCATCTGTTTTAATAGCTTTCACGCTTTTTTGGTTTCCATTTTGCCAAGAGCGACCTATGGTCCCATTTTGAAATACCCAAGTTTCATCGAGGAAGACAAACTGGTATAAGGCCTCAACCTTGGCTTGATTGTATTGCCTTAGAAATTCCACCCTTTTCAAAGCTATACTTGGTAGTTCCATGAGCCCTCGTCGCGGATTGTCCTTAAGCCACTTAAATCCAAGATCTCTAAGCAACCGCCTTAAAGACGTGGCACTACCATCAAATAATGCCCTATCTCTTAATCGAGACCATAAAGTTTGTATCGTAACTTGTTCTTCTGAAACCATGTGTAATATGACATTATAATTTAGTTAACAAATTAATGCAAATTTCTGATAAGTTATTATAATAAGATCTTACTTTTGTGATACATATTATAGATCACTTCTCGAATGGCACTTGTATCCAATGTCGCTGTGTTGGTTACACGTTTAATATAACTCCGCTTTTTCTTGGGCGATTCTAAATTTGCATCACTTTTCACACCCTCGGAAATACGACTAACTGTCCTTAAACTAATTTTTAAAGCAGCAGCAACACGCTACAAAAAATGAAATAAAATTTCACTATTATTAATATACATTACATATAATTATTAGTAACCTACCTCTTGAACAGCATTTAAAGGCAACAAAGGCCCGTTGTTGTCCCTTTCTTGCTCAAAGTAGTGAATTAACGAGGCCACGAGTTCCTTACACCGACTATTTAACTGTTTGGGCATCTTTATATACCAAAATTGCCTTTATCTACTCGTAAAATGAATAATTTTGTTTTGAAACAAACAGTTGTTGATTTACAGTATGCGGGGCCAAAGGATTTATAAAGATTTGAAATGCCACAAATTGATTCAGTGTCAAAATTAATACAAATGTCAGTTCCCAGTTTAAATAAGTTTCAAGGTGACAATGTGTCAACGCTGCGAAATCGGTTTAGTGCGTTTACATGTCGATAAGTGATTGGAGCGTTTGCAAAACATTTTATTTCGCATAATGCGTCTAAATTTATCAGAAAGCAACTTATGTGATATTTTAATAACAATGTTTATATGACTATTAACCATAATAAGAGAGTAATGACCATTTTACAATTTATATATCACATTAATATGAAACTGCAATAGAGCAATTGTTTGTGATAGAAACCTAGGCATTAGGTCGGGGAATTTTTATCGTGATGACGTGCACGCCACTTTGTTTGGCGTTGACTATATGTATATTTTGAAGAATTTAAAAAATGGTGAAAGTAAGATAACATGAGGACAAGACGTCATGCACACCCTCCTTCCCTGTGCGGTCCCTCCACCTACCCTGTTCCAGGCAACCTCAAACCCTTGAGGAAACAAGACGGCAATGGTAAAAAATGATGAGCATGACAGCATGCATACTTCCGCACGGGTATCACGTATCTTGAAAAGTGACATTATGCCGATTTTTTTAGACATTATGCTGTTTTTTTGACATGATGTAGGTTTTTATACAAGATATTAACTTAGCACAGTTGTAGGTGTTGCCTAAACGTCATGAGACTTGTTATCAATCTTTGGCTCTGATGTGATGTAAAATCTGCTTTTGAGATGGCATTACTGGAGGTCTAAGCTGCAAGTTGTATGTGCTGATGCTAATAACGTTGGGTTCTTGTCTCAAATACACTTAATTGAGATTCAAAGCTAGAAATTAGTTGCGCATCCACTTTTTCTTATCCATTCTGGAAATTACATACCAAAGGGCTATAACTTTGTTACTTTAATTTTACCAGAAAAATGGTAAAGGAAAAAAACATTTCTTTCGATCAGATCTACTCACTGTTAAAATAAATGACTCAACTTCGAAGTCACCCTGTATACAAATTTGATGAATTTCAAAAATGAGAGAGATAAGAAATAATTATATTTACTGTACACTGTCGAATTATAAGCCATATAATTAATTACATACAACGCGGGCACGGTAATG